GCAGTGCAGCCATGGTTATGGTAATTGTCATCCCTGGATGTGGCCAGGAGCAATTTCTTTGCTCCTGGAATCTTCCTTCAGCTCGACTCTGCCTTCAGAGCATCGACCAGCCTGTTTCTAATATTTATGATATGTAAGCTGCTGGTGACCTGACCTCTGCCCCCGGTGCGGGGAAATGGCAGGTGTGTTCTGCTGGGATCAGGTCCTCCACCTTGCACAAGGGGAGATAAAGTCTTTGTTTAAAAATAAAGACGTCACGCTCAGATTTGTCGGGGGACTGTACGTTCTTCCTTCTGCCACTCTGTGTTTACAGGCTTATGAAAACAAAAATAAATGCATGAGGAAGAGAGAAGAAGGTCAGAATATCAAGTGTCAAAAGTAGCCCATGAAATTTTATTAGTGGTGCGTTTAATCAGTGCTAAGCATTTTTTACAAGGTACATACAAACAGTGGAATTGTAAAAATTTATGGAATGCTGTGTACAGTGTGGCCGTTTATGAAGAAAGGAAAATTTATATCCAGCAGAAATAAACCAAAGGGGAATGTTTTACGGAGACTCGTCAACAGCGGGTTACGTCAAGTGGGATCTGGGTAAGGGGAGGATAGGGTATTCACAGGGGCTTACTGATCTTTGGGGTGGTTTTCTACCTCTTCAGCAGTTAAGTTTGCATCTTTCTGTGGCTCTCACGTAGGATGCTGGATGCAGTGATGTGTTACTTTATTTTCCTGTGTGATGGAAAGGAAACAGAAGTGAGCAGCTGCTGCTGGTGTCTGGTACGGAGCTCTTGCTCGTGGGCTCATTCCAGTGCTGCAGCTTCTTGAGCAGCATTTAATATCCAGCTGGGAAGGGTTAACTGAAGCCAATCACTTTGACATCAGCATCTTTTTGTTTCCTTTTTGGTCCGGTATTTTGTTGATGATAAAGCACAGACTTAGTCAATTGAGAGATTCCAGAGCTGCAGAATCAGAGATAATTTAATTAACGGAATTGCTTGTGATTGCCCACTGGGACAGCGGGTAGGAATTGCTCGATTTAATTTGGAGAAACAAAGATCACATGCATGCTAATGTTTGACAAATAACCAGTGTTTGGGTTAAAGTTTTTTGCAAAGAGGAGGCAACCACTTCCCATGGGAGATTTCCCGGGACGTGATCACTGAGTAACAGCTCAAACCTACAGCTAGGTCCTTGTTCTCTCAGATGGTATTTTTGTGCCTTTCTCCTGGCCTCTTACATGAACAAAGCAAGGATGTGCTCAAAGGAGGAAAGTTTGTTCTTATTTTTGGTGCTGACAGGAGGGGAAAAATGCTATGAACAGTAGAAAAACGTATTGGGCACACAAACTGGAAACTATCGAGTGCTTTCTTCCCAGTCCTGTAGACTTGCTCCCTGGTGCCCAGCATCCACAACCATGACTGCCAAGTTGCAGAAGAGTTAAACACAAAGTCCAGAGACAGCTGCAGGACCCAGCTTCCTCTGCAAGGAGCCCTTCCTTCAGGTTTTTGCTCATGTGCAAGGAGGTATCGGCGAGGCTGCTCACACCTGCATGGCCGGAGAAGCAGCAGCCCAGGGCTGGAGGCAGAGCTCGTTGCAGCAGTTGTGCTCAGCAGGTCTCTCCCAAGGCTGACAAATGACGTTATCCAAACACGTCAAATCAGAGCAGCGAGGCGCAAAATTGCTAAACTAGTCCTGCATCTAGCACGAGGTCAAGGCAAAGCAGGGAGCAGGGCTGTGGAGCCGAATTCCTCCTACGTCTTAATCCCCTCTGCCTTCCTTGGCAGGGTGACTTGTGCTTGGCTTTCTGACCCTTGCTCCACCCTGGCCTTACTCACCCCGTAAAAATACCCCACAGGCTGCTCCCCGCTGCCTCCTGGAGAGCTCGCATAAGGTGCACACGCAAGAGGGAAGCCTGAGGGAGTTCCCGAGATTGCTGCTGCAGGAAGAGTCGCTCCTGAGCGATACTTATCTTTAGGATACAAGCAGCAGGTTGACGGTAAAATGTCACTAAAGGGAATGGCATGTGTCCCAAGTGTGCTGGCCACCACGGGAGCCAGACACATGGGAAGTGACTCTCGTCTTTATTCCATCCCTGGAGGTAGTTCAGTTTCCTTTATTTACTAATGTTCTCCCTATTTCCCTTGACCTCATTTCCTCCGGCTTTTCGGAAGCAACCATGCAATTATCGCTCACTTTGGGTTGACCCTTGGCCCCCGTGTCCCTGCTCGCTGCTGCTCCGGGAGGCTTTCCTGAAAGCTCAAGTGCAAAATGCTCACTGGTGGCCAAAAACCTCTCTTGTTGAGATAGAAGCTGGCTCTCGAGCACCACGCCGTGCATCAGGATTTGTCCGGAGAGCGCGCTTGGCACGGAGAACATGGGGTTTAAAGACAGTCACAGCTGAGCTTTGATCAGCTCCGGGAGATACTGCTGTGGCTAATGTTCCCTCTCTTACCAATGCACCCCAGTCTTGTTAATAAATGTATATTTAACAATGTCTGGAGCGTATGAAGTGATAATAACTAAATCAATACCTCCCACATTGATTGTCCAGGATCCCTACAGCGTGACGCACGCAGCGGTGCGGTAATTTTCCAGCTAACTAGCACCCTGATCTACAGCCCTCCTATTGATTGGCCATTGTATCAGGCAGCCTCTGAGCGTTATTGCTTATCCCTCTATTCAGCCTCCTTTTCTGATTCATTCGTTTATTACTGGACAGGTGCGATTATCTCAGAGGCTTTCCGAAATTGGCTGATGGGGGTCAGCCATTTAGGCTTCCATAAACAAGCCATTTTGTATCTCCTCTAGCTGGTGCAGTGGCAAATTTTTCCTTTTCAGGCTTTGACTGTTCCTGGGCTAGGACGGGGGATGAACTGGCCTTTGCCTGAATCTGCTCAAGCAACCCTTCAAAGGAGGAAGCATCCTTCCACAGACAGTAATGGGAGAATTTATTAGGGGTTTGAGGTTCCCGCTTGCCACCTGCTTCAGGCAAGAGCTGCACTCGCTGCCTTTAAAGTTTTGGTACCCTCATGCATGCAGAAAGGAGAAATAGATTCCAGAAAGTCAAATTCAACGGCAGCCTTCATCCAGCATCAGCTTGTTGACAGGCCAGACTGGAAGGGAAATGATTTTCTCATCCCGCAATAATCTTCAAGCTATAAATAAATAATTCTGTTTCTCCCTCAGACAAAACTAACAGCTTTCTGCACTTTCTTTGAAAATACTGACAACTCTCCCTGGAGGGTCAGAACCCAAACTGGGATCTGATGATAATTTATACCAACAAGTAGGAGCAAGTGGATGTTTCACAGCAGGGAGCTCTGTTTCCTACAGAAGCTCTTTCGTTTGGCTCCAAGGAGTATTTATTGATACCAAGATTTGAGTGCAGCATCCCTGTGCCCACCCACGAGGCTATCATGGGACCTGTATTTCTTGGCCTTTTTTTTGCCGTTTTAAATTTTTTACTGTTTCCTAGTAACTCATTTGCAAGGAATCTCCATCTGATTAAGGTCTCTGCTCTGAATTCCCAGTTAGCTCCTGCAGCGTGTGATCTGCACAAAGGTAGGAGTGAAGCTGGAGGAGCTTTACGGCGCTGCTACTTAACCACAGGCACCCCTGCAACTCCACTTTCTTCTCAAGTGTCATAATTAGAACAACCATTCAAGATCTTTTTGACTAGCTCCATTCCCAGTGCAGTGCGTGGCCGCTTGCTTTACTCACAGGACCAGGAATTTGGTCTGTTCAGGCTGTGTGGGAGACACCCCAGGTCCCTCCCTGAGTGCTGGGGACAAGTGACTTACCGAACAAAGGAGCGGCTGAGTGCATGCAGTGCGAGTGCTGAGGTTGCAGCTCGCTTCATTGTTTGTAGTAATTCCCCTAAAGCCAGGTTTAGCTACCTGTTGATGAATTATCCTCTAAAAAGGTGCAACAGATGGGTGCTACCTGGGGTTTATGTTGTGATTGACGCGATCTCTGGTGGCGAGGTATTCTTCAGGTTCTTCCAGCGTCTGCTTGGACTGGCCTGAAATTCACTGACGTAAATGAAAATTGCTGTTTTCTTTTGTGTTTTTGTTTTTCCACTGGGGTGACAGCCTTAATGTCAATGCAATGCTCTTAAAACCTTTCCTGGGGAATGTTTCAGGGCCCGTCCCTGTATCTGCACTGTGTAGGAATCAGATTTTGCAGCATGCCGGAGTGACACATCCTTGTCCCTAACGTTCCCCGCATCTCATTTGCTAAGCGCTCCTGTCTGCCCTTGCTTTTAGGTTGGCAACTTGCTTTTTTTCACCAGCCTTGCAGAACCATGAAAATACACTTGCCTGCCCTCAGCACAGTGCCTCTATGACAAAAGAGATAATGCTGCCCATCAAAACTGACCCTAGAAAATGGGAAAGCAGAGGTTGTAAAGCTGCGTTTATAGCTGCCTGTTGGTGCAGCGTCTTTTGCTTTTGGCTTCTCCTTCTTTTCAGTATTAGAAACCAACGAGCTAGGAGGTTGTTTGATGCGAAAGCACTGTGTTGATCCTCTGTAATGAGCTGATTTTGTGTTTCTCAAGGTTGATGGTCAGCAGAGGCATCTGTTCTCTAAGGGGAAGAGCAGCTCCTATTGCCCACACAGAATTAGCTCACCAGCTTGGGGCAGCACACGAAGCCTTGTCCAAAGCATTTGGCCCCAAAGAATCTCTTACAGGAGACAGGAAAGGAGGCAGAAAATAAAAATAAACAAACAAACCAAAAAATCCATTATTTAAGTGTCCGTGTCCTGCAGAAACTTGCTTTCTGTGATGTTGGCAGCCCCAGCCCCGTTGTGTTCTGTCGTGACGTGTTTGCAGCTGTACAGTAGCAAACCTCAAAGGATTCACACTGGGCTTTTCAGCAGCTCGTTTTCAATGCGAGTTTAAATGTTGCAATCTCCTGTGCAATACCCGCTGTGAGATCCTTTTTCCCCAAACTCTCAGCAATCTCGTGTGTGCAGTGATGCTCATGCTCCATCATCTTTTGCAGAATTACAGAAGACTCCGCAGTGACAACATTTGAAGCGTTAAAGGCTCGTGTCCGTGAGTTAGAAAGGCAGCTCTCCCGTGGGGACCGCTATAAATGTCTCATTTGCATGGTGAGTAGCACTCCAGTTGTGGTAATGAATCAGAAATGTTTTGGTATCTCTGCTGAGGAGGGGAAAGCTTTTTCCTTTCTCTTTTTTTTTGGGGGGGTGGGAGAACTCACCTTCTTCCCTATACACCAAGAGTCTCTCTTTCCTTTTGAATATAGGTGCCAGGTATTAGCAATTGCCATTTCCATACGTATTAGATGGCTCTTCAGTTTTGTAGCCATCCATCTGTATCAGAGGCCACAAAAACCTCAACCTTGTAAGACTTTCAAGCTAACTCTAGCAAACTCCCAGATATTGGCGTTCTCTTCCTGCATGTTCAAATTTGTATACATAAAGGAGTAGGATCCATATGAAGCCCCCTGTATGATTTGAGACCCCGAACATCGCCTTAGTATTTAAAAGTTGGCCGTGTCCTGCTTGCTCTGTGGTGAATCTGTGGCCTCGCTAAAGAAAGGCAGCAGCTCCCTCTGATGGTCTGAGCGTGCAAAGCTTTGCATCTCCTGCTAGATTTTCATTCTGCTGAGAGCAGGAGAAAATTCTGCTTGGCAGAGGGCTCCCTCTGCAACTTCAGCTTGATGCATGGTGCTGTCTCTCCCACTCACGACTTGTAGGCATGGGGATAGCAGTTCCCATATCTCATCCCATGGAAGGCATGACAGTTTGCTGCTCATTTCCAGAGGTTTAGTAGCAATCATGGAAAACACTTGAGAGTGCGTGTCTGCTGAAATAACATCAGCCTTCCTGGGATATAGTTAAGCTGTTGCTGCAGAGTAGGGAGTTGTGATAAGGGTTAATCTTACCCTGTTGCTGTTTGTTGTTTTTTTGTTTTTTTTTTAATATGATCTGGTGACCTTTCTGATGGGAATAATGGCAGGTGGCCACAGCAACTTCAGATGCTCTTGTGATAACTGTGCTGAGCCAGGTCACCACTTGAGTGGATTATGGGCTTCCGACAGGAGTTCTTGGAAGCTGGTAAAATGGACTGCAGGAGGCTTCTGCTTCTGCTACACAAACATTGCTGTCTCTGCTCTGTTCTTACGTGCAAAGTCAGCAGAAGTTCATTAATGCAAGACCCTCTTAATTCTGCTTTGTTTTTCTTTTGTCTCACACCTCATGGTAGGCCAAGATAAGATGTATGCTCTCTTGTTATGCTGTTAGGTTGCCTGTAGTCTGATGGCATACCCACAAAGGAGGGTGCTGTGGTGGGGTTGGGAACAAAGAATCAGTAGACTCCTGCTGTGGAAGTAACCTGTTTGCTTCTTTTCCTTCAGGACTCTTACACAATGCCCCTGACTTCCATTCAGTGCTGGCATGTGCACTGTGAAGAATGCTGGCTGCGGACTCTGGTGAGGCTCTTGGCTACTTTCTAATTGACTTATACACTTCTCCCTCTCTTCTGGGATACTTTATTTTAAATCACCATGGGGAAAGATGCCTTTTGCTTTATTCTAAACAATTGGAGTGCTGTGCATGCAAACTTCCCGGTCTTTGCCACTTAACACCCCGTCCCAGCTTTGTCTTCAGTAAGTTTAGTTTGAGTCACCCTTACCAAAGTACAGTCCTGCTGATTGCTTGCTCCTCTGCTGCTGTGGGGAGGTGTAAGAGCTCTGTGCTGAGTACAACATTGCCTTACAGTAACGCCCTGGGAGGCATCCATGCAGAGGTAAGGCTGTGGGACTGGAGGCCAAATCCACGGAGATCTCATGGCATGAGTGGCTTCTGGGAAGCCTAATACTCACCTGAAGCAAAGCGGATCATCTTCAGGGAATATAGCACAGACAGGAGCTTTTACAAATACAAATCTGTGTTTCTCAGGTTATTTGAAATAGCACTGTGCAGTTTCCAAGCATATCCCATACTGTTTGGAAGATTGGGGATTACCTTGAACGCTGAATAGGTGACCCAATGCGGTAGTAATTTATATATGTGCTGAAAGACATCAGGTTGAAATTTAAGGTGTTATTAAATAAAGTGTTTTCCTTTCCTTTGTTAAAACCATGGGCTTTATAATCAGCCTTTCATTTCCCCTGCGCAGCTGATTTTCAGGCTCTCGTTTCACTCAGGTTGGGGAGTGGAAAATAGTCAGTGGTGCTTTCCAGTTCTCTTGTTAGCAAGATGATACAGTGTTGGGTTGCAAAAAATGTAAGGGAATGCCACTCCTAAAAACTGTTCCTGTAAGGCATTACAAAATCTGCTTTATGGAACACGTTGTGTGCTTGGAATTACGATTAAGCCGATCATGCTCCTTTAAATCCTGCCTATTAAAAGTCTTGTCCAAGAAAAGTTACCAGGATGGTGAAGTGCCTGTGGGCTTGAGTACTAATAGCAACTCAATAACTTGGCCATCCCTTGGGCTGTATTTTATAGGTCTTCAGCTACACCCCATCACTCCTTAGATTATACAAGCCTTTGTAAACATTTTAGCAGCATGTTATAAAAGACACATATGTGGCTACGTAGCTGTGAGGTGTTTGGGTGAATGTGTGCTCTGCCACCTTTGCTAAGTGACGAGTAATCTTGTTCTTCTGCCGTGCTACAAGCAGAGGACAAAACAATAATTTCTTTTTCGTTTTCTTTTTTTTTTCTAAAGCCTTTGCTGTCTCTTCTTCCCAGCAGCCTTAAGTGATGTTTTAAATCTGTCACAACAATTTCCAATTGTTCTTAGGCTCAGCAGCAACTTTCAACTTCAGCCAGGCCCCTTTGTTCCGTGTAGGGTGGTCACGGCTGCCAGTAAGAACTGGAAAACCTCGCTCCAGGTGCTAAGAGGTTGGCATTTACCCTTGCAAAGGGGAGCGACCTCCCCTCTAGGTACCTGTGAAAGGTGGGGGGATTGAGCTGGCTCCCTGCTACCCGCACAGGGCTCTTCTGCCGACCACTCGGGCGGGATGGGAGCAGTCCAGCACAGCGTCGTATTAGGACTTGGCACTTGCATAGGGGAAGCAATTAATAAGTGGCTACTCATGTGTTCCCCAGTCCTAGCCTCTCCCTGCAGCCCCCAATTTATTAAACCAGGCCTTTTCACAAGGCGTGCTTGCACTCTTTTTCCCGTCTCAAAAAAAAAAAAAAAAAAAATCTCCCAGCCTGGGTTCGCATGTTTCTAATGTAACCATTAAAATGTAGCCCGAAGACAGCAATAAAAACCCTGGAACGCCTTGGTGCTTTTGTGTCTTGATCAAAGTCAATGTGTGTAATCTCGTTAAGACTGCCCTCCTTCCCCCCTCCTTTTTTATGAATTTAATGGCATACAGCAGCTGGGCTCAGTGTTTAATGCTCACCAACCTGCATTGTTCTAATTAAGGTATCTCCTTTTATTTCGGGCACAAAAGAGACTCTTGTTTTTTTTTAACAAGCGAGGAGCTGTGGGATAGTGTGTGTAATAATCGCTGCCGTTACCTTTCCCTGGGTATAAAGCTGGCTCCCCGGCGGGGGCAGGAGGGGGGATCGGAGGGAGCCTGCGCGTGCTGCACACATTGCGAGGCTTGGCTGGGGGGAGAGGGGCAGCGTTTTTCTTCTGCTGTGCAATAAACAATTTGTTGGAGTTAATAGGACTTGGGGCGGGCGGGCAGTGGCGGGCTTCCGGCCGCTTTTGAACATTCTGGAGACCTGCCATCCCCGCTGCTGCAACGTCCCGGTCCTCCCGTGAGCCTGTTTTATACACGCAGCCCAGATCTGATACGGAATTAGGGAAGGAGTGTGGCTGGGGGGGAGAGGAGGAGAGCTGCACTGAGCATCTTGGGGCTGGAGGCTCACAGCGCCTTGTGACAGGGTGTTGGAGATGGGCTGGAATTCGCTGCTCACATCTGTCTGCAGAGCAGGGGAGGTAAAATGGGTTTTAAAAGGTTTAGGGTTTAAGTATTTCCTAGGATATAATACTGCAGTGATCCAAGTATCTCTGTCACCCTCTGACTTCCGTGGTGTCTCGGGGCACTGATGAGGATTAGATCTTTCAAGTGGCTTTCTGAAAACAATTTTTGGACTTCTGGCTCTTGGCATCCAGTCCCAGATTAGTCCTGCTCTGTTGCTCAGGGAGAGGGGGAGACGTTTTTAACCTCTGACTCTACCGATGGCTGCTGGGCTCCCTACCTTAGGTACCGTTACACCACTCCCCCTCTCCCTCCTATTGCTCTGCTGGATTAACGTGGAGAAAAGGCTGGGGTCGTGGCAGCGTGCAGGCCTGCACAGCAGAAAGGGCCCTGGAGATGGTTTAGGAGAACAGATCGCGGTGCTCGTTGAGTCAGCCAGCAGGGCTAATAGCTGAGTGCACACAGCCCTCAGTCAGGGTGGCCTTGGAGAAAGGGAGGAACCATCGCTTCATCCAGCATCAGGACACGATGAATTAAGGGGTTTTCTCCTTCCACTTGCTCCATGAGCAGAACCTGAGGGCTGTGGGCCAGGGCACACACAGGCTTAGGGTGTGCCACGTGTGCTGAGCAGCTTACCAGGCTGAATCGGGACACAAAGCTTGAGCGACTGCTACGATCCCTTTTGGGAACCCCCAAAAACGTGCAAGTTTTTCAAAAGCAGGAGAGGAAATGGTGTGGCAGGAGGGAGGGCTCATTTCCCTGAGGTGGGTGCCTGTTCTCAGCTGGCTGTTGGACTGCTTCCAGGTGTGTGGGATGAACCCCCCTCTGGAAGAGGTTTGTCTGCCCCTTCTCTATCCTTTCCCATTAAGCGAGAGGGACCCTACAGCTATCCGTGGGTGAGGTTCCTATTCTCCTGCTCTCGGGAAAAACAGTTCTGACAGCAAAGATTGGCAGCCTGCTGCGGTGCTTTTCTGGGGAGGGTTGGAGCCGCCGTCCTTGGAGGTTTGGGAGAACAGGTTTGATGCACGTCTGTCAAAAGTAATTCACGTAGAGGTGATCTTGCCAGGGGAACGGGTTGGTGAGTCTTGAAGTCCCTCTGAGCTGTGATTCTGTGACCTCCCAAACCCCGGCATCCTCCCTTACGGAGTAAATGGAATTAAAGTGAGGTCAGACTGCTGTTTGTCAGTGGTTGGAGCTGTTGTTAGTGGGTGCAGGCATTCAGGGGCAGGTTTATTTGAGCAGGTGGGGTTTGCTGATTTCCCCTCTTGCCCATGCAGCCAGGTCCAGCATTTCCTCTGTGCGTGTGCTGCCCCCAGGCTTCTACTTGCCTGTCTCGGGCTTATTTGAAAATGACGACTGCAAGAGCAGGAAAAAATCCCTTTTAAAAAGCCTTCTTCATCATGGAACGTGCTTCCAGGGGATCCATCAATAGACACGTATCCTGTGCAGCTGACACGTTTATACCTGTGGCAGATCACACTGCTGGTTTTTTAGCCTTTTAGCTTTTTCGAGGCTATAACACCGTGCGTCCCATGCGGGCTGCGGTATTTTCGTAAGAAATGATGCGGACAGAGAGCAATCCTTCTAGGTGATTCCTCAGCGCTTCCAGCAACGTGGGGACTTCCTGAGTCAGCACTCACAGAGAGGAGAAGGGCCTTGACTGAGAGCTGGATCCTGGAGTTCAGCTCCTCTCCTGGCAGAAGCTGGCCCCTGCTGTCATCTCCCTGCCTTGGTTCTCCTCCCCACAGAACAGCCCTGAGCCAGGCTCGGTGGTGGCACTGCGTAGGCAAAGTTGCTCTGTGTGCATTTCTTTCTTCTGTGTGCCTGGTAGCACGTTCTGCTTGGAAATTGCCCATTTTTAGGCCCACAGGACAGCGGGAAGTGCCTAAGCCCTTCCTTTTGAGTCTTGTTGCTTTAGCCAATTTATAGCAGACGTCACGCAAGTCTTTTTGTGTTTTTTTTTTTTTTTAAGAGGCAACTTTTAAGACAAAATACTCCCAATCCTTCCTGGCACCATGCGAGCCCTAATGACTTCTCAACATCTCAGCTCTCGTTAATGTATTTTTCAAACCACTACCCCAAGTGATTAGCCTGTATTGTGGATCAATCACTTGCCAAATTTTAATTAAGAAAGGAGGAGAAAAAATAAACTCCAGCCTGGTTCCAGCCCCTTTGCCTTGCTTTGTAACAGCCCCGGAGCAAACTTCTTGCAGCAGAGTTTTATAAACCCCTCAAAACTGGGGTTTATAATGGAAAAGCTGAGGTGGCCTTTACTCTAGCACACGCAGCTATAACACATCAAGGCTTTTCCATGAAGCGATGATGAAAGGAGCAGAAGGACCTGGAAAAAAAAAAAAAAGAAAGAAAAGAAAGAAAGAAATGGCCGACAGGTGGGACTTATTATTGCACAGCATTTTTATTTCAAGGGAAAAGTTTAGTAACCCCAGCTGGCAGGTGAGCAGTGGGGGAGCAAATGCTTTTTCATTGTGCCTGTGCCAGCATGTGTGTATGTACAAGCTTACGTGCCTTTCTGCAAGAGAGAGGAGCTTAAATGCTGGTGCCAATAAATGTTGCACACCTCCACTGAAAGTCAGATGTAAAGAACAGGGTTCTAAGCAATTTCAACCTGAAAAGGAAAAATCAGGACTTAGCTCTGAATTTAACACACACGCTGATGTGTGCAGAGGATGACAGTTTCATTTAAAAAAATAAAAAAAAGGAAAAGGTTTCCCCCCGGGGTCCAAAGTCATTATTTTTGCTTGAACTATTTAATGCCAAGCGTAAGTACCAGGGAGACCTGGGGACCTGGGCCTCGGCGTGCCACACGCAGCCAGCCTGCTGCTCCCTCCGAGGTCCCCGGGCTTCAGAGCTCGAGATGAGCCCTCCCCGTGTGCAGGGGGAACACCAGCCTGCTGTGGTCCTACACGGCTGTGGTCGAGTCAAGTAGTTCTTAGAGGAATTACCGCAGGGGGTCGGGCTGCCTGTGGTTGGGTCCTGCCTTCTGGCGTGGCTGAGATCCTGGGGGCTGGCGGGGTGAATCCACCCGTCTTCCCTTTCCCCAGGGTGTGAAGGAATCGTGTACCTGATCTCGCTTTGCTACTGAAGACCTGGGCAGGGTGGCTTCCAGGGAATCTGTCCTTAAATTTCTGATGTTGGGCTGCTTCGCCTGTGCCAGGGAGGTTACCCCAGGCAGAAGGACCACACGTCAGCCCGCAGCTCTTCCAGCCCACCTCCAGATCCCAGAATGGGGATGCAAGGATGCAAGGCAGGGAGATGGCAGCACCTGAGGTTTGCTTTTAGCCAAAATCAATGTCAGGGGGCTCAGTGCTCCTCCCCACCCATCTACAGCCAAACATCCCCAGGAATGTTTGATTCGGCTCGTCTGGGGGGGGCTTTTTGGTGCTACCAGACTGCAGAGCAAACCTGACTGGCATCCCCATCTCCTGCACTGCTGGTGCTGCAGGTGGGAGGCTGCCTCGCAGCACAGATGTCTTTCTGTCATTTTTCCCATCACCTGCCTGCCACGGCTGCCAGTCTAACAGTGACCAGCTTCGGCTGACCCCGGTCCTGAGGCTTGTTAACAGCCCTCTTGCTGTCAGGCTGGGTGACAGATGGCACATCCACCACTGGTTTACTCCGTGTAGTGCTCGTGGCAGCCTCCCATCACTGCAGTTTGCCGGTTCCAGTTCACCTGGGCAGAACAGATTCGGTTTTCCTGCACGCCAGCATCCCAGGGGCTTTCTCAGGATGGCAGAGGCACTCCCTGAGATGGGCAATGCGACCTCACCAGGACTGCTTCCATCTCCTGAACGCCGTGCTGGGGGTGGCCCTGCTCTCACCAGCGCCCCACGCCGAGGGTAGGGTGCTTTGTGTTGTCCCCCACTGCCTATCTGCTCTCACTCTGTCTCGTCTGCTGGTTGCAGGGTGCCAAGAAGCTCTGTCCTCAGTGCAACACCATCACGTCTCCTGGAGACCTTCGGCGCATCTACTTATGAAGGACCCAGCAGGAGGGCGGGACCCAGCTACTCGGCTCAGCTCATCACACCAAGGGGGAGAAGAACGACGGCAACAACAACAACAAACCAAAAAAAGACGTTTTAAAAATTAACGAAACGAAACAAAAAAAAAAAAAAAAACAGAGACTCCAGACATGGACTTGAGGACACAGGAGCAGCGGGGAGCCTCGACTCCCAGGTCCCGCGTGTGGAGGTTTCCTTCAGCATCTGCAGCGGGCGAAACCAAACCCTTTGTTGTGAAGCCCCCTTTTTTAAACCAGTATTCCCCACCCACCCGTTCCCTGGAGCTGGCTTTGCATCGCGGATGGCTCGTGAGCCCTCCTTTGGACTGTGTTGTGACCACTCTGACCCCAGGAGGCTGGGGAAGGGACCCTTGACAGAAAGATGTTAAATAACCTGTAACTTGTGTTCTTTGTTCAGTTTTTGGTTGTTTTTTGTTTTTGGTTGTTTTTTTTTTCATTTGTTTTGGTTTGGTTTTTGGTTTGGTTCTGTTCTGTTTTGTTTTTTCTTTTTGTGGTGTTCTAGTGATAAAAAAAAAAAGGTTTAAAGAAAAAACCACACCCAGGCAGAAATGAAGCACATGTAATATAGATTATATATGTTTACAATGTTGTGTATAAATGGGATAGACTCAAACATTACATACTAATAAGTTTCCCTTTCTTTTTTTTGGGTTGTATTTTTTTTAAAGAAGAAAAAAAAAATGAGCAGAGAACATTAAACCCATATTTTTCTTGGTTCAGCAAAGTTTTGGCATTAAAGTCATTAGTTTAAAAAAAGTATATATATACATATATATAATATAAATGGTTTAATGTTCTGTGGTGTATATTTCCTCATTCAGATATGAAGTTAACAGCTTTTAGTAATGGCTGTAGCATTGCCCATAACTTACAGAACTTATGGGGAGTAGAGGAGGTGGATTTTTGTCATTAGTTGTAGCTAATGGGGCTATTTATAATAGAATCATTATCCCCGGAACGACACGGCTTTTAACTCCTCGCCGGGGGCCAGGGCAGGCCGGGGGGCTGCAGCTCGGCCCCTTTCGCCCTCCCCAGGCAGGGAAGGGGCAAGCAGAGCGGGGCAGCCTGGCAGGATGCTGCCCACCCTCCTGGCCACGAATCCCTGCCCGAGGCTCCGGTTTAACCCCTTTTCTCTCCTCCAGGGCCACCGGCTCAGCTTTGCTTTGCTTCCCTCCCCTCTGGCCGAGGACTCCGCTCGCTGTGGGTGCCACAAGGCAGGACCACGGGCACGCTGCCGCGGGGCTCCCCGTGAGCCTGCCTCTTGCAGAAGAGCAGAGAGGGTTTGGGGCTGGGGCACAGAGCCCGGCCAGCCCCAGCTCCTCGTCCCCACGGGCACCCCAAGGCTCGCCCACGGAGCGAGAGGACGGCGGCGAGCAGAGATGCTGCCGGAGGTTCCCCGCGGCCCCGGCTTCTTCCACGCGGTCACGCTTGTCCCTATCACCCACATCCTCAGCCTTAACCAAAGCTGCCATCTGGCCTGTTCTGTTGTTTATTTTTGGTTTTCAGGACCCAAGAAACAGATGCCAAGCCGCTTCCCAAGGCGAACGCGTGCCCGCAGCGCGGAGAGCTCCCAGCGCAGCCCTGCCCCAGCTCACTGCAGGGTCCTTGGGGCTCCCCGAAACAGGAGGACAGGGAGCTGGGGACGTTCATCTCCCCCTGATCCTGCAGGGTGACCCCAGCAGCTCCCAGTGCTGGCAACATGAGGCAGAGCAACGGGCGTTTCAAGGCACCAGCTGGGTGCCCGGGGCTGGAGGATGGAGAGGGCTTGGCTGGGGCACGGTGCGAAGGTCCCCCTGCCACTCCGTGCCATCAGCTCCATGCTTTTTTTTATAGAGCAGCCGTTTCCCTCAGTGTCTCCTCAGTGACCCCAGGTGGATCCCACTCCATCCCCCCAAACCCGAACCAACCGAAGGAGCTGTATTTTAGAAACATCTTGGCAAAAAAAACAACACTTCCCAACTCAGCTTCCTGGGGCTCAGCCACGGGGCAGCTGCTGGGGGGCCCTTGGGGGACCGGGGGAAGCTGAGCCGTGGTGGGGGGCTCCTGCCCTCCCCAGGGTGCTGAGGGCTTGGAAGGGGCTGTGGTGCAGGGGCTGATATTGCCAGTGAGCCCCCAGGGCCGGGCAGGCATGCAGAAAGTGGAGAAAAATGGTGCGGGAACAAATTTGGGGTGGCCTGAAGGGCTGGGGGGGGAGAGGGCAGGGCCCCCACCTGGCCCTGCTTTGGAGGCAGGGTTTCTGGTGGATGTTGTGGACCAGCCGCGTGCTCTGTGTACCTGTGTGTAAAACCATGTGTAACTAGTCATTGTTTCTTTGTTTTGGTTCTTTTTTTTTTCTTTTTTTCTTTTTTTTTTTAATTATTGTTTTGTTTTTTTTTATTGTAAAGCCATCCCCTGTTTTCAAGGGGGGGGCCTGAGGGGGGGAAGGATTGGGGGGGAGATGTCTCGTTTTGTATCAGGCACCCGCCGCTTCCCCTCTTCTGTAACGAGTTTAAACCATTTAAAAAAAGAAAAGAAAAAAAAAAAAGAAAAAAAAAAAAAGAAGATTGGAGTTACCTATCTTTGCCCAAAGAATCCCAGTTGCACAAAGCGCTATTCCGGTGTGTCGATGATTGTGTGTCGGTGTATATTATACAAAGAGGTACTTGTCACTCCCGTTTGTAAACTACATTTGACATTAATTAAACAAGTATAAATCTTCTCGGGCCTCTTCCCGCCGTGCTCTCGTGTCTTTCCCTTCGCAGGCGAGTGGGACCGGAGAACCCCGGGAGGTGACAGCTCTGCACCCCAAAGGCGCGCCCGGATCCTTTTTGGGGTGCAGAACCCAAGGGATGGACACAGGGGGATGCCAGGGTGACCTCCCCAAACCCCAAACCCTTTTGGGACCCAACATTCCCCCGCAGTGCCCACCGTGGCCGGGCCCCCAGCTTGTCCCCCAGCCAGGGCCGGGGGTGCAGGGCGAAGGGCACGGCCCTTGGGGTCCCCAATAACGGAGCCTTGGCAGCTGTGCATTATTTGGCCGGGGGAATTTGGGACGTGCTGGAGGCTCCCAGCCCCAACAGATCTATACGTCCTGCATTAGGGACCAGCGGCGCCATGTAGGGTTACCCTGACAGCAGGGAGAGCGGGTAATGGGGGGGGGGGTCACCCCCAACCCTCATTGTGGGGCTGGCGCCAATGCTTTCGGTGTACAAACGGGTCAGAGGGGGGCTTCCAACCCCCAACCCATGGTTTAGTCCCCTGGGACAGGGTGCTGAGCAGCAAGGGGGGGTTACAGTGAGGGTCCCCAGGCCCACAGCCCCCGCTCCCCATCTGCCCAGGCAGCAGGGGGGAGTTTGGCCCCTCTCCACACCCAAAAGAGGCTTTGAGGGCAGGGTGAGGGGCAGGAACCCCCCCACACACACACACCTCGCCCCCTCCCCAGCAGGCTGCTAATATTTTATTTAAAATATCTTTAGGAAGCGGAGGGCCGTGATGTATCGGGTGTATTGAGAAAATGCTAATGTGTAATAGCGTGTGTCAGGGGCCTCGTTCATCACCCCGCGCCGCCTTCTGGGGGATCCATATCTAATTAACAGTAATGAATGAGGGAGCCCACCTAATGACAGCCCGCCAGTTTGTTATGGAAATGAGGCAATCCCATTAGGCAAAACACTTAATTAAACAAACTGCTCCGAGTGGCGGCCAGGGCAGGGCTGGCCCAGGCCCTTTGGGGGGCCTTGGTGTCCGCCCCCACCCTACAACACGGGGCTGGGGCTCGGCAGGAGCCAGGAGGGACCCTGGGCACCTCCATCCCAGTGGGGGGGCTGTGACCAGGCCTGGGGGGCTTCACAGCCCCCCGTGTCCTCCCCAGGGCTGGGGGCACCGTCACGGCTCCCCCCACATCGATGGGTGCAGAGGCAGCGGGGGCCGAGCAGAGATTTCCGATCAAAGCTGTGTACTTGGCTCCTGCTCTATCGACACCGAAGCGAGCAGGGCTCAAGGTTAATTCCTTATCAATACCCTATTGTCAGCTCATCCATCACCCGGGGAGGGCAGGGGCTGCCCGAGCCCCGGTGGGTTTGGGGAGGGTGACCAAAGGGAGCTGTGCGTGTCACCCCCCCACCCCATGCCTGGCTGCGGAGAGGAAGGGAAGGGAGCCCCAAGTTCATGGGAAGGGGATGGAGAACACAGGGGGGGCACCTGCTCACAGCCACAGCCCCCCCTGCACCGTGTTGTTCCTAACTGCTGAGTTTTACCCTTGCTGGTTTCCCTTCCCCAGCTTGGGATTTGTTTCAGGAGATGCTCTCAGGCAGGCGGGATGTGCTGGGCTGTCACGCCCCTGCTGTCCCAGTTTATTTTAATCCCATCAGAGCATAAAACTTCCCCCTGTGGTTCCCTACACCCTCCTTTCCGTGCATCCTGCTCAATTCCAGCTCCCACCCGCATTTGTGCTTCCCCAGGGGGAGCTTAGGGCAGAGCTTAGGGCACCCCCAGACCTCAGCGAGCTTTTTCCCTTCTCCTCCTGACAGCTCCCAGAAAAAGCAGCCCAAGTCACCCTGCTCGGAGGACTGACGGGAGCTGCTGCCACCTGCTGGGGCTCCCCCAGCCACCAAAGCAGGTTTTTCCTCGAAATAAAACACATTTCTGGAACACCTCCGCTCAGCACCCACAGCAATAAACAGGAGCAGCAGATTCCCAGCCCAGCACCACTGCGTTAATTCAGAGGTGTCTGTTATGAAGTGTTTAACTGTTCTATAAATACCAGACTCGCAGAAAGCAGCGTGAGGGTAACCACTAGTTAAACAGCCTTTCCCACCTCTGCTCCCTGCAATCTCTCAGTCCCCCAAACAGGCTGGGTGCTCGGAAGGAAGATAAAGCAGAGATCAGCTCTCCAGGAAGGCAGGAGCACAGATCACAGCTCAGCACTGACAGCACGAACCACTTTAATGATGGGCTTTCTGGGATAGGGGACCACAGCTGAATTTTACAGGTCCAAACCCCAGAAACTGTTTTTTTCTCCCCAAGAGAAAGAGCACACTGGAGGCTCCTACCACAGGGTAGCCCCAAGCAGCAAGGCTCCTGTGCTCGCAGCCAGTTTTCACTTCAAAAAGTGAAGGCTTGCCAGGCTATCAGATCCTTCTCAGCTAATTCTCACACGTCCTGTACACCCCAGACCTCACCTGACACAGGGTTACTCTAAATAAGCACTGCCACACTGGCCTGCTAAAAACAGTTGTTCCAGCCACTGGCCACAGCTCACCCTGTGTAATTTCCACATGTTATGGTTCTGGTTCCAAACTTCCAAACAATCCTGGTGCTTCTCCAGAGCTCTCTCTCTGCCCATGTTTCAATTAAGAACAGCAAGTGCTTGCTAATTGGCAGGTGACGGCACCCAAAGGTGGGTGAGTCAGGCACAGCAGGCGCTCCAGCCCACAGGCAGTGAATGTCTTCTGTAGAAATCCTCTGTAGAAATCCTTTTTTCCACATTCCTGCCTCAAAAGGGCAGACCCTTGTTCAAACAGGCCGTACCAGAGCCCTCCAGGGCCTGCCCTGCCAATTTCTGACTAAGGATTTAAAGCTGGTTAATCCTGTCCACCATGTCTGTAATTAGCTTGCAGTGCTGTGACATGAGGTAAACATGTTATTAGCAAGCTATTCTCTGCCTTTATCCCCCCTTCTCCCCCAAATAAGCAACAAAACTCAAGCATGGCTGAAGTGCAGCGCAGCGAGCTGCCTTTTCGCTAGGTGGAGGGAATTTGTTTCTTGTATTACCAGTACACGCTGCAGGGACAGCAAAGACTGATCATCCGGAGAGAATGTTATGGGGGAAAACATTGAATTTCATGGTCATTTGTGGGTTAGCTGGATGGAAGTGATTTAAGCAACACGCAGTATAAATCACAGCTCCAAAAGACACTTTCATTTTTCTCTGCAGTTCCACCTTTCCGTTTCTGAGGTCTTCTGGGTTACAGCTGTGCCAGTATCCCGGCATTTCTAGATGCACAATCCTGGCTGCTCAAAGAAACGCAGTAATAGATGAGCACTAATCCAAGAAAACAAAAATTACCTGGGAGAACACACAACAGACAAGAAAGAGGAGAAACAAGACAACACACATCCAAAAAAAAGCTTAACAGAATTTTTGGTTGAAGAACACAAAAGTTATCACAAACATTTGAGCTCCACCCCGGGGCCACGGAATCAGAGCTCTGGCTGCCCTCTCCGCCCTTTAACAGAACCAAGCAGTGCTGAGAGAAGAGGGAAACCTTGCAGCTGCAAGATAAAAGAAATAGCAGAGAGGAAAACCACAAAGACATTGAAGAGCTGTATTGCTGTATCAGTACAAGGCAACAGAACGTGTACATTGGACATCTGGAACAAGGACACACGGAAAGCAGGGAACACCACGAGACAGGAAGAAACAACACTCCTCGTGAAATTCTGGTCAGTGACACCCCAACTACCACACCGTGCTAGAATTTCACTTTCAGTTCTTTAAATTACTGCAAATCAACTTTTTGCCATGAGGTGGCTGGCTCAAAGACAGACTGGAGGCTTTCAGCTTTGCAGCAGAAGCCAAAAAAAAAAAAAAGTGCCTAAGAAATCTCTACACTTTCCTCCCCTCAAAGACATAAAGGGAGAGGGGGTGGCATTTCCCGTGTAATCTGAGGTCATCACGCTAACGAGGTGAGCCCCTGACACAGTCAGAGAGGAAAGTCACACAGAGGTTGCTGTAGTAGGTGGGATACGCCCGCATGTGGCTGACGTGAGCCGAATCTGAGAAGTCCACAGCTCTCACGGGGACGCCAAGCTGCTGCCGGGCATCTGCCATGTGCTTCACATCGTGGGCGCTGATGACGGCGTCCGCCTGTGAGTAGAGGTACAGCTCGGGCCACCGCGAGGGCGCCTTCAGCAGGGCGTCGTAATGGCTCTCGTGGATGAAGCGGGTGAGGGGGTACAGCAGGATCCGCAGCACGACGACCGTGGTAGCAAAAGCGAAGATGAGGAAGTACCTGAGCAGCACGTTCATGGATACCAGGACAGCCGCCAAGGCGCGAAGGCTTCCTCTCAAGTTTCTTCTGCCGGGGGCGCTGTCAAAAATGGTGCCCAGGACTTTGAGGTGCTGAAAGGGCCGCTGAGTGTGCAGCGCCTCGAGGATGTAGCGGTACAGCATGACGCCGCCGTTGCTGAAGACGTGGAACAGCACGGGCCGGTGGTCAATGCTGTGGGCAAAGAGCAGCTCCAGGAGCCTCCTGGCCGGGGTCCGGAGGGATCGGATGCCAAAGCTCTCGGAGAAGAACACCGTCCTCCACGGAGCCGTGTAGCGGATGACGGTGCACCCCTAGGCAGAACAAAAAGAGACCACCCAACACGTTTGGGCTGGGCTGTAAGTTACAGAGTAGGCAAGCAGCAGTAGAGCAAAACATGAACATTTGAGGTAGATTTCCAACAGAAACCACAGGGCCAGGAGAAACTCGTCAGTGTTATTCGCAAATCACCAGTATGAAAGGAGCTGGGCCCTGATAATCCTTCTGGGTCCCTTCCAACTCAGGATATTCTATGAATAGGATTCCATAAATCATAACAGTACAAAGACTAATGAAAAGGTTTCTGCAACAGCAGCAGGCCTGGGTTTGATGACGTTCCAGATCCTTTCAAATCCTGTGCTAACTGGTACAGCCCCTGGGGACATGACCACCCACACTTAGCGTCAGTCCTCACCCAGGAAGAGAAAACAGGCCCTCTCCCCAACTCACAAGCCTTGCAGCATCAGTCATTTTGGCAAGAACGGCCTGCTCTGATACACATCTAGTTCATGACACTGAAACAAACGTAAGAAGGAAGTGGAACTTCTTCCTTTTCTTGGGTAGCACTCATTTGCAGCCATCCTTTAAGACTCCACTGTGATCAACACTGAGATGATTTTCACAAGCCTTTCTGAAACTCCCTAGCTGCGCAACTGAGAAGCATTGCTTCAGAGGAGACTTAGATCTCCTGAGCAGTCTGCCTTTACAGTTCAGACCTTATACTTAGGTGTCGATCAGGAAACAGAATCTCAGAGGAGTTCCTATATGGAGCAGGTGGAACTGCACTGATAAATGCTTTAGATCTTCCCTGTCACCTAAACAGATTGACGCTGCACACTGACAAACACGAGGTAAAAGCATGAAGACAGCCCTTCCTCCCAGAGCTCCCTGGGCAGCAAACTAAGCAGAAGAGAGGATACCGAGTGCTTTAATCAAAGTTTTCTATACCATCTTTCCATGGTTGCAGCCACTTCCTCACTAGGGAGCTAAGAGAAGCTTTTTTTCTGCCCTTTCCCACTACCAACACCTTTCTGATAGAGAAGTACTTCCACAGCAGCTGGCACGCTGCCACGTAACGCGCTCCTCACCTGATCAGTAGCATGTTTTACTTACAGTAATTGCTTAACAATTAATTCTTTGCTAGAACAAGCCAATTCATGACTCTTATGCTGGATTACACATTAACAATACGCTTGTTAATGTATAAACTTCGCCATCTATAGCTGAAACAGATTTAGATAAATACAAGATTTCTGTATGCTGACAGACAAAAAAAAAAAGTTTGGTGTTTTACTGGGTCCCAATACCACAAGCTGGGGTCACTCAGGTAAAATACAGCATTAGTGAGAAGGAGTCCATAACTTAGGGAACTGCCATGGGGACACACCTCTCTAGTTCAAAAACAAGGAGTCACCAGTGGGCAGGTATTCCTATCACAGGGCATCTGCTTCACAGATGGGATATAACAAATTGGAGCTGTGACATTTTTATGGATTAATTTTACAGAAGGGAAGAGCTGGCGGGATGACAGATGCTGATATGCTGTCACTCCTCAGCCTGGCCTTGCTGAGCCTGTGCTGTGCCCTGTCAGCTGGCAGTAAATGTGTTTTTCCCCTAAAACAGCTAATGCAGTTCACATCCTTCACAAATAATCTCCCAGCTTTAACACCCTATTTCAAGGCCGGCCCAGTGGTTTGCAGAACAGCAGAAAGCCTCTCCCAGAAGCATTTTTATGTTGTGTGCACAAAGGTGACACCAGCAGCTACCAGATAACACCCCCTCGGCTCCTGGACGCTGGGAGCTCTCAGTGACACCCAGAACCCACCCGCACCTCCCAGCGACCCCAGACAGGGCCTTTCAGAGCCGTTTCACCACGGGAACACGAAGCAGGGATCTCCCCAGGATGCGAGCAGAGACGAGGAGGCGAGCCGCTCACCTTCTGGCTGTAGATCGCACTGTACTTAGCCAGGTACCTGTCCTGGCAGCCCGCCCAGCCCAGCAGGATCACCACGGGCTGGCAGCCGGTCTCCGCGGCGCTCCCTGGAACACAGAACGGCACCGTCAGCTCCCCCCGCTCACCGCACGGACCCCACAGAACCCCATAGGCCCCCCACAGGCCCCCACAGGCCCCCACAGCCCCCACAGGCCCCCCACAGGCCCTCATAGACCCCTCACAGGCCTCCACAGGCCCCTCACAGGCCCCCAAGCCACAGACCCCCACAGACCCCTCACAGGCCCCCCACAGGCCCCCCACCCCCTGAGGCTCCCCCCTGCCCTTGTGGTCCCCCCCTCACGCCCAGCACCCCCAGACCCCGCTCCCGGCCCCCTCCCATCCCTCCCGGTGCCCACCGCGGGCCTCCCCCGCCGCCAGCTCCACCACAGCGGCCTCCAGCCCGCGCGCCCCCATGGCCGCCTCCTCTCCTCCTCCTCCTCCTCCTCCTCCTCCTCCCTCCGCTTCCGCTCTCCCCACCGGAAGCCCCGCCCCCCCGCGCCTCCCGTAGCCAATAGGATCACAGAGCGGCCGCCCCAGCCTCGTTCTGCCTCCCGCCGCCCCGCCTCCCGTTTCCTTAGCGACGCGGCCTTAGCAACCGCCGGCGGCCGGGAGCCCCGCCCACCTGGGGGGAAAGCGGGCCGCCCATTGGGCCGAGGGGAGGGGGAGGCGGCTCGCGATTGGCTGCGGGGAGGTGTCCATCATCCTGAGGGGAAGCGGGCGCCCCCTCAGGGTCGGGGGCGGCGGGGCCGGGGGCGGAGGGGTCTGAGGGGGCCGGGGGGGGCCCGGCGGGGTCTGAGGGGACGGGGCCCCCTGAGGGGGGGCGCAGGGGGTGGGGGAGGACCCCGGGGTGAGGGTTTGGGGCTGGGGGGGCGGAGGGGAAGGGGTTTGGGGGGGAGGGGGAAGGGCAGGGTGAGGGGTGAGGGGTGAGGCCTAGGGGGTGAGGCCTGAGGGGGTGGGTGAGGAGCTGGGGGGGTGGGCACGGCTGTCAGAGGGGGTTGGGGGGGGTGGGGGGCACTGGGGGGCACTGGGGAGAGTGTGGAGGGGCTGTGGGGAGGGGCTGTGGGGAGGGGCAGGGTGCCCAGGTGAGGGGAGGACCCTCCGGGGCAGCAGCCTTTGGGTTTTGCCCAGGGCCCGTGGGGCCTGGCGGTGCGGGATCCAAAGGTAGCTCCACATCACCCGGCCTGCCCGCGGGTCCAAGGCTGCGCCTCACGCCTGGCAGCGCCAGCCTGCCTTTTGGTCTGGTTTAGCAGTAGGTGGCATGCAAACAAGCGCCAAGCTGCCCCGCCATCCCTAAAATCGCTCGTGTTTTTCTTGGCAGGAGAAAGGAACTGCCCTGACCCCAGCCCTGGTGTGTTTGTTAGGTCCGGTGGGCTGGGGAGGCAGCACAGCGCCGGTGAGGGCAGAGTTTGGAGCTAGCAAAGAGGAGTTATGTGGCGTTTTTAGCGCTGACAAACAACTCAGGCAAGTCATTTAACTGCCCTGTATGTATCTGTGTGTTCCCATATGTAAAGTGGCAGTAATAAAAATACTCGGGTACGTTTTCAGGGTGCTTTGCAATGTCAGCTTAAAGAGCACTATGTCAGCAGATGCTGTTGTTATAGCAGCCAGGGACTGATACCGCCGTATCCTCAGAAGTCTCGTGATCATTTTTTCAAGCTCATTTTTCTTCACCGTTGATTCATGGGCAAGCTCTTTGTATCAATAAAATCCTCATGTCTTAAAGCTGGTGCTGGTTTTTCTGAACAGTGGAAGCTACTGTAGCTTTAAAATAAAAATAGGGCAGCATTACACCACCAGCATCTCAAACATAAATATGGAAACATTAATTTAGAATCAATTTTAGGATGTTTCAGACTGTAAAGTTCTTTTAACAAGATCTCTGTTGAGGACAGAGGAGCACTTTATGGGACTGTAAATTTCATGCAAACAGTCTCAGTGAAATACAGATTCCTCCTACATACTAGCTGTTCTCTCAATATCAATCATACGCCTTGCAAGTAATGTTTCACAAATATTCTGTAAATCACGGGAAAATGCTCGCAATAATGTGAAATATGACTTTCACTTGACTGTTTCACCAGAGGCCCCTAACAGGCCATTCTCCTGTCAGCACTAACATTTGTTATGGCTAATAACACTTTCAATCACAACTATTTTGGGAAAATGGATTTATTTTAAACCTGCTTCCCCGCAAAGGAGATCCTGAAAACGCCCTGCCAAGGACACAGGCTCCTTTCAGAGCACAGACCGTTAATTCCCAAATGAAATTTCGTCTCATCTTAAGTCTCAATCCTTGTGTCTTGGCCAACTTTTTGAAGTCTTTGTTTGTTTGTTTTCCGTCACTGAGATACTTTTCACCTCTTGGTCATTGTTTTCAGCAGGGTTCAGATAATAGCAATAGAAAATTATTTTGAGCATACGTCCTGGGGATATTTTGGAGCTTTTTTGGTACTTCGCTCCAAATTCTTGAGGAACAGGCTTAAGAACTTTGCAGATAGCTAATTGTTAATCTTGGTGACTTGGATTATTTTGAAAGAAACTTCTTATTCTGAAACCCAGGAGTTTTCTGTCATTTTAACTTTTTGGCAGATAAACCATACTTTAAATAAAACCTGAAATGGTGCTTGTCTTAGGTACCACATACACGTCAGCAGAATTCTTGACTACACACATGAAGGGAAGGTTTAGTCCTCTGGTGTTTCATCCCTCTACAAAGTGCACGTTGCCGTTTGTCAGGTTGGAATAGGGGGACATCCTACTGAGGTAAAAGCGTGGCAAAGTAATTTGGTAAAACACAGGTTGCTTTGTGGGATTGAAGGAAGTGCAGACAAGGGATGTTTGTGGAGCTTTGTCTTCTTGCCTGTAGTTCTTATTATTTCAGTCCTTAGATTTTTTAATGATGGACCACTGAAAACTCAGAATGTGCACATAGAAATTAAACAAGAAAAAAAAAAAAAAGCAATTTTTCCACCATGCCAAACGGTCCCAAGCCATTTTGCCACTGCCCAGGCCAAACCTCCTCCTGGAATGGATGTGGGCCCAGCCCCAGTGACTCGCTGCACCCTGTGGGTGAGAGCAGGCTGCACCGCTGCACACTAACAGGCATTTACAGCCCCCTTGACCCTGTCACTCCCCATAAATCCATACCTATTTGTGCTCTCATTTCACTCTATTTACTCTCTGGTAGGTCAGATATGAGATGCAGTGTTCATATCATGAACCTAGCAAGAAACCAAAGTGGGGGGAATGAGTAACATCAAAATGACTTTATTAACACAGCGGAGAAGAGAGTTCCTGTGGTGAAGCCAGCTGCCCTTGGAAAATAATCTCAAGTCTGTTGCGGATTCTCTGTGCAGCTTCAGGCTTACCAGAAACTCTCCTTTTAGCTCAGTTTTGCTGTTTATGAAACAAGTGTAGGAAAAAGATGTAATAAATGGCTAGTAAGTGCTTTTATATTAATATTTAATTTGCCAGAGAACATTTTAAATGTGATTCTGGTGGTAATTCCTCAATACAGACTTCTTCTGTCTTTAAGGCCTTTTTTTTAACTTCTCACTTTTCTTTAGGCAGAAGAGATCATGGCTTCTGTCAAAGAGCAGGAGGCCATCAGGAAGCTCATGGTTTTCCTGCAAGAATGGGACAGTGGTCACAAAGTTGCTCGAAGCCGCGTCCTGGACAGCTTCATCAAAAGCAATAATGGCAAGACAGAACCAGAGCTGGAGCTGGAATTCTCCCAGGGAGCCAGCTTGTTTCTGGCTCGCCTGACAGCGTGGCTCAGGATGACGTATCTGTTTCCTTGGAAAGCTGAGCGTGGCGCGTGGTAGTGGGATGGAGAGGAAGGGGATGTTCTCTAACAAAAAAATGTTCAAAGAATAAGTAGAGAGATCCATATCCAGCTGCAGGGGAAAAAATAGCTATCTGAAGATGGAACTGAGGAAAAAGTCATGTAGTTTGACTCTCAGGAACCTAGAAATTAGTGGTTTTTCTCCTGTTGGGGTGAGCGTGCTGCCTCTGCACACCTTTGAGAGGAAGTTCCATGCTCCCTCTAACAAAGTGGGTACCCAGGTTCAGAGCTCCACATTGCCAGAGTTGCCGGGGGGGGCACCAGGATGGTCTGTCATTCCCTCCTTAGCCTTATCGAACAGCTACATGCACAGCACGTGCCTTGACAAGCTGCTCAAGTCTATTGGCATCTTCTTATCTGCTGCAGGCGGGTGAGTAGAGAACGTAGCTGCGTGAGAGGTGCATGCGAGGGTGGCAGGGTTCAGGAAAGAAAGAAGATAACAGGTCCTGGGCAGGCTTTTGGAAGGGCTGTTTAAACATTTCATGCAGGGCAGGCCCCAGCAAGGGCTGTGGCTTACTGCAAGTAGGATTTTCAGATGTTCCCAAAACCCAATCCACTGCTTGCCCATCACCAGAGCCGCTGGGTCACTGGCATGGTGTGGGAGGAATGTGTTGGGAGCACGAGTGCAGCAATGGGGCTTTCTGTGCCTGCCGTTCAGTGTCTGAAATGAGCACAGAGGGAAAACAGGAGCTGGTGACCTGCTGCAGAGCATGCTGCTGGCGGCGCCTGCTGCAGCCATCCCAGCTCAGCCCCAGGCACCTCGTGTTGGGTGTCTGGCACCAGGGCCCTGCTACAGCGAGGCAGGAGGTGACAGATCCCAGGAGCACAGAGTGCTCGCTCGGGAAGATGGGCTCCAGGGCCGGTGACATTTTGGGCTTTGTTCCCCCATCCCTGCAGGCGCAGATACCTTATTGAATTTCTGGAGATCGGAGGTGTCATGACTCTCCTGGAAATACTAGGGCTGAACCACCTGAAAGAAGAGGACAAAAGGGAGTCTGTCAAGCTGCTCCAGCTCGTCGCAAACGCTGGCAGGAAGTATAAGGAGCTCATTTGTGAGAGCTACGGTAGGCGGCGTGTCCATCTGCGCTTTTTCCTAATTCAGCCGAGGATGTTCTCGGTGACCTCTGGCCCCCAGGGCTGCTCGCAGCGCTGCGCCCCTCCTTCCCCTCCACCTGCCGATGGCAGATTGCCGTGGCGTTCGTCTTGCTGGAGGGAGTTCAGAGTCCTGGCTATTGTGGAGTGGTTGCATTTCATCCCCTCTCTGGTTTTAATGAGCTCGCTTTCTTTACAGTGATTTCTTCTGATGTGATATTGCTGTCCTGCTGGTTGCAACTGCTACAGTGAAAATCACAAAACAGTTTCTATTCTTACCTGCAGCGTCTGCCTACCTCTAGAGGTGGGAGGGTTTCTTGCTTTTGAAAGAACCTTAACAATATTTTTTTCCTATTATTTTTTTTTTCTCCTGGACATCAGAAGCGAAATGCCATTCATTGCTCTGTAGTTCGGATTATGCCTCAGGTTGTCAGTGACTGTGGGGTGATACCTGCTGCCACAGCTTCCTCCCAGAGAGATGAAGCTGCAGGAGCAGCAGGAGGATCCTTAGCAGCACTGTTGGCATCTCAGTGCCAGGTTTGCTCCTTGTGTAAATGCCTGCAGAAGGGCTTTGGCCCTCTGCTCCAGCTGACAGTCTGGCTGTCTCTTTTTCCAGCTGGTGTCATGGCTCTTGATAAGAACAACGAACTTTTTTCCTGGCTTCTGTTCCTTAAGTCACACTTTGAGTGGGACATGATGCTGTGCTTTTGGGGGGTATGAGCAAAACCGCCGAGAAGTGTGACCTGCAGACTCACCCAGACATAATTTGGCATCTCTTTCTCCACACAGGGGTGCAATGCCTTGCCTGAGTTGTTGGCCACCTCCACCTCAGCAGAGGCTCAAGAGGACGCGCAGGTTCTGCTGGACTCCCTGGGCCGCGGCAACCCCAAGTACCAGCACCAAGTCTACAAAGGCCTCATCGCGGTGCTGCCGTGCGCCTCCCCCCGAGCCCAGCAGCTGGCTCTGCAGACACTGGGGGCGATGCAGGTGGGTGGCAGGGCTCTACGGGGCAGCATCACCCTTCCCTGGGGCTCCCCCTGCCCCAGCCCATTTCCCCATAGGATCAGGGGGCAGCACGGAGCCACCCCCGGTGCCCTCAGGGTGCCAGCTGCCCCCTCACCCTGCCCCTGTCCCCACAGGAGCTGGTGGGAGAGGCGCCCCCCGCGCTGCTGGAGCCCCTGCTGGCCGTGCTGGGCTCGGCGCACCTGGAGGTGCAGCATGAAGGTAGGACCCGGCCGGGGGGCGCTTAGCGGGGCCATTTCCCGCGCGCGCGCCTCATTAGCATGCGCCTCATTTGCATACCCGTGGTGCACCGCGCGGCACCGCGCGCTCCCGCCCGCTCCGGTCTCCGCCGCTGCTGCCTCGGGACGGGAACGGGGCCGGGAGCGGGGCCGTGGGGTGGGGAGGGGATGGGGGGAGCTGGGGCCGGGGCTGCCCGGAGTTTGTGGGGGGCATCGCCGTGAGCTAGGGGGCGGCGGGCGGCGCTGGGGCCGGGCCGGAGAGGAGGAAGGGTCATACTCTGGTTTCTCTTCAGATCGTATAAATCTTTCGCCTTTTACTAAAGATTTCCGTGGAGAGGAACAAGCACGAGTGTCGTGGAATTTTTTGAGGCTCTGCTTCGGCAGAGCTACCCATACTTGGTCAAAAATAGAATGGATTTGGAGTCTGTAGGTGCCTAACACCACTTTTGTAAGTGCTCTCTTTGCTTGGTTGTGGTTGGTGCAGGTCCGAGATATTCCTGTGGGTTCTGTCGCTGCTTATGTGCGGTCAGAGGCCGCCCCCCAGCTGCCCTTCAGGCGGTTGCAGAGAGCACTGAGCTCTCCCTGAGGTCCCCCAGGGGATCACCACCGGTCACCAGTCACCAGCCGGTTTCACTCCGGCTCCACTCCATTCGCCACCACTCTCCGGGCCCGGCCGCCCCACCAGTTGTTAACCCAGCCCAGCTGTACCTGCCCAGGCCATGCACTGCCAGCTGCTCCAGGAGCATTCTATGGCAGATGGTGCCACAGGTCTTGCTGGAGGCTCAGCAGCCCACCTCAGCAGCCTCTCCCCCGTCCCCCAGGCAGGCTCACCCGGCCACAAGGAGATGAGGCCGGTCAGGCAGGACGTGCCTTTCATGAACCCATGCCGGCTGGGCCTGATCCCACATACACTGCATGTATGTGGGACCCTGCTGGTCCTACACACACTGCATAATTGCACTGATTGCAGCACAGACGAGCTGTCCCAGCCCCTCTCCTGGCAGCGAGGTCCGGCTGGCAGCCCTGCAGCCCCCGGGCCCTCCAAAGGACCCTTGTTATAGGATGGGCACCACACCGGCTGATGACACACAGGGGAGGCACGGGGAGCCTCAGCCTTCCCTTACCCTTAGCAGTCGCGTTCCCCCTGCGGCCAGCAAAGGCGGAACGGGCTGGAGAGGCGCGGGGTGTTTGGGGGGAGCTGCCCCGGCTCGGTTACCGGCAGAGCAGGGGGGGGCGCGCTGGGGGCAATTCCGCGCCATGCGGCCCCAGGCCCCGCCCCTCAGCCCCTGCTCATTTGCATACCCGGCGCGCACCGCGGCAGCGTGGCGCGTCCCGGCTCGGTTCCACCGCCGCTCCCGGCACCGTGCCGAGCCCCGAGGGCTGCGGGGGGACGGGGCAGGGGGAGCGGGGAGCAGGAAGCAGGGCCGGTGCTGCCCGGAGCCTGCAGGGAGCAGTCACCGTGAGCTAGGGAGCGGCGAGCGGCGCTGGGGCCGGGCCGGACAGGAATGGGGGTTATACTCTGGTTTCTCTTCAGATCGTATAAATCTTTCGCCTTTTACTAAAGATTTCCGTGGAGAGGAACAAGCACGAGTGTCGTGGAATTTTTTGAGGCTCTGTTTCGGCAGAGCTACCCATTCCTGGTCAAAAATAGAGTTCAGCTATTAGGCTTGTGTCTTGTGGAGATATCTAAATTTGACTGATGTGCGCTGCTTTCCCCGCAGCCCTGCAGCTGCTGCCGGCCCTGCTGCCCCTCCGTGTCCGCCCGGCCCTGCTGGCGGCGCTGGTGGCCGCGTTGACGCCTCCCGGGCACCCAGCGCTCGCCTCCCGCAGCGAGAGCACCGCAGGTAACAGTGCCCCCGGCTGGGGCTGCCCGGACCTGCAGAGATCTGCTGAGGGTGGCAGCTCCGGCCTGGCCACAAGCCTTCCCTGAGGAGAAATCCTCTTTTTCGTGTTACCCCGTCCCCTCCCTTCTCACACCTCGGGACTGTTCCCAAGCATCCTTCTCACTTGGTTCATTTTCCTCCTGCAGACCCAAACGCGCTGTGCCCGAGGGAGCCAACGCTGGCGTACATTCAGCAGGCAGCTGCCGCAAAAGCCATTGGGTAAGAGACTTTGCAGCAAACCCCACAGGAGCATGAAAAAGACTTCAGGGAAGCACCTTCCTTTGAATAGGATTTTTTATTTGTTTATAGGGAGATGTGGAGTCCTTTCAGCTCTCGTCCTGTCTGCTGTCACAATGTCCCCTTTATGGCTGGGCCTGGATGCAATGTGTGTGTGTCCTTCCACAGCACAGGGCTGAGGGGTGCTGTATTGCTCAAGACCACCATATTCTCCACATAGCTGTGAGCCACAAGTAATTAAATGTTATTTAACATCAGCTGCCCAGTGGAAGAATCTAGTGCTTATGAGTGACTGCAGAATCCTTAAATTCAGCCATTTGTGCTAAAGTTTGTGCATTCGCTGTGAATTTCTTGCGGTGTCCACAAGATAGTGCTATAACACTTCTTCTGCAAAAGTAGATGACAGGGAAAAAAAGGTTTTCCTGCATAGGCAGGTGAACTTGGGTACAGAGACACACTGGAGCATCTTCCGGGGTCATGCTCACAGAAGCAATAACATTGGTGGTATTTCCACTTTGAGTCCTGGGTTCTTTATGGTCATGCAGGAAACGTTCTAGAATTTAATGCACACTAGGAAGCTCCTGAAAATAATGAAACAACTGGTTTGCAGCAAGAATATGTTAAATGATTGACAATCTATATAGAGCAAACTGTTTATTTTTATTTTGCTTGTTTGTTTTCCTGTCTTCTGCCCATCATTGCCTCTAGGGCAGGGTAGAAACAGGAACATGTCAGTTTTCCATTGGAGTCACACCAGGTCTGCACCAAGAGGGCCAGACCCAATTTGTTGTGTGCCCCTTCCCCTGTACAGGGTAGGGACTGACAGCTTGTCTTATTGCAGCATATTAGCCAAGGAGTCAGTAGAAGTGGCTGAAGAGCTGATCCAACTGAACGTGGTGCATGGCCTGATGGTCGCTGTGGGGAACATGGAACATATGCCCAGCCAGAGACACAGCAGCATCTCCCTGAAGGTGAGTGTGATGGTATGTGGTGGAGGCCAGTGTAACACCGAGTCTCTCCCCTGACCACTCAAACAGAAAGGCTCCCTGCATTGTGGGCTTTTTTTTTTTTCTGAGTACATCAGACACAGCCTTATTCACAAAGGCAGGAGTGGCACTTCCTTCAGGCAGTAGCAGTGCTTCCTGTCCCATATGCCAACCACCAAAAAGATGGTGCTGAGAAGCCAGTGTTGGCCCTCACACCTCTGTTCTACACAGCAGCTTGCCCTGAGTAGCAAGCACAGAGCTCACAGGCTAAACAAGGCAGTTTGCTTAGAGCTAGACACTAGCACAGAAGTATAAGCAGGATATTTTGTCCTGCTGGTGCTGCATAAAGAGCCACTCTGTCTACACAACAGTCACAGGTGATGGCTGGGAAGAGGAAGGACCATGCTGCCAGTAGACAGCAAGGGGCTGAATGAGGGACAACTGAGAATCAGGCTACTCAGGATGAAAAATGGGGTTACAAACCACTGAAGTTCATGAAGTGCTGCTAAAGGAGGTGGCTCAGGGAATAACTGTCACATAACATAGAAGTGATCTAGAGCTGCATCATACATGCACCACCTCTAACTCTGTTCTGTTGCAGTACTTTGTCCATACATTTCCCTTTGTGGAAGAGCACATGAAGAATGCAGTAGGGGACACACTTTTCCAGCTCTTTATGGTAAGCATGCCTTTCTTACAGGTTTCAATGGCCCTTAGAGCTCAGTCTGTTTTCCATGGGTGTAGAGACTGGACTTTTTAAAAAAAATCCAGTCTTCAATAATATTTCAGAAAAGCCTACCCTTTGGAAAGTGTTTACCTTCAGGCTGTGTTCAGGAAGATAATTGCTCTGACTCCTTGCTCTCTCAGACTCCTGCTAGGTCTGTAACAGTGGGAATTTGGTGTAAGAATGAGGCATGAGGTGACGAGCTCCTCCCAGCCAGGTCCCTCCTGAGTTTGGCTCCTGGGGTGCAGTATGTAGCACTTGGGCTCTGCCTGCATCATACTACAAGTCATCATAACACTATCATGACCTCTTCCAGGACAGTCCTGAGACCTGGTACACAAAAATGGATCAAGCCCAGGCTGAAGAACTGGCCTCCAGTATACTGGACATCCCCAAAGACATGGGAAGGAAGCAGTCCACAGAAGGTATGTACATATGTACAAGGCTGGGGTCACAGTCACTTCTCCAGCAACACTCCCCCCTTACACTAACATCTATCACAAATTACTCACATTGTTGGAAAGCTGCTGAACATGTTATTTTATATGGCATGTTAACTATTTCCCACGTGGAAGATACATATGAAGTAAAAGCCTGGGGCTATCTTTGAAGCCTAACTGGACTCCATAGGTACAGAGGAGGCACAGGGCCCTTCCAATTTTCCTGCTACCAAAAGGGCAGAGCCACACACTACAACCTGTTGGGCTTTGCTAAGTACAGGAGACTGGTTTAGAGGCTCCCCCCCCGCCACTAGGCAAGATCTACCCAGCAGGATCTCTATTAAGAAACAACATTTATTTTAAATGATTTTTATGCAAACATTACAAGAGTAAAGACTAAAAAGAAGCTTCCTCCAAGAAATCAGTCTTTCTCCACAACACCAAGTCTTTAGGAACAGTTAGACTTTAGCAAAAAAATCAGTAAGAAATATTTTATAAGATAGAAGTTAATTAAATACAGGAACATTTATTTATCAAGTTTCTTAAAATACTGATTTTTTACAATCACATAGTCGGTTTTCTTCCTAGAAGAGACTTGCAAAAGTTTCAAACACATCTGGACCAAAAGTTAATGTATTACTTTCTGGTGTACATATAATCTAGTTCTATCAGAGGAGACCATTGTCTCTAACAAAGGACCAGATGTCAGACATACCTAGCACACTCTCAGGCCCCCCTCCCCAAGCCTTGCAGGCATGGTTTCTAGCAGGGTCTCTGCAGAGTCCCCTGATACCAGGCCATGAAGAAAGGCTGCCACATTCACTGCCCTCAGGCACACCAGACCTGCAGACACCCTACTGCATTTGAAATAGGAATTACTCAAACCACTGACAAACGTGCAAGACATACAGAAGACTGCTTGTGAACCAGGTTTTGCTGTATTTACTGAGGCCTCTGCTTGTTCATCTGCTTGCTGGCTTGCTCCTCCAGCTGCATGGCGACCACCAGGGCATCCAATGTTTCTGTAATGGAAGACAGCATTAGCAGGGGGACTGACCTGAGGGCTGAATTCTCCAGCCCAGCTGTTCTTTTCAGCAGCTCAGCTGCTGCCATCTGCAAGGGCCACAGAGGCAAGTGAACTGTGCAAGAACAGCTCAGCCAACATCAGATCCCCAGCATCACATCCTGCTGGATCTCACAAAGCTTGTCAGCTTTACAGTGGATAGATATTAAGGCCCGCTATCCATGAAAAACAAAAGTGGAAACAGTAGACATACCCCTACAAATGCCTATGGTATTGGCATCTATTTCTCAGGTGCCTGTTTTTTGGGCAAGGCAAGAGATAAGCTATGTCTGTTTTATTCATTGGTTACATCAACTCTTCTTAGTGGGTATAGCATTATTCTCAAGAGAGGGCAGTTTTATATGGCATTGAAAAAGTGGAAGATATTTTCAAAGTAAGTTTTTGCTAGTACAGACGATAGGACATTTCAGGTCTGATGCTGTGATCACCTAGCAAAGTGCTCAGAACTGAGTGCTCAACACCACCACCACTCCCAGATAAGCAAGCTGATGTTATTTCAGATCTTCAAGAGAAAAGAAAAAGATTAGTGACAGTGCTATTCAGAAACTCTTGAGTAGGCACTATCTCAAGAAACATTAACATACCTCTGACACTAAGGAAATTTCTTGAGCTCTCTTCTATGAAGTACTTTGCTCTGCTCACAAAGGTCTCAAGATCATAGTCTGGTTGCTCTGTGATTCCCAAGAGGTAGTCAAGTTCAGTCGTCATTCTCTGTATTTACAAGAAAGACCATGAAGAGAAATCAGAGAAGTCAGCTTTCTGAAAATTCAGTGAGTTGCTTTGAATATGGCACACCAGAGCAGAGCTGAGCTTTGACAGCCCGGTATCAGTTGGTGCAAGCAGAGCTTACTAGCTGGAGGGGAGGGGGACTGGCTGGCCACAAGCACCGGAATTCCACAGTGTAACCAGTTGAGCAGGAAACCAGAGGGAAAAGCTAGCACTGAGGAAAAGGTAACACCACTGACAGCATTTTGCATTACAGCCCACAGCCTGCCCAGTAGCACTAGGCTCAGACAAGGCAAGTTCCTGTCAACATAGAGAAGGCAGCTTAGGTTGGGCTTGCCTCTTACACCTACCTGTCTCAGTTCTCTAAGCTGTTCTACAACCTTCTCCTCCCGTTCACCAATCTGAGTGACAGCCTCACGGAAATTGAACATGTGGGGAGACATATCTTCCTCCTCATCCTTGGAGAGCTGCAAGAAACAGCTCAAGTAAGAACAGCAGGTTGTTTTCAACAACCTCAAGCTTTGAGATTTGTTCAGCCCACTGCCCACACGTACATTGTGTTGAAGAGTTGAGCTTTCTCCACTGATCTCCGTTTCCTCATTCTCAATCTCCATATGATTCTGTGTTTCACCACCTCCATTATGAGGGCTGAGCTCTTTCACTCTGCAACAAGAAGATTAACCACTCAGTCTTTCAGCAATTTCAGAGCTACAGCATCACAAAACAGCTACTGCAATCCGTTGGTGCTCAGCACTGACTTCATTGATTAATGAAGTCAAAAGCATTTGACTTCATTAAAAAAATCCGTATTACCACACCTGGAGCAAGCTTTCATGGACAAACTCCAGAGGGCTGTGGGAAGCAAAGCCAAGAGATGTGTCTTTACGTCCAGCCTAGCCACATCAATTTAGGACTTCTCCACAAGAGAAGTGTTCCAAGTACACAATACTAATAGCCTGTGTATGTGTGAAAGGCTTTGCTGGCAATCTTCCACATATCAGCTTGGTTTGTTGTGACCAATTAAGAGGACTTTGTATGGAAAGAAAAGGAATAAGGCTGATCCCCACCCCTCCCATAGAGGCCCTCCATGCCAGAATAGGCCTATAAAAGATAAAAATTATATCTGAGGACACAGAGCTAGAGGTAGAGGTCAGGCATCAGCTAGGTACTTTGTTCTAGTTACTAATGTCAGCTTCGTATTTCCAGTTCCACCTTACACACTCCCTTTATAGCTTGAACTTGCCTTGTGCACTAGCTAAGAATCCAATGTGTACAACTGAAGACTAGCATCTTACTGAAGCACACCATAAGTCAGATGTTGCATTTTGTCGTGTACTTTCAGGTGATTAGGAATGACTGTCCACCAGAAAGAAGAACTTCAATCCAGAACAAAATCTGGAAACCTGTCAAGATCCCTAGTGCTCCTGAATGCTTATGGCTTGAATTAGCAGACACCTTTCAGAGGCTGGAAAGGAAAGAACCAAGCAGCCTTTTGCAAACCAAACAATGGAAAGCTACCAAATCTGAAGTGTGGAAGTGTCATCTTGTTAATGTACGACAGAAGTCATAGGCTCTGCAGCCACAGCACACAGATCCACACAACACAGCATCAGCAACAAAAAATTCAAGCACCACTGACCCTGGTGAAAGAGGGAAAAGCTTAGCTGTTTCCTTAGCTGTTGAGCTTAGACTTAATACAGGCTGCTCTCCCTGTAGCTGTAGAGTCTGTCTGTCCTTTTTTGCTTGTCACCCACCAGAGAGGTGTAAGGGCACATAAAGGCTCTCTGCTCTGCACAGCAGTTCCAGGTTTCCCCTTGTGAATCTTAAGTCTCAGTCCTTATAAATCTTTTGTGCATTGCAGGTACCCAAAGCCCAACCACGGAGCATTCAAAATCCACATTCACACCATTTGCTGCAAGGCACATGAGTTCTCCAGATTCTTTAGATTTCACCCCAAATCTCCTTAGTGTCATACCCTATTAGCTTCTATTAAAGTCCATCAAACACACCTACTGTCCTTCTGCAGGGTCACGTCAGGGAAACATTCTTAGCACACACATAGGGGACCCTGCATAGAATACTGCAGGAAGTAAAGTCATGGAGGTAACCATTCAGGATGTGCTGCTAACAGGGTAAACTCCCTACAAAAAACAAGGTGGTCTGAAGTCTTACATAAAACACTCCTCTGAGTAAAAGAGTTATGGTTTTATACAACCTCTATTATCCCCCCCCCATAATAGTTTCTGAAGACAGCTTTAAGATTATTCGCTCCCAGCAAATGTAACCTCCAAATTGTCATCACAGGTAATGACACCAAGATGAACTTTTGATCAGTGTGAAAGCAGCCAAAACACTTTCTGCAACAAGAGTAGAATCCCCAGCCCAGAAAGGCCATTACCTGTCAGCGTATCTCAGTGTGTTTAAGGTGTACTCGCATGAACTCATGCCTGGAGAAATCATTGCTATCTGCAAACAGAACAGAAAGCCACAGTGAGTCCCACGTCTCAGAGCTCACCAGTTGTTGGTCTCAGTTGCTGTGGGTGAGGTAAGGAGAAAAACTGCAAGACTTTTTTTTGCAGAGAACTGAAGCTTTGTGACTTCCAAGTCCCCTCCCCTTAGAAAGGGAGCATGCAGCTATCTGGACAAATCGCAGAGATCACAAGCAGTGAGTGGGTTCAGCTGTGCCACGCACATACTCACCATACAGGTTCTTGAGTTAGTTCCTATGAAAGAGTCTCTCAGCACCTGGGTCAGCTTGCTTTCCCGGAAAGGGGTATGAGATTTGTTCTGGCCTAGAGCTCGGATACATTCCTAAGAAAAGACAAATCATGAATGCAGTCTCTACATCTCTTCTCAAACAGCTCTGCAAGCTACAGCCACCAACTGCTAGTAAACCCAACAGGCTGGACAATGGTCATCTTCATTGCTCTGTATGTGCTTCATAGCCTTTTAAATAGACTCCACATACTTGACTGTCAAAAAGATACATGGTATATCCACCATACATTCAATAAAAACTTGAATGAAGCTTGAAATGTGTGTCTGACAAAACTACACTGCCTTCCTGGAAACATTATAAGTGGAAGTATACACATCATGTTCATGGTTATTAAAATACAAAGCTGGAATTTCTTTAGCTGTTCTTTTCCCTTGCACTGAAAAGAAACAGCAGATAATCCCAGAGGAAAACAGAATCCATGTGCTGAGTAGTACCATTTGCTCCTTGAGTTATAGCTCACCTTCAAAGCTAGCAGGCTTTTATTGATTTCTGCCCCTTCCATTCGTGTCTGCCTGTCAGCACTAGATGTGTCTGCACCCCTCTCATTTCCTGCCAGATCCACCAAGGAAAATTTGCCAAGCATCTTCCCTCTTCGGCGCAGTATGATTTGGAAGCAGGCATGTGACCGTGAAGAGCTAGCATTTGCAAAAGTTTGTCCCGATGTCCTATAACAAATAAGCAAACAAGTGTTAGAACTGTGTCACAGAAGACTCTGAGGTCCCAACAGCACTAGACCTGCAGCCAGTTCAGTTGTTTAACCCACATTAATACCTCAAGATTGCATGAAATAATCACTTCTCATATCAAGCTGCCTGGCTCAACTTAACCAGCCTGCACTAGAATATTTTTCTGACTGCTAATACCCTGTATGCATTTGAAGCTAGAAGAAATACCTTGAGCACAGCATCTTCCTGCCACAGAGCAGACCACATGTCATTCTCCTAATGCTATCACACGGTAAGCTCCACCAAGCTTCCTCCACTAAACAGCATTAGCTGTGCTAGCACATTACAGGCATGGTAAATCCCTTTCCCCAGCCAAGCTGGCTTGCTGGTTAACCTCTGCACCTGCTCTGTCACTGCAAGAGATTGGAGTCTGATGTACCGTAAACCTCACTGTGACCTTCATCATTATTTATACCCTGCAAGGGCTAGCAGGTTTGCTGTCCCACCCACATCCCTGCTCCTAGAGGAAAATAGAAGGAGGATGTCCTTAAAAATTGCTGGGGGAGGCAGGAGTCTGAAGTGTTAGACAGTTCTTGGCTGAAGTGTCATTCTGCTGTGCATGCTTCTTTGGCTAAATGAGCTTTCAGGATGCACATGCAACGTAATACAGCAGCCAAGGAGTTCTCATTTGCCAAGTATTATTTCCCTAACAGCTGCACCTTACTAGACAGGTAAGACTTGCCGATACAGAATTTAGCCCTGATTAAAGACAAGCCAGTACAACAGCAGAGATACCCCAACTGCAGCTGGCCTGCCAAGATGAGCAGCCAAGCCTACAGCTGTCCCTCAGCACCTTCTCTCAGGGACTCTTTAGAGAAGATCCCCAAACAGACATGAAGCATTTTTGCTGTTACAGGAACAACTCATCTGGCCTGCAGTTAAGACCAAGTATTTTTGCAGCTATAGCTTGATGCCATCTGCTCTTCCTCAATCTTACAAGCCCACAGGGAACTACATATGTTCCTGTAAACTACTTCTAGGAAATAGGCATTGGCACCAGGCAGTCATCTCAGCTGAGCTGTTTCTCTCTTCAGAAGAGATGTGAGGACATGTGGCCACTATGCAAGGAAGGCTAAACCCATCCCTGCCAGTCCTTTATTCTGTAACCCTCTTGTTTTCACACAGAGGTGTGGACCAGTGCCTGTCTGTTAGTGGATACAGCGGCCTCCTCTTTGAAATCTCCAAGCCCTGGGCTACAGTCACATTTTTTGCAGATACAGAGGTACAACAGGACATGGACTTTTCTTATTGTTTTAAGGCATCAAACCTGCATGCACTGCCCATCTCAATCATTCTAATGACATCTTCAGCACAGCTGACTTGTCTCTCTTGAAGGCCAACCACCTGGACCTGCTGCTTGCCATCCTCCAGGACTCGAAGCTTTGCCTTCTTATTCAAGAGATCAAACACCTATATTCAGGCAACAAAACCAAGACAAATCTGAATAACTCTCCTTGAGAAAGAGATTTGAGACTATAAAGACAGCACAGAGTAAGTAGAGAACTATATAGGAACAGCACATTTAACGTAGTCTTCCTTTTTGATTCCAAACATGCCAAGAACAGTAGAGTACATAGAACTATTGAAACTATAAAGTTTCATTCCTCTGTTTATCAAATATGCAGTCAAAGAAGTCCTGCTAGGATTTATTTATTTTTTTTAAATATAAAAAAGTCTTACCTTTCCATTGTATATTTCAAAGAAAGTCACATAGACTTCCAGGTCCTGACTTCTGTACCTGGGCTGGTTTAGAAGAAGGAAGACATCTTGTGCTAGTGAGGAAAGACAGGAGTTTACTTAGCTACATTAAAACATACCCTAGCTGCTACTTGAATTGCTTTTGAATATTGCTTAGCCATAACGTAGTGCTCCTGGCAGCTGAATGATGGCTATCCCAAGAAAATGCTTGGTTTCTACTGTTAATATTACTTGCAGACAGCAATGCTAACTGATCCAGTAAGATCAGTAGAAGCAAATACTGTCCCCCTTGCTGGTCTGGGAGAAAATTATGATCTGCTATTGCTTTGGACAGGTTTGCAAGAGTCAAGCATTTGTTTGAAGCTCTTCCTGTGGAGAATCTAGAAGACACCTCTCTGAGCATCAGCATTGCTGCTGGAGACAACTTAACAGATTAGTTGGGCCTTTGTTTGAATCGAGTTCAGTCTCTTACAAACAGCCTTCACACTTTTGATCTGAAAAGCAGACTTTGGTTCAGAGCCAGTCATAATTGATTCAGGGACTAGCAAAGAGTTGCTTGTTTCAACTGCTTTGCTACACAAAATGCTCTTCTGTAGGGAAAGTGCAAGAGGTCAGAGTTCATGGTGCTTTCTAGGGATTGTATCAAGGAGGGGTTTACAAGATATTCTCAGAAACAGGTGCTTTATATGTGCGTTTTTTTTTTTTTTTTTACATCTAGTGCTTAAATGAAAAAAATCAGATTTGTACACTTTCTGTATAAAAAGCTTTATATCAGAAATGGATAGTATTCTGTTGCATTCAAGTCAGGCTATTTCCAAGCACCATCCTTAGGCTGATACAAAAGCAAAGCAGAACTAATCAAAATTAGATGTTTCAGCCCAGCAAGTGTCAAACTAGAAGATACGTCACCTATCTCAAAAGCAAATCTTTTCTGACAAGTGATAAAAAGCAGGTGGATCTAGAAAACTAGATGTTGGATGGAAAATACAGTTTGTGAAATGGAAAATCTAATCCCACCTCCTGCAACAAACACCGCCACTTATTAATGAAAAGTTATGTATCTTTTCCCAGAAAAAAAAGTATCCATACAAAAACAAACCTTATCTATTTAAGGAAAGCATGCACTAATTTAATTTTCATATCTAAAGGATCAACTTACATGCAAAAGCATATATGCCCTTCGAGGCATTCTGTGCTCTCCCCAAGAAGTCTCCACCCATAGTCTGTGAAGAGAAAAGGCCATCAAAAGTAAGATATGGCACAAGAGCAAGTCAGGCTACCTGATTATAGTACTGAGAACATACTTGGAAGTTATCATGTATATGATAACTGATGTCAGTGAGGTGATTACAGCAGTACAATTAAAGTCTGTTTTCTACTTCCCTATCAGTTCAGAGAAGAGATTTGGACTATGCAAAGTGTCAGCTAAACGCCTGTAAGGCTCTGCAGTACTAACTACTTCACAGGAATTCGGTGCAGTTATTCCTCCTAGGGGAAATGCAATTGCAACTGAATAGCCTCTGGCCAGAGCAGAGACTCATTTGTTTGGAAATATGTTTAGTACCATTTTCACTGTGACTTGCAAAAACTCACGTGTGATATCAAAATGAATCAACCTTGTGCACCAAGCTTCTTCCTTTACCTTCTTTGACAGGTACCTTTAATCCTCCCAGAACTTTTACTTGGTGCTATCTCAGTGAATCATTTAAAACACATCTCAATCCCATGATATATTCTCAATCTACTAGAGTTTAATATGCAGCATTCCAGTCTCAAGGTGCAGCTATTGTCCGTGCACTACTTCTGCACCCTAGGATCAGGAAGGGGAAGTAATTAAGAACTGGAAGTAATTAAGAAATTTGAATGCCTCACAGTTGAATGATGCTCAGATGAGCAGGTTCGTGTGTGCATTTTAGTGCGATGAAGACAGCCGTATCCAAATCTCTACAGTGCTTCCTTTTGGGTTAATGGAGGAGATAAATAGTTGACTACGTAATAGTGATAGGAGAACCTAGCCTAAAAACTTTGCCTCTAACACTTGAATGACAGCACCTGTCTTTATCATTTAAGCTGGTTAGCTAGCAAAGTCCAGTCCACATCACCTTGGTCTGACCTAAAGGCTTACTTGCAGAGCAAGAAGACAATGGATTTGGCTCCACTATCATAGTGTAAAGGAAGAGAATTTCCGCTTTCCTTCCCTTTAGTTTCTAGAAGAGGAAAAAGACAACCCAGTTGCTGAAAGTTTAGAATGTAACACCTCTGAGGCAGAAAACACAATCGCCGGTTCTCTTGAAACTGCAGGTGGTGGGCTGGAAGGAGCGGTTAGAAAGTGAACACAGTAATTTCCACCACTTCACAATACCAGACCATTTAAGCATTCATGTGCAACAAATAAGCAGCATTTTCTTACATAACCACTAAGGTCTTTGGAATGTCTCCAAACTAAGAATACAATACAGACAATAGCCTTTGTCTCAGATGTAGGCTAATAGCCCTACTTTGCAAAGTCGGGGCAGCAACAGCAGTTCAAGGCAAGGAATAGCTATGGCTCTGTCACTAACACGTCAGGATATCATCCTTGGGTCTTTAAAAAAAGAACTATGGGATAAATTTAGCATGACTTTACTCACAACTTCAGAGGAAAGCCACTAACATCTCTGTATTTCTGTAGTTAGAAGAGGATTAACAACTGAAACTTATCTTTTTAAGAAAATAAAGCAAGATTTGAGCTCCTCCTACAATCCTGTAACATCAAGGAACTTCAACATACTCTAGATAAAGCTAGAAAATTGGATACTTTGGAGAAAAACTTACATGTGTCTTGCCACTGCCTGTCTGGCCATACGCGAAACATGTCGCTTTTCCACCCTCAAAGATGGTCTGTACAAGAGGCCTAGCAGTGAACCTGGATATTCAGAAGATAAAAGGCAGTTAAGGCAAGCAGTTCACATCCTGCTCTATTAATTTTCCTAAAGAAGCTAATTTCTTTTTTTTTTTTTGCAAGGCAACACCAAAACTAAACTTTAGACTTTTCAGTCTTTTGGATTCCTCCAAAAATAATTTTCATATTTATTTCAGGCAGCAGTTTCTTTAAACTAGGCTGTCATCTAGCCATAGCTCAGTGCTATCTTGAAAGTCATTCCAACAAGAGGAAAGCATTACCTGTACACCATTTCATTAGAAGCCATTTCATCAAATGAGAAGTCAAATCTGAATGCTTGGGTTTCAAGGTATTTTGTTAGATCCACTTTCTGCTTTGGCTCATGGACCAGCAGGACACATTTGCTTGGAATAGTAATCACATCAACTTCCTTCTTCAGAACTTCTGTTGGTGGAAGAGACCCCCATATTTAACATGAATAAGCAATGTCAAACTGCTCCAAAGTCAGATCTGCTTTGTCAGAACACTCACCTTGTTTATTTAGAGGGCGCTTCCTGACACAGACACAAATCCTGTGTTCCTCTATCTAAAAAAAAGAAGAAAACAAGTAATAATTACTTCCTAATTACACCTACTGAGTGTCACAGAGAAAGGTTCCATGCTCCCTCACATTGACTTTTCAACACACTGAGTTTCCTCTGGTACTGGTCAGGGGGAGACCTACTCATGGAGGAGTGTAAGTCTTAAAGTCCATTGAATGCACAAGCAGCACTATGAACAATTTACTCCTGGGTAGCATTCTCAACATATCGCACAGAAATGCTCCTATGCTAAAGACAGTGTCCCAAATATTCTTTTTTTTTTTTAGGATCAATAACATGTTCAGTTCTTGGCCAGCTGTCCAGCAAAATCTGTGACATTACTATTGCAACTAGAGTCAAATCCAGGTAAATTATTATTTTAATTTACCTCTAGAGGGTTTTTTTGACCTGAAGTTCTTCACTGATGCAGTAAGTTTAGCTATTTGTGCAGCACAGCTGCACATCAGTTGGGTTTGAAAAGTGCCCGTTCCATTGGATGAAGCAGGAGGTAGGAGATGACAAGCTCAGCCCTGTCATGCAAGGACCTCTACACAAGCAGCTGGTTCTCAGCTGTCAGATGCAAGTACACAAACTACCTCGTGTTCTATGCTACCCAGCACCTACTCATGCTTGAACTTAAATGCTGTCATTTTTTCCACTGACTATAGCAAGGCTTTTGCTAGACAAAGACTACTTGTTCTCAGGAATTAACCAATGCTACCTCCGTAACTGCTGAGGGTCTCTGCTGAACTTGCTTTTTGTAGTTTGACCTCTACTTTTGCTCTTTCACTTTTTGACCTACTCTAAAATTACTCAATATACAACTTAGATATTTAACACTTACAGGGCACTAGTCTGTTTTAACTTACTTATACCTATACCTACAAACCAAACTGCTATGTAATAGGCTCTGCCCTTTACAAGCTCTGAGAACTACTGATGTTACACACAAAGCATTGCATGATCATTTTCAAAGTGCAAACTCTTCACTAGTGCCATACGCAAAGTAATGCGAGGCAGCTTAGCCCTAAATAGGAGAGGTAAGTGACCTTGCATTTACCACTGGGTGCCCTCAGGATCACAATATGCTCAGAGGATTTCCCAAGAGCTGTGATGCACTAATTTGCTCATCTGCTAAAACCATCAGTACAAAATAAAGAAGTCAAAGTGTCTGTGTGCTGCACTCTGCAGCCTCAGTATTTACGTACTGGGTCAGTTATAGATAGTGGCTGGCAGTCTAAAGTTGCTCTGAATTCCTTGATCATCCGTCCAAACTCCGAGTTTGGACAACTGCTGTCAAATTCCTGCATGAGAAAACAGACATGAAGGTAATTAACCCGTAACAGAAAAAAAGCCCCAGAGAACACCGAACACAACCAAGAGTTAGAAAAGTATTCACTTGAAGGCCACAAGATTCAGAACATTCTGAAACTAGAATCAATCCATTCTTTCGCACAAATCAAAGAACAAAGAACAAAGTCTGTCCAAAATACATTTTGGTTTTAACTACCAGGTTGCATTACCTTATAGAATTTTCTCTTATTGGCATAGAGTACTCTACCTGTGCACGTTTTGTCCTGATTTCACTGATTTGAGCTCTCTTTTCTTCTCTCTTGTTTTTCATTTTCTCCATCTCTTTCACAATGTTAGATCTTCTCCGAACTAGATAAAATGAAAACACTTCCTTGGATTAAGCTTTCACCTTGTTTTAAGCATGATGTTTTTACAAAAATGTCAAGGTTACTGACAGACTAGCCTAAGTTGTATAGGAAATAGTCAACTTCAGAAGAATGGTCGTTGATTTTTCAGGGTTTCTTTCCCAAAGCTGATCTACCTACCAGAAGCTGGTTAGCATGTCACACCATCACTCTAAGGGCAGCATTTCTGAGGAGACAACCACTATAACAGACTGATATATTTATAATAAAAATACTTAGGCAGCAAGACTGAGTTTCTTAAGCCACCCTTTCAAAGCATTCGTCTAGGACTACACAAAGCAGCAATTGCAGCGATGCACTTCTGACTGGTGAGCCAGTTCTTACCCACTGCTGCCAGGTACCTGGGCTCGCTGAAGGGTTTGTTCTAGCAGAAAGCAGATGATCCTCTGAATTTCCATTTGTCAGTGTGGGTTCTGGAGCATAGCTCAGCCTGCTAGTCTTGGTACGGCCACCTGCGGAAAGAAGCCACACCAAAGACAATAACTGGAACCCAAAGATCAAGAACATTTTGTAATTTGCAAATCCTCACAGACCACAGCTATTCCTCAACTCCAATTCTGGATCAGGAAGGAGAACTTGCTAAAATAGATGTGCAAATTTTTTAAATTCTTCACTGATCACAAACTTTATTCAAAGCTACAAATCGATGCCACACCAACTAGGCAAGAAGTTAATATCAAACCTCTTATTTGAATGCCTTTGCAAAACTTAATACGCAAGGAATGCCCACAGCTATTCATGGGGTAGGTCTGGTAAAGATAAATAACTACAGATTCATTATTCAGGCAGGCTAAAGTCCTTACTTTACTCAACTGGTATAGGTAGAACTACAACCAGTGTAGCTGGAGCCTGTTGTCAGCATTATTAAGACACTTGGCTTCCCACTCCAGTCCTGTAAATGCCACTTTATGCTGGTATGCAGATACCACATACACCACAAGCACAGCTGCAGCTCTCTTCTTAACGAAGTACACCATCCTTCAAAATAGTTTTCAGAGTCCTTTGAGAACCCCTTCAGGCAGAAGCCCTGGATGTTTACATTGTGGCAGAACTCCCCCTCTCTCATTTAATATATGAAGGGGTAGGGGTTGCTCCTCCCCCTAGATTTGCAGTTTACCTAATTAAATACATACAAAGCATGTTGCTTCTTATTAAGAATTCTCTGGGTTCTTTTTCCACTCACCAGGAACTGACAAATTGTTTCTTGTTTGTGTAGAAGTGCAGGGATCCACCCCCATCTCATTTTCCTGGAGGCTGCACTGAGGTTCCGTGATGACAGACATCCTGGAGCGGCCACGCATAGCTTTGGAAAAACGAATTCAAGTTCAGCATCATGCAGACACTCCGACATTTGCAAGTAATCATTTACTCCAAGAAGTGCAAGTTGTACTTAAAAGAACCATTTTCAGACCTCTGGTGCATTACCAAAGCCTAGGATAAAGCACTGCTGGAAAGGTAGGTGGGTGAGAAGTGACCACTACAGAAAAGCACAAAGTTCATTCCAGATTTGCAGTTTCGATGAAATTCTTTCCAGATACCACTAAGGATTCACTAATATGGCAGTTCTGGAGCCTTGATACCTAGGAAGGAGGCAGTTACAACTCAGGGGACTGAGAAATCCCCTGAAGTTTCACACTCACAAGGCTACGAATTAACTGTGATGGTGACAGTATGAAAACCAAGGCTGTACCACTAATTTTGCTATAGAGACTACAGAGTGGGTTATCTAGGGAAGCTCTAAGGAAAAGTCAGGATAAAAGGATTCATTTCTTATGCCTTCCACATCCAAAGGGAAAACTGGTCATGAGCCAGATTGTGCCCACCATTACAACATCCAAACACAGATGGTGTGTGTAGCAGTGGCAGTTTGATGACACTAAATTCAGCTACAAGACAGACTACCTACAATTGCAACAGCAAACCTTCAAAAAGGGCATTTCTGTAGGCAGTCTCCATTGCCACATACCTAGTTACAGTTCTTTCACTGAGATAAATCACTCACCCGGGAAGCTTAGCAGGTGACAGGAACATACACCTCAACAGATTTGTAAAGAAAGCAAATCTGATATGAAAAAAATAGAAGTGTGGTATGAAAGCTAGAGCTACTCTCACCTCCACCTCCAGCAATCACAAGAATTTATCCAGAATTAATCACTATGAGTTGAAAGGAAATTAGGTTTGTTTCACATCAAGGGTGAATTTCAATTCTGGATCAAATTCCTTACAATTCAGCCCACAAAATTCAGTGCTCATGTGTTAACTTTTTACCTGGATTCTTCTGCTCAGGTGCAGAGACTTTAGGTGCCATTGACGCAACTTTAGGAACAAAAAGAATCCATTTCATTATACACAGACATGGTATTTCATTCCTTTTGTCACATATGCCCAGACACCGGATCTCATCAAACTCAACAGCACTTTCTGCAAACAATAGTGGTCCTAGACAAGAATATTAGCTGCAGGATTTGCTGCATCTAAATGGGTTTGATTCAGATTGTTCTTGTGCACAAGAATATACAAAAACCTCTAAAGCTCTTACTGCTTCAGAGAACTTAGTATCTGTTTCTGAATTCATTCTGAAAGCACTGCTTTTGCTTTTCTTACTTCCCTGAGAGATGGAGACAGACACCTCCTGATCTTCTTTAATTTGCTTTGCCTAAGAACTGAAACCTGAAGCCAACATTACCTTTTTGATTGGTGCAGCACAGAGTTTGCTACAGGACACACATAGCCCGTGAGTGTCAAGGACTAACTGCAATAGGTAATATCTGATGAATACTGAAGTCACTGCTTCCCTCTTGTACTGTCTTCAGGGACAAAACTCTGCCAGTAGCAAAGGCAACAGATTTGCCATTAGATTCTGTACTTCAGGGGAGCAGCAGCCTCTGTGAGGACATTTCTCCATCAGCCACTGACTGGATTAAAACACCTTTATTCTTCCATCTGGCTACCCAGCTCCATTAAACAGGCCTGTCTAGAGACAATCAGCACTTTACCACATCATTTTTCTTGCTGATTCACAAAATCTGTGGAGAGTTCTATGCATTCAAAGATGATCAGAAAAACTTTTCACACATTAAGCTTCTCAGACTGTTCCTGCCTCTCAGATACAAGGGGATTTGTACTGTTGACTTTTGATTCCAGTTTCCCTGTCTTGCATCACGTACAACAAAAAAGGCCAGACAAATGCAGCCATTCACAGCTCATGTAAAAGGGCAAGTTCTATCCAGCTATGTACATTAAGAGATAATAAATCTTAATAATAAATGTACATTAAGAGTTAATAACCCTTTGACCTCAGCATCACTCAAGTACATTACAAATAGACCTTTAATGCTGTCAACTCAAAAGCAAGAGTCAACTAAAGAGATAAAGTAAAAAAAAATATGGGAGTTTCCTAATTCCCAGCACCTCAAAGAGAACAATTCCTTTGCAATCCCACACTTCCACACCTGTCTCCTCTTCTGGCTGTGCTCAAAACACTGTACTGACACTAAGTCACTGAGCTGTGGCACACCAGCTAGCATTTTGGCTGCCTAGTCTGAAATGTCTCCAGGAATAAAGCTCACGTTATTGTCTAGAGGGACTATTTGAAGAGGAGACATCCATTTGACACTACTATTTCTTCCTTGCCCTTTCCATTCTCATTTTGACACCTTTTTGTCTTAATAACTGTCACTTACCTTTTGGTTTTTTGTGGCATTTGCAAAATCCCATACACAACTTTAAACCTCACTGCAGCAGGAACTTCCTAGTGACATTTAAAGCAGCGTCAAGGAATAACTACAGCAATACTGAAGAAAAGGGCAACGTGTCAACAAACCTGAGCTCACAGGAACAGGAGGGCAATTTGTTGGCAGAAGTTCTGCACTCAGGAGTCCAAAGCATTGATATGAAGGGGTATGCTCTTACTAGCATTGCCTGAGCAAGCAGCGTTATGAGGTACTAAACTGGAATAATATGGCTACAATGGAGGATCAGCACTGTTTTGAAAAGGAAAAGAAATATTTTCTCACCTTCCCGCGGAGCAGGAATTTTTGAAAGGGTTGTTCTACGCTTCTGTTTCTGGAAAACAATGAGTGCCGTTAGTCATCACAGTAAGCCGTGAATACCTAGCACACCACTACAAAACAACATTAATACAACAAGGATTTCAGACCAAAGCCTAACGGCAAGACAGAACGCAAAGCATGAGGTCTCTGACTTGTAAGGCTGACAGTATCGTTTATAAACAGATCTGGTCTAAAGCATGCTGCTGCTGACATGTTAGCACCTTCAGAGAGACTAAAATGCTTACCTGTACAGTCACATTCTCTTGCAAAGGAAGGTTCTCTTTCACATCTGCAGCACGTAGTTCCTCTGTTAACTCAGGATTTATTGTTATCACATCATCAATATCAATCTGCAAGAGCAAAGGTAAAATATTGCTGCTACAACCTACAGCATTTTTTTTACATGTTGCTTTTCAGTACAGGCAAACAAACCTGACTGACTGCTTGCCAAATGTTAAGTTAAAGTAGCCTTCTAGCTTCAAGGTGCTAGGCAATAGTTCATACTCCATTTGAAGAGTCTCATATTTCCAATAGTACTAGAAGTAACGTGCAAGTTATGCCATTTACCCTCATCTGCCAAACACCACGCAGCTCTGCAGGTGCCATAGAACACGTCTGAGGAGATAGGCAAAGCACATTTGGCATCAACTGCTTTAATCTCTTACAGCTAATCTTAGTAAATCTCTGTGACTTCTGTGCTAGGAGAGCATTAAGAGTTTACTGCGTGACTGCGCTTACTGAAATAAACTTCAGAGAGCTACTTAGACCTCGGGAAACAAGGGATTCAGCATCTAATCCAAAAGTCAGTTCACCTGCATTTTCTCTGGCAATTGCAAGTGATTTTACTTAGGACCAGCTGCCACCTCCTGCCTGACCTTCCAGTGAAGTCATAATCCTGCCTCCGCAGCATTCCGCAGCGCCCAGACGCAGGGCAGCGACCATGGGGCAGGCAGCCAAGGGCAGGCACGAGCACAAAAGGCACCGCCTCGTTCGTTTCAGTTTTTCCAAACCTAACCCTGCGGAAGAGCTTGAAAGCACGTGTACACAAAAATAACCCCGGTACCACAGCAGCTTGCACTGGAACTCACCTAACGTCAAAGCAATAACACAAGCACCACTTGAGGAAGTTATCCAGCTCTCAGTTAAATCTTACTTTACTTTGATAAAATAAGGGTCCATATAAAAAGAGCAAAAACACTCGTGTGATCCCATGGAGATACCACTTTCTAGCATAGGAGAAAAAAAACTTCAAAATTTGATTTACATAAAATCTGTATGCATCTAATCAGAAAAATTAATTCCCTCAGAAGCAAGCGTATGTGGATGGTATCGTACACACTAGCAGCACGTAAGAAATGTTGCTTTTTTAACAGCCTCTTCAGAGACCCTGCAGTACCTGAGTTCCCAGAGAAGCTGCCAAGAACAGTGTGTTTGCTCATTCACCAAAAGGAGAATTTAAGTGCCAGGCTTTCAGCTACAACCTCAATCACCCCAGGGAAACACGGCGGTTCCACCAGCAGGGCCCCATGGCCCTTTCTCTACACTAACTGGGACATTTCAGACTGGCACTGGCCAAGAGTGATTCAAACCCAGCAGCGCCGTTGTCACTTGGACTCTAGCCCAAAACCGTGGTTTGCTCCCTGTCTGTTCCGAGACATTTCTCTGTGCAAGGTTCTCGTTGCAGAGAAAGAAAGCTCAGCAGCTGTAAGGAGGAGAGAACGTTCCCTGAAAAGTAAAGTGCAGAGGAATCAGAGAGCAGGGCACTAAAAACACAGCTGGAGGCCTCTCAGCACGCTGTGCCCCAGAGAAAGGGGGATGAAGCTGCGTCACAGTTTGGACTTTGAGGGCTGTATCCTGAGTGTTACAAATCCCTCTGGGTCCACCAGGGCTGGCGTTATAACACCAGGCTGCAAGCAATACACCCCAAAGCATCAACCAGCGCTGCATTTATTGCACAGCCACAAAGTCCTAGGGAAAGCTGGAAGGGCATTGCCAGGGGCACCAGAAGCCAGCAGATACCAGCAGAGCTGGGGCTGTGGGAGCACAGAAAGCCACCCAGTGGGGGCACAGACACACACACTGCATCCTACCTGGTGGCTGGGAGCCCTCTTGGCACCGTTCAGGTGCGGTCACAGCCCCCCCACACCTTACCTGGGGACGTTTATTTACAGATAACCCCTGCGATCAGCACAGCGGGGTTATTGCGCCAGCCTGGACGAAGCATTAACCCACCTGAGGGCAGACCCAGCACGGCAGGAGCCCCCTGAGACACAGACGGGACCGTTTTTGACTTTTTTTGAGGAAAACCCCCACACAGCCTCACCTCCTTGCCCTTGACGGCGCCGCCCTCCGACCACTCCACGGCCACCAGGGACCTCTCCGCGTTCACCATCCGCACCGTCGCCTTGTGGATCAGGCCTGCAAGACAGCTCCGTGAGGCGGGGACCCCCGGGGACCCCCGGGGACCCCCCCCCCCCCACGCCCCACCGAGCCCCCCCCGCACCGTTGCTGCGCTGGATGTTGAGGACGCGGCCGGGGCAGACGCACTGGTACAGCCGGGGGTCCATGGCGGCGGCGGCGGCGGTGGGGCAGCGCCAGGCCGGGCCCGCCCAACCGACAACGATTTAAACGCCGCGCGCCCGGCGTGCCGCGGGGCCTCCCGGGAGGCGGAGTGCCGCGGGACTACAGCTCCCGGCGTGCACCGCGAGGAGGGCAGGGCATGATGGGAGGTGTAGTTCGGTGGGGTGGCGAGGAGGAGCTGTGCGCATGCGCAGTGAGGCCGATAGGGCGCTGAGGGAAAAGGTGAGGTAACGTGAGGGAAGCTGAGGCACCTGGGGGATAGGGGGAAAAATGTAAAGGGGAATTGGGGTTAAAAAGAGCTTTTTTGTTCTATTTTTGACCGAGTATGGGTAGCTCTGCCGAAACAGAGCCTCAAAAAATTCCACGACACTCGTGCTTGTTCCTCTCCACGGAAATCTTTAGTAAAAGGCGAAAGATTTATACGATCTGAAGAGAAACCAGAGTATGACCTCCACACCCGCCCGGCCCGGCCCCAGCGCCGCCCGCCGCCCCCCAGCTCACGGTGACCCCGCCCCGCCCCGCCCCGCCCCGGTCCTGCTCCCACCCCGGCTCCTCCCCATCCCTCAGCCCCGGTCCCGGCCCCGAGCGGCCCCGGGGAGCGGCGGAAAAGGGACCGGAGCGGGAGGGGGCGGGCGGCGCCTCGCGGTGCACCATGGGTATGCAAATGAGCAGGGGCTGGGGGCGGGGCCTGCAGAGCTGGGTACCACAGTGCTGTGCTGGGCGCTGGGGCAGGGGCTGGGAGCGGCTCTGAGCTGGGGGAGCAGTGGGGGAGCTCCCGGTGATTGCCTTCAGGCAGCGCCTTCCCGGAGCCGTGTGACCCCTGGCTGCAATGGCGGGCACCCTGCAAGCAGCAGCGCGCTGTGAGTCTGCCATAACCTCACGTTCCCCATTGCCAGACCCCTGATTTCTCCCATTGCCTCGTGGGCTCAGCACTGCAGCTGCACAACCTGCTCAACGCGCTTCTGTACCCTGCGTGTACAATGGGATTTGACCAGCCATGAACCTCTTCTCTTCTCTTCTCTTCTCTTCTCTTCTCTTCTCTTCTCTTCTCTTCTCTTCTCTTCTCTTCTCTTCTCTTCTCTTCTCTTCTCAATTCAATTCAATTCAATTCAATTCAATTCAATTCAATTCAATTCAATTCAATTCAATTCAATTCAATTCAATTCAATTCAATTCAATTCAATTCAATTCAATTCAATTCTCCTTTACTCATTACCAGAGGGCCCCTGTTTTTTGTTTTTACTGATTTCGCACCGCTCGTCCTGTTTTCCTTAGCCATCCTCCCTGTTTTGGGACACCCTTACCTGCTGTACATACTCCCCACTGCCGTGCCGCACAGCGACTTTTGAACACGCAAGTTTAGGAAAACTTCCCACTGCAAAACCACCTTCTATTGCTAAAACACGTTGTTTCTCATGGAAGCATCCACCTGCTGTAGGGTAGGATGGCCCTGGGGGGGGGGGGGGAAGCGTTGGAGGGCGGGGATGCCCTGCAGGGGGACCTGGGTGGGGCAGGCAGATGGGATGGGGTTCGGCATGGCTCAGCGCTGCGTACTGCGCTTGGGGTCCACAACACGGTACAGTACTAAAAGCTTCGGGCAGAAGGAAGAATAATTGGGCATAGTAGAGAGTAAAAACCCTCCGTTTTGTTCTATTTTTGACCAAGCATGGGTAGCTCTGCCGAAGCAGAGCCTCAAAAAATTCCACGACACTCGTGCTTGTTCCTCTCCACGGAAATCTTTAGTAAAAGGCGAAAGATTTATACGATCTGAAGAGAAACCAGAGTATAACGCCCTGTCCCACCCGGCCCGGCCCCAGCACCGCCTTCCTCCCTGTAGCTCACGGCGACTCCCTTCTCTCTAACCCCCTCCCCGATCCCGCTCCCCCATCTTTTCCCCATCTCATAACCCCGCTTTTGACCCCAAACAGCCCCAAAAATTGTCGAAAATCGGACCAAATCCCGAAAATCGTGCGGCGCCGCGCGGTGCACCATGGGTATGCAAATCACCCCTCTGCCCTCTTCCATCCCAGCCGCCGCGTCGCCTAGCAACGCCGCCCGGCCGCGGCGCGATGACGTCACCGCCTCTCGCGAGAGCTCGCCGCGCCAAACCGTCCCGTGAGCCTCTGCGCCGCCTCTTTGCGCCTGGGCCGCACCATGGGTGAGTGGCGCCGCCGCCGGGCCCGGCCGCCATCCGCCGCCATCCGCCCGCCGCGCTGCCGCCGCCCGCCGCCATCCCTGCCGGGGGACAGCCGGGGGTGCCGCCGAGCCCCGCTGACCGCCATCGGGGGCGGCCGCGGCGGCGCTGAGGGGATGGCGGGGGGAGGAGGGGAGGGAGGCCAGGCCCAACATGGCGGCGGGGAAGGGGGGGGGGGGGGCTGGTGGAGGGAGCCCTGTGGGTGAGGGGGGCGGTGGGGAGAGGGCGGTAACCAGCAGGCAGCGCCTTTTGGGGGTCAGTTGGGGAAAAGGGGGTTGAGTGGGGGTGAACTCCATAGGGTCTGTCAGTCAGGTGGGGTGGGGATCGCTTCCCAGGGAGAGCCCGCAAGATCTTAGCATGACGTGTGTGTCACGGGGGGCTTAGCAGCATGAGGTGGGCCTTGCCCACAGGGTCCTGCGAATTAATTCACCAGGTTGCTTCCCGCAGAGGGCTGGGGTGGTCCCTGCAGAGCTGCTGGGGGGAGGGAGGCTTCCGCAGATGTGCTGGGGGAGAACGTGTCGAGGTGGCTCTGAGTTTCAATGATGAAGCTTCTCTAACTGCTGCATAAGGCTGAGTGCTCTGTGCGGATACCAACCTTGGAGAGCTGAGGACTCAGACCCTCGCCCAGCCATGGCCGGGTGGAATCCGTGCCATCTTCTGACCACGCTACTCTCCATTCAGGTATCTCCCGGGACAACTGGCATAAGCGTCGCAAGACTGGGGGCAAGAGGAAGCCCTACCACAAGAAGAGGAAGTATGAATTGGGGCGGCCACCGGCCAACACTAAGGTGGGTGATTTGGGGAGGATAGCCAGTTATTTTTATAAAGTTAATAAAAATGTTTGATTGTGTGCTCTTAGAGGTTTAAAAATACATTGTTCTTTGCGAGAGATCAGTTATCTGTCACTGCTTTTATAAAAGATGGCGTTTTTCTTTATGCCTGTGGGAAGCAGTGATAGGTTTTTGCATTAAGAGGCAATTGGAGTGATGAAATTCTCACCTTAGGTGGATGCAGCAGACCGTTTTGGTCGCTTCCTGTATCTGCCGATGCTGGGGTTTGTCATAGTTACACTGACCACATTGCCTTCAGTTCGGAGTTCGGCTGGGCTCCTGGGTGCGTGCCGTGCAGCACGCCAGCACCAGCCTCACTGGGGTTTGTTTCTGATGTAGATTGGTCCGCGCCGAATTCACACAGTGAGGGTTCGTGGTGGCAACAAGAAATACCGTGCCCTTCGCCTGGACGTCGGCAACTTCTCCTGGGGATCCGAATGTAAGTACACTATAACCCTGGTGTGTTCAAAAAACCTTCCACACACGTTGATCTCCAGTATAGCTACCTTTCTAGGCTGATTTTGGGCACTCTGAACTTGGCAGAAGTGGATCTGAGGCTGCCTGCATGGTGATGATAACTTTGACCTTATGTGGCCTTAGGAGACTTAAATGTCTGCTGGGTCCACGGTGATTGGAGTGTCATAGTTACACTGAGTGACACGCTCGTTCTGCCTGCCTGCTGGGCTTTGGGGGTTACAGAGGGCCGAAAATGCAAAATATCTGCAGGTTTGGTCTTCACAAATGCAGCTTGTGTGCTGCCCAGTTTGTTGATGAACGTCTGCTAAAAGGTGGTAGTCCTGTGCAAGACAGAAGGCTGAGGATTCTGAAAAAGAGCAGTCCCTGGCAATGTTACATGAGCACGTGCTTTTTAATTCCTCCTGCTTTGCTAAGCAAAAGTGGGCGGTGCAGAAACGAGAGGGCAGCCTGCAGTAATTCCACTGAGCGAGGTGGGTTTTGTTCTAGGAATTACAAAACAAAAACCATTCAGCTTGAGCTCAGGCCCAGTCACTGTTACCATGTAAGCTTGCAGTAGGTTTCAGTGAGCAGTGTGGCGTGAGGCAGAAGACCCGTGCTTTCTTCTCACTGACAACAGCGTTGTCCCAGCTGGAAGAGAGCTGTCATTTGTAGGCAATAACAGAGAAGTGAAGGGACTGAGCACACATTGCAGAACAGGTATGAGGTACACAAGTAAAGGGAATAAAACCCCTCCTGTACCTGGCCTTTGCGTGCAGTGAGGGCTCTGTCTGCAGGGCTGGCAACTGCTAAACGCTCAAATCTAGTAGCTTCAAATGCTTCAAGTGGGCCATGGAGGGTGAAAGCATCAGTGTCCTCTCTGTTTGCTCATTGCTCCTCATCCTATGGAAATGGTTTCTGCTAAATGTTGCAGAGCAATCCTGTTCAACGAGGCTTACTCCTGTAATTCTAGGAGCTATGTTCAGCATCGAGCCCTGTGTACGGTGTTAGTTGGCATCTGCTGAGGTATCCTCAGGCCCAGAAATGTGGTTTTCAGCATTATTCAGTCGTCTTAGGGATGAGTTTCAGCGAGGCCACAGTTCTTCATCTAGGTTGACTCTTTCCCCAGGTACAGGCTTCTGTCCTGGCAGCAGAAAGTTGGACTGCTGAGAACTAGCTGCATCGTGCAGTTAAATTTAAGTCAGTGCCGGGGAAGCTGGAGGACTGATCGGGTGACGAGTGAGGTGATTTTAGGGTATGTGTGGGATGCCGCTGACTGCATTCTCAGTTGCCTGATCCCCAGGGGTTTGAGTTCATTCTCTTCTATTTGAAAGGCTGCACCCGCAAGACCAGGATCATCGATGTTGTCTACAACGCCTCCAACAACGAGCTGGTGCGGACAAAGACCCTGGTGAAGAACTGCATCGTTCTCGTCGACAGCACCCCGTATCGGCAGTGGTATGAAGCCCACTACGCCTTGCCCCTCGGACGCAAGAAGGGTGCCAAGCTGGTAGGTGGGGGCTGTGTGGGTTCCTCACGGCTCCTTGGAAGAGGGGAGGCTGCGCTGCCGGAGGAGTCTGGCTCTGTTGGGGAGCACAGGGTTGTCTCTGAGGCGTTGCACAAGGGCCTGCCCGTGGCTGCCTTCTAATGATGATATTTCTGTCCAGTTCTGCTGCTGAAGGAAGGGCGATGACACTTTGTGATGCTGAGGGAGGCTTTGCAGGCAGGCCCTGGTGCTGGGACAGTGCTGTCCCCTGATTAGAAGCTCGTGGATTGATGACTAAACTTTGCTTAAAGCATCTTCATCCAGACTCGCCGCCTCTAATTTTAAGATCCAAACCCCAGATTAAGCTATTTAAACACCTGTGTGCAGCGTTCAGCTTGGGGTTGTCTCCTTGCCTTACAAAATTAAGCACTCGTGAGCAGATCACCGACAAGTTCAGAAGCGTGGGGAGAGCTCGTAACCTGTTTGCCAGGACTTGTGCCACGCCCAAGGCACTCCTGTCTGGAGAAGAAACAAGTACTCAATTTTTTTGGAGGAGGGGCAATTCATTAGGAAAGCTTCGCAGCTGCTTCTGTCTAGAGCGTGTTCCCTGAGGGCGCTGTGCTGCGTTGTCACGGGTGACTGCAGTCAGCAGTGCTGGGTTGGTTGCCTCAGAAGTGACAAGCAGCACCCGGTTCTGTTAGGCAGAGGCGTTTGTAGCTCTGGAAGATGTGAGTTGGGAAGCACAACGCAGCGCTGGGTTTGCTTTGATGCTAGTGGGGCCTGCTCTTGCGGGAGGTGGCTGTGTGTTTAACCTTTCCCTCGCTTAATGCTACCTCTGCCTACTGTCTGGTTTCAGACTCCTGAAGAGGAGGAAATCCTGAACAAGAAGCGCTCAAAGAAGATCCAGAAGAAATACGACGAGCGAAAGAAGAATGCCAAGATAGCGAGTATCCTGGAGGAGCAGTTCCAGCAGGGAAAGCTGCTCGGTGAGTCCCTGGGGCTGTGGTGTGGGTGGGTGTAAGGGAGTCGGGGCATGAGCAGGTTCCAGAGCAGGTACCTTAATTCTTGGGACCATTTCCCTGCAAGCTGTGATAAAGCAAACTGCGAGGGGAAAGCAGTGGGGGCATTTTCCTATTCTATTTGCAGGGGTGCCTTCTGGGTGTAGGGTAACTCCTATTTTACCTTTGCTGGGGATAACCCAGGCCTGGCAGGAGCAGGAGATCTGTTTCTGAGGCTTGAGTTGCTTCATGTCCCAGCTAGCGATGAGACTTGTGAGTGAGCAGAGACCTGTGGGTGTGCTGTGTGTCAGGAAAAGCCCAGCCGTGCACGCGGCATTGCCAGTTGTGGTGTGAGTAGCTGAGTGTTCTGAAGTCTTCTGGTGATGAGACCTGTGTCCAGTTCTGCTACTGAATTTGAGCGATGACAGTTTGGAGATCTGAAGAGGACTTCATTAAGGGTGCAGCCCAACAAAGTGGGTTGGAGGGCAAGGTCTCCTGGGGGAGGAGCTCAGGCTGGCACAGACGCTGGTGTCTGCTACGGAGCCTTGCTGCTTTGTGCTCCTGCAGAGACTGCAGGCAGTGCTCCTTACACGTGCACGCACCGGGGTAACAGATTACTTAATTTAACTGAGTGACTTCTCCTTGCAGCTTGCATTGCCTCCAGACCCGGACAGTGTGGCCGAGCTGATGGCTACGTGTTGGAAGGCAAGGAATTAGAGTTCTACTTGAGGAAGATCAAGGCCAGAAAAGGCAAATGAAAACAAACTGTTCAGCTGAGAGAACCAATAAACAAAATCTACCATAATGAGTGGGTGGCGTGCTTATTTGTGCCTGCAGGGGAGAGGGGGCTTGCGTAGCACCCCCAAAATGGGAAAGCAAGAAGGAGCTGCTGGGATCCACTGGGTGGAATCCGCTTTTGTGCCTTTGGGCTGCCAGAGCTCCCTGCCTTGTCCTTGAGCTGCTGTCAGTGACTGTGGCTGCACTGCAAAGTGACCGGCTGGCCTCCCCCTGGCCTCCCTGGTCTCATCCCAGTGCAAGAGAAACCCCTTCTAGCAGAAGGGCCGGGCTCTCCCCGTGGCCTGCCCCTTTCGAAAGCTGGGAACAAGTCCCAGCTTCCTGCCCTGCTACTCGTGAGACTGCAAAATGTGGTGAACACAAAGAGTCTCTCTAAAGTTTTTGAGCTTTTGGTGATGAATAATTAATTAAATCAATATAGCATCTACTTCCTGAGTGCTGTGAGCTCTACAGACTGGTGTTAGAGTGGAGGCCAGCCCGGTGTTCACCCACCCCGTGCCTGCTGGGTGCACGCCCCATGTACCCAATCCTATTTCTTGCCCTGGTGGCAGCGCTGCCTGGGACTGGTGCTGTGCCTGCAGGGTGAAACCAGGCGCTCCCAGAGTCTCGGTGACGTTAGCACCAGCACGTTTCTTCTCCATGGTGATCCCGGGTAAACTTTCCCTGCTTTCTAGCAACGCCTGTTGCCAGAGAGGCAGGGCGGGCGCGATAAAGGGCGTTCAGGAGGGATGTGTCACGGCTGCTTCCTCCAGGCTTGTTTCTCCTCTCTGCTCGCCCTCTGTGGAGAGCAAACAGGATTCAGGGTGTTCCTGGGGGACTTTGTACAGAGGGAGAAACAGAAAACTGCCACGTTGGGGTAAGGGCAGGGGCTGTAAAGCCCTGATGAGCAGGATTGTGCCCAATTCATCAACGCGTGGTGCTTATAAATTGCGCTGGTGTCTGCTCCGAAACGGCAGCCAAGGGCAACGGCCCGTGGGAACGGAGCTGGCACTGTCACCCTGCCGGAGGTGTGACATGGGAACGGGACGGGGTGGCAGCTGGCCAGGGGTGTGTGTGCCCTTCTGCTTTACAGCAGCTGGCTCTGTCGCCTGGTCTAACACCCTGCGACTCCAAGAAAGAACGAACCTGAAAGCTGGAGCTGGCAGCAGCTTTATTGATACTGCGGGGACATCAGCACGGTGCTGAATGCCGTTGTCCTGTCCCTTGCTCGGTGTCTGGGTTGTCCCTGTCCCCTCTTGGTTCCTGGTAGCAGGGAGGGAGCGTGGCCGTGCCAGTCAGTGGCATCACCACGCACACGAGCTGAATCCTGCAGTTTTGGGGCTAAAAACATGCAGGGGGCACAAGGGGGTATCTGGGGACAGGGTCAGGGGTGCCATCAGGGCACCCTCAGGGCTCCCAGCCCCCTGGGCGCTCAGCCCCAATGCTCTCGCTGGACGGAGCCTTCACCAGGACCATTGGCGGCTCCTTCCTCCGAATTTTGGAGGCCTTTGGTGACTGGGGTCCCCCCAGGGGGCCACCCGGCGTGGGGGGCCCACTGCCCCGGCTCTCCTCATCCTCCGTCTCCTCCTCCTCGATGCGATCCACAGCCTCGGGGTCCTCGGGGTGCGGGGAGGGGAAGGCTCTCCGCAGGTGGGGGGTGGCTCGGCCGCCCCGGCCGAAATTTTTGATGCTGATGGCGGGGGAGGCAGCGGCGAGGAAGCGGCCGAGCAGGGGCGTCTGGGTGCGCGGCATGTTTGGCGAGGCCTCCACCAGCTGGCTCTGCTCCGCGTCCTCGCACATGCTGGGGGAGCACGGCGGGGTGATGGGGACGGCCACACGTCCCCAGGGTCACCCCGATGGTTTGGGGGCACCCAGGGCGCGCAGGGCGGGCAGGGACCCCCCCCAAATCTCCAGCTGGGGCTCCCGGCTGCGCCGTGCACTCACCGCATGTCGAAGGTGGAGCCCAGGAAGGAAGGCTTCAGGGTCTCGGCAGCGGTGGCCGTGGTGTAGGGGGGCTGAGCCGTGGACTCGTTCCAGTACTTGTCCTTGGCGGCTGGTGGCAGGTTCTGGTACATGTCATCCACCGAGAGCAGGGACACCTGGGGACGGGGGGGGACCCGGTGCATGCAGGTCCTGCTGCCAGAACCAGCCTTAAAGGGGTTGGAAGGAGCCAGGGAGGCTCCGGGCTCATATCCTGGCTGCATTTGGGGTTTTCCTCGGTTAAATGCTTTCCTGGTGGTGGGGACGAGCAGCGGTGCCAGGCTGCTGAGTGTCCCTGGGGGGATGCTGACCCTGCTGGGGGGAGCAGCCACACGGGTGGACAGGGGGTGGAGGGATGGGGTGCGCCTAGATGGGAATCTGCTTAGGACAAAGGCCAGGAGCAGGGCTGGGGGGGGGGGACAGTCCCCATGGCCACGTTGTGGGGACGTCCCGATGCCCACCCAACGCACGAACAGCCGGGGGCAGCCCCCACCTGCAGGTTCCTGTCTATCAGCTTGTTGGTCTCGAAGTCGTCGTCGTCTTCCCCAAAGGGGTTAATGATCTGCTCGGCAACCTGTGGGAGGGGGCAGGTGGCAGGGGGTCGGGGACAGGGACACCTTCACGGGACACCCAAGTGCCACCAGCCGCGATGTGTCCGGTGCCATGCCAGGGACTGGGGACCCCCCGGACACCCCCCGCCCGTGCCTCACCTTCAGCCAGCCGGCGTAGAAGAAGAACTGCAGCAGGGTGGGGAGGGGCACGTACATGTCCAGATCCCCCTCCTGCCCCGGCTCCAGCGGCTCCAGGAACTGCCGCCCGATGAGGCAGAAGGCGAAGAAGGAGTACACGGCGATGGTGACCACCTGCGGGGACAGCGGTGGCAGCGAGGGGGGACGTGAGGCTGTTAGAGCTCTGGCTGCTCAATGATGCTCTTGGGGGCTCCAGGCTAAATCCCAAAGCCCCCCGGAGGGGCGATCCCCCCTGTGCCACGCTCCCCATCCACCCTGAGCTCCTGCGCTGGTGGCACCGGGTGCAGGGCGAGCATAAATCTCTTTTTCGGGGGGTCAGGTCACCCACCTGCGTGTACACCAGCGGGATGCTGATCCAGTCGTAGTGGAACAGCATGCTGCACTTGGCCCGGTACGCGTTCAGCTCCTGGCAGGGAGAACAAGGACGGGTTTTCCCCAGGTCCCTCCCCGCGGTGCCGTGCCCCCCGCGCTCCCGGCACCACTCACGTCCATCAGCAGGCGCAGGGCCACGTCGTCGCGGATGCGGCCGTCCCGCCGGGCTTGTGCCGCCAGGTTGGTGAACCACACGCAGGGCACCCAGTACTTGTTGAAGTCCGAGTGCAGGCTCTCGAATTTCTTGCGCTCGTCCTGCGTCATGAAGCCTGCAGCGGGGCGGGGGGCGAGCGGCAGGGGCTCAGCGCCACGGACCCCCGGTGATGGGAAAGGGAGTTTTGGGGACCCTCCCCAGGAGGAACATGGGGTTTTCCAGGGTTTGGGGGAGCAGAGGGGACATGGGTTTCTTTAGGGACACATGCAATGTCCCTGCAAGGAAATAACCCCTCTGCATCGGGGCTGGATGACACATATAGGGGACCCAGGGGCTGCCCCACTGCCACCCCTTAGCCCACCCCAGGGTGACAGGGACACCGCCGAGCTTCCCAGCTCTCTCACCCCATATTTCAAGCCGTGCCCCCCCCCAGGGTTTGCCCCCCTCACCCGCTTCCACCACGTGGTCCATGGTGGGGAAGCGCTTGAGCACCCTGGTGCTGACAGAGCGCAGGATGAGGACGGCCGAGAGGTTGGCGTAGCGGATCAGGGTGCGCCGCAGGATCCGACCCCGCTCATCCTTGCCGTGGACGTTGCTGGAGATGATGCACATCAGCTGGTCGGGGAGGGGGATGCTGGTGTACTGCGCCCACCACCGGTTCACGATCAGGGTGACGTAAAAACCTGTGTGGAGGTGGCACAGGGGGCTCTGAGCGGGGACGAGCCCTCACCAGGGGGACCTGGTGGCTTCCCAGGGGGGACAGGTTGGGGATAAAGAGCACGTTGTCCTTCCCCTGGGACTGCTGTCCGCAGGGATGGAGGTGGGGACATCCCCAGTCCTGGAAGAGGGTCAGGGAGCTGTGCTCGGTGGCTTTGGGTGCTGAGTGCCACCCAGCCACAGGCAATGGGGCAGTTTGGGCACGGGGCATCCCCAGATGGGGCATCCCCAAGCTGTGAGGGAGCAGGAGAGGGACCCGTACCTAGGACGAAGGAGATGGGGATGAGGTCCGTGGAGCGGTTGCAGTACTGAGCCACTTTGGTGTAGAGATGCTTCTGCTCCTCGGTCAGCAGCCGCCTGCAGCGGGCACGCAGCAGGGTCAGGGGCAAGCAGCGGGGCTGGGGAGCTGCCTCAGACCCCCCCCCCAAAAAAAAAAAAGCCATTCCCCGGGTCCCCTTCTCCTTGTGGGGTCTCAGCCGCTCCCCCACTCACCGGTAGACGATGCTGAGCAGCGCGTACAGCACCATGAAGACGACGAACTCCTTGTACAGCAGCTTGTAGATGCTGCCCTTCCAGCGGAAGAGCAGCTTGGAGAAGCCCCCAAAACGGGAGTCGGCGACTTTCAGCGTGTAGGAGACGGTCATTGTGGCACGGATGACAATCTCACTGCCGGGGGAGCAGCGGGGTACAGGCTGCCAGCCGGGATGTGTCCTCGGTGTCACACCAAGCACCGGTGCCCATGGGCTGGCTCGCCCCACGCCCTCCCCACGCTGCTCTGCACGTCCCTATCAGCACCTTCGCCCCTAAATACCCCGGTGTGAACCCATCGGCCGAGCCCTCCAGGTGATGGATTGGAGCTGTCACGGGCAGGGAAGAGGGAATTGCGGGTTGGTCACACCTCCCCGCCACCAGAGATTTCGGTGGGAGCTGCTGGCTCAGCCCTGGGCATGCACAGGAGCCAGCGGGGTGGTTTGGGCCGTTCCCCTTTGCAGGCTGAATTTAGGCTCCACGAGGAGGAGGGGAAAGGATGGAGGATGTCACCCCTCCTGGCAGCCCTGGGAACGTGACCCCGGGCTGAGCTGGCTGGGGGGGGCTGTGGGGTGTTTCTGGGGTGCCCATGGGCGCCCCTCACTCCCAGCAGGGACACGAACCAGTGGGAAACATCCCCGAGGAGCAGTGGGACATGCAGCAAACCCATCCCATCCTCGTCCCCAGCCCGTGCTGGTGCTCGTGCCCCCCAGTCCAAGCTAGGAATGAGCCAGACCAGGGGCTGTGGCTCCATCGCACCGCGGGCTGCGAGGCTGCGCCGGGCAGGAAACGCCGCTTCCTTTGCCGGCCATAGCGCCGCGTCCCGCCCTGCCCGGCTCCCTTCCTGCCAGGCACGGGGCCCAGCACGGCCTGCCACAGCTCCGACCCATGGAGCTGGGGGCTCCCAGCCTGGGAAATGCCCTGGGTGCATTCCCCGATGCCCCCGCTCCGTGTCCTGCTGGGGAACGCGGCGTGGGTATGGGGCACCTGGCTCCCTGCATCCCCGCAGGCACCCATGGGTGGATGTGACCCACGGGGCTGTGCAGGGAGATAATTTACAGCACCCCCAGCCCGTCCTGCCCCAGCTGGTGAGCACGGTGCCCATGGCAGGCTGGCAGCTTCCTTCTCCAGGCTGTAAATCCGTAAATCACGGGCTGCAGCTCGCTCAGCCCCGAGGGCCAGCACCCACCGCAGCAGAGACGGGGCGCAGCCACGGTGCCAGGAGTAAAATGATTTATTTCGCAGCGGGAGCTGGCTCCGGCAGGGCTGGGCAGCACATCGGGGAGGGAAGGCTGCAAGGGGCGCCCCCCTGCTCCGGTGGCACCCTATGGACACCCCGCAAACAAAAGCCCGGCGGGGCGCGGCACAAGCAGAGCTGTCCATGCCCAGTCCTTGCACACGCATGTGCACAAGCACTCGTGCAAACAGCAGCCCTGGCACATACACTGTTGTCACCTGGCCCTAAAAATCAAACGGGGCAGCCCCCAGCTCCTCTCCACGTCCTTCCTGTGCCCCTAAAAACCTTGTGCAGAGAGCTCCCCGGTGCTCAGAGCCGCTCACAGCCCTGCCCAGTCGCAGCACGTGGCAATTGAGGGGCGCACACGGGATCGCAGGAGAAAGGGGGGGAATTTTGGGGTGCAGCTTCACAACCACACACTGCAAGCCACGGCAGGATGGCTCGTGGCCTCTCCCAGCCACAGCCACCTCCTGTTGCCCCCCGAGTCCCGCATCCCACCCCCCATTCAGTGCAGGTCGATGTTCTCGTACTCCAGGTTGTCCGAGTCCTCCAGCTCGATGCCGGGCACCAGGTTGTAGTAGTTGGTCGCCTGGTTCATGTAGATCTTCTCCCGGTCGGCCGAGTCCTTCAGGACATCGCTCACGCTCACCGTGTCCCCCTCGGCCCCGCTGCCCCCCAATTCCTCCCCCCCAGCTCCCGGGGCTCCCCGCTGGGTGCCCGGCCCCGCGCCCCGCTGCGCCTCAGTGGGGCGGCACCTGGGATCCCACCCGGATCTCCACCTCCTCGTACAGGTCCCTGCTGCTCTCCAGAGGGTCCTGGGAGGGCTGGGGCAGCGCCGCCCCCCCCAGCAGCACCTTCTTCTCCTTCTCGGAGGGGGCAGCGGGCAGCTCGTAGGGGACGTAGCGGTGGGATTCGGGGAGCACCGGCGCGCTGCCCCTCTCCACGGCGGCGGCGGCGACGGGGGGGTGTCTGCCCCCAAAGCTGTAGTTGGTTTTCCTCTTCCTCTTGCAGAAGCAGCAGGCGATGGTGGCGAGGAGGAGGAGGGGGGGCAGGCAGATGAAGAGGGCGGTGAGGCCGTGCGAGCGGCACAGCTCGTCCCGGGGGATGCTGAGGAGCTCGGCGCCGCGGTGCCGCTGCGGCGTGTGGCAGGTGAGCTCGGTGGCCAGGTCGGGCCGGCCCTGCAGGGCGCTGAGCAGGGCGCAGCTGCAGTCCCAGCTGTTGTTGGACACCTGGAGCCGCCGCAGGGACGGCTGCAGGAGGCTGCTGGGGAGGAAGGTCAGGGCGTTATAGCCCAGGTAGACCTCCTGCAGCCGCCTTGAGGCTTTCAGGAAGGATTGGGGAAGCTCCCGGAGCCGGTTCCAGTCCAGGTAGAGGATCCTCAAGTTGGGGGCGTCTTCCAAAAACCCCCCGGGAGGCTTTCCAGCTGGTTGTGGCTCAAGTGCAAGACCTCCAGGGTGACGGGGACGCCCTGCGCGTTGCGGATGGCCGCGATGCCGCAGCGCGAGAGGTCGAGCTCCCGCAGCCCCCTGCACCCCCAGCAGAGCCCCCCAGTCCAGCAGGGAGACTGTTGGAGCTGCTGAAGTTGAGGCAGCAGCTCTCGGCCAGGGGGGCAGCCCGGAAAGCCTCGAAGTCCAGGGGCTGGCTGCAGTTGCAGCTCTCCGGTGCCGCGTCCCAGGCGAAGCTGGCGGCGAGCAGCAGGCACAGGGACAGGGACAGGGACAGCAAGCGCCGTGCCTGCGGGACAGCCGAGGGGATGAGCACCCCGCTGAGGGTCCCAACACCCAGACCCCACAGCCGGGGGGCTTCTCCCCCCCACCCCATCCCCCAAAACGCCCCCGCTCCCTCCGCTCGCCCCGCACGCGCTCCCCGCACCCCGGGGATGGCACCCACGGGTCCGTCCCGCTGCTCCCCAAGGGTTTCGCTCGTGTCCCCCCCGTTTTTTTCCTCGTGTCCCCCCCGTCCCATCCCCGTCCCCCCGCCGCTCACCTGCCGCCGCCCGCCCCATGCTCCCCGGGGCCGCTCCGCGCTCCCCCCGCCGCCGCCGCCGCCGCCGCCGCCCGGCTCCGCCTCGCTGCCGGGGGGGCCCCGCCGGAACCCGGCCGCCCCGGGGCCCGCCTCGCCCCACACCTCCGGCCCCCGCCCCCAGCTCGGCCCCCCCCTTGCCCCGACCCCTCTCCGGGCTCCCACCCGCCCCTGCTGTGCCCCCAAAAAGCAGGGCACCCCACCGCCCCCAACCCCAGGCACCCCTCCCTAACCACCCCCTCTCCATCCCCCAAAGCCCAGAGCCCCCTGCAACCCCCCCAGACCCTCCCTTTAACCCCCACAGAGCCCCCCCACAAGCCTCCAGCTCCTCGCCCCCCGACCCAAAATCATGGCAGAGGGGCCGGGCTGGGGTCTGCCCCATTCCCCGCTCTCTTAGGGGGAGAGGTCCCAGCCCCCTGCTCCCCACCTGGGGGGCGATGTGCCCCCCAGCCCCATTGGGGTGAGGATGTGGGGTGGTTGTGGTGGCAGGATGGGGACCAAAAGGGCCACAATGGGGCCAGCCATCCTCTCCAGTGCTATGGGGCCCCTTCTGACTTCCTTCCACCCCACACCCGGCCGGGAAGGGGGACGTGGGGTCGGGCACAGCACCACAACCTGCAGGGGAAGCAGTGCTGGAGAGGGGAGCTGCGTTTCCACACCCCAAAAACACAGACATGGGCTCACGGCGGCGTGCACCCTGCCCCGAGGAGCTGGGTAAACTGAGGCACGGGGCCGGGGAGCAGCGGCTTGGCCATGGGCAGTGCTCAGCACGGTGACCACAGCGGGGCTGGGATCCACTGGCTGCTCTCCTGCCCACCCAGGCTGCCTCCCACACCCCCAAACCCAAGTGCTGCCTTAACCCGGGGGGATCGGGATCCTTTTATCTCTCCCTCCAGGCGGCTCTGCCTGGATTTGCAGCTTCCCCTCGGCGATTCCCCAGCCGGTGCTGCCGCTTCCTCCTCCGGATCCAGTCGCCCTCCCCTCCTCATCATCATCCTTTTGCAGGGTGAGAGTGCTGAGCGAGGGGGAAAACCCCACTCCTGATGGGTTCAGGGCTGTCACCTCCTCCCGGGCAGCTCTCCCGTCCCAGGGCCCTTTCTGTGCTCTTCCTGCCCGGGTGCTGCCGAGAGAGCTGGGTTTGGCTTCCCAGCTCCTGCTGCCACCGAGCAGCACCGGGGGGGTCACGGGGGGACCAGGCTGGGTCTGGGTTTCATGTAGGACGCAGGTCCCACAGCCTCTCCGGGCTCCTGCAGCGTTTCACCACGCTCGAGGGGAAAAAAAACCATTTCCTAACATCTAGGTGGAATTTTCCTCGATGCAACTTGCAGCGGGCGCCTGTCCTCGTTCCGCTGGGCACCTCCCCAAAGAGGTGGCTCCGTTCTCAGTGCAGCTCCCTTCTCCTTGCTGCTCCCTTCTCCGTGCAGCTCCAGCCCGCTAGGCGCAGGCAGCAGTGGGATCGCCCCAGAGCCTCCCCTTCCACAGGCTCGGCATGCTGCTGACATTAAACCACGCTCTCCTCCTCCCTGCCTGAGCTCGCTGCGTGGGCAAACGCCCGTCTGCGATGCTCTGATGCTCTCCTGCATCACGGCAGGGCTGAGCAGCAGGTGGGGGGAGCTGCTCCCGGGCCCCATCCCTCTGGGTGAGGTGCCCCAGCCCTGGAGGGGGGGAATGTGGGCACCCACCAGAGCCCAACCCGAGCCAGGAGAGCAGCAGAGCTGCTGGCTCCCAGCAGGAAGCCCCGGGACGAGCCCCCGCAGGTTGTCCCGCTGCCCCCAGCACCTCCCTGGGGCCTCCCTGCACCCTTGGGTGCCTCCACCCCCGCGCTGCCTCCAGCAGCTGACTCAGCTCTGCCCGGGGAAGCCCTGCGCCGGGGCCTCCGTCGGAAAGGCAGAGGTGCCCCGTGACGCCACCCCTGCCCAGGGGAGCCCTGGGGCCCCGGTGGAAACCGGGGCAGCTTTCCCCGAAGGGGGAACCCGGGCGTGCTGCCGGGCAGAGCGTTTGCACACACTTCCTCCGCCGAAGGTTGAGAGCCAAGAGGAAAGTAAACAGAGCCGGATCCTTTCATCTCTCCCTTCGGGCAGGTCTGTTCAGTTCCCATCCCGGGGGATGTGCTGCGAAATGTGGGGCCGGTTGGCCAGGGGTGCTCATGCAAAACCCTCGGGGTGTTCAGGAGCACATCAGGCATCGGTGAGCAGAGCCCCGAGCTTGCCCCGCGGGAGCAGAGGGGAAATTGGCACAGAGCGAGGGACTTGCACATGGTCCTGCTATCCTGAAGGGCACCAGGATCTGCTTTCGAGGGGCTTTTGCAACGCTGCTGATCCCGGAGAGCAGGGTGCCGTGGTTTTCTGGCCCGTCCTGCTGCCCTACATCCATCCGTGGCCTATTTTGGGTGACACTGAGACGTTTCTCCCCCACGGCCATTAGAGAGCAGCACCGCGGTGGCACAGCGCCCTACAGACACCGCTGCACCCTGCGGACACCCCTCCCTGCACATTGGGGCCAGCACGGCCAGACCCAGCAAAGAGTGGCACAAGGCAGGGACCCAGGGGACAGCGTCGCCGGGCAGCCCACCTGCATCTCCCTGTCACCCCCCCATGTCCCCAGCGCCCCACCTGGGGTGGGCTGGGACCCCACTGGGGGCTTTGTGGGGGCGCCTGGCTGCCTCCAGGGTGGGTGCATGGGGGGCAGGGTCTGCAGCATACGGGTGGGCTTCAAAATCCCCCCTGGATGTGCATGGAGAGGGGGGTCTGCGAGTCTTGGGAGAGACAGAGGGGACTTGAGGAGGGGTCTCTGCGTGCCCCTGGGGGTCTCTGAGGGGATTCCTGTGCCTGGGGGGGGGGAGTTGTGCCTAGAGGGGAGCCTGTCCATGGGGGTCTCAGTGCCTGGGGGGGGGGGCATATATCTGGTGGGTGTGCATTTACCGCCCCCCCGCGTAGGGGCAGGGCTGTCTCCTTCCCCCAAACCACTGCAGAGAGGTGGCAGCGGCCGGCCTGCCCTCCCACGACCCCCCTTTATCCCCTTTATCCCCTTTACCCCCTTTGCCCCCCACCCCTCCCCACCCCCTTTATCAGCGCTGCTGCCCCTTTAAGAGCGCGGCGGGGCCGCCCGGAGGGGGGCGTGGCCTCTCGGGTGACGTCACCGCGCCCATTGATAAAACCGGCGGGATCCCCGGCGCGCCAGCGCCAAGCGTGGGGGGCGGCGGCGGGGCCACGTGCGCGGGGCCGCCGGTGGCGGAGGAGCCGCAGCAGCACCGGGAACCGGGACAGAACCGGGACCGGGATAGGAACCGGGGCAGCCGCCATGGCCATGGAGCACGCCGGCCTTTTTCCCCCGTTCCCCGCCGCCACCGCCGCCTGCCTGCCCGCCCAGCCCGCGCCCTCCCCGCCGCCACCGCCGCCCAACCGGGCAGCCGAGACCAGCCGGCTCATCACCGACCCGCTCTCCGGTCGCTCCTACTGCAAGGGCCGCCTGCTCGGGAAGGTACCGGGGGATAACGAGGGGGTGGCAGCGGGGTGAACGGGGAGCGCCTTGCTTCTGTGGGGCGAGGGGGGAGCTGGGAGGGGGCTGGGGGCCTTGCTGCTGCCTCCCCTCAACCCCCCCGACCCTCCGTGCCTCCTCCTCCTCCTCGCCGGGAGCCGTGAATCAGCCGGGCTGGCTCCCGGCCCCGCCGCCTTATCGGAGGCGCGATCGGTTTCGGGGCGCCCCGCGGGGTGTGCGTGGGCCGGAGGCTGCCCCGGTTCCCAGGGGTGCCGGCCCGGCCGCTGGGGCTGCGGCACACGCAACTTTTCCTCCCGCTGCGAGCTCTGTGTAGGAGGAGGCTGCTTGTTCCCAGCCCGGCCCGGGCGGGCTCGGCAGCTGAGTGTGCAGATTGGAGGCTGACATCACGGCAGGAAAAACCTGTCTCCATCCAGCGCTGCCTTTCGGTGGTGGCCTCCGGTCCCCCCCTGCTTTGCGCAGGGCTTTCCGGGCGAGCTGGCATCTGGAAAGCTGCCGGAGGAGTCCGGTAGTGGTGGGAGGGAAAAAACGCCCGGGAGGCTTTATGAGAACAGGGTGAAGAAAATCCCGGCTTGAGAGCATCGTGGTTCAGATCTCAGTGGGCGACGCAGCAGCCGGCAACGTGTGATGCTCCCCGGGCTGCGCGGCGAGGAGCCGGCAGGGGCGGAGAGCTGCCTGTCAGCCTCCCCAACCACCTCTTCTCCCCCTCGCAGGGCGGCTTCGCACGATGCTACGAGATGACAGACCTCTCCAGCAACAAAACCTACGCCGTGAAGGTCATCCCTCACAGCCGGGTGGCTAAACCCCACCAGCGGGAGAAGGTAGGCGCTGGGGGAGCTTTGGGGGGGTGCTGGGGTTCCAGCGGGCACCCTGCGCTCACCCGTGGCCTCGGCGTCCTTTCAGATCACCAACGAGATCGAGCTGCACCGCGACTTGCACCACAAGCACATCGTCAAGTTCTCCCACCACTTTGAGGACGCGGAGAGCATCTACATCTTCCTGGAGCACTGCAGCAGGAAGGTGAGGGCTCCGTGTCCCCGAGCGGAGCAGTGGGTGCTTTGTTTGAGGTGCTGGTTTTGCACAGCACTGGGGACACAGTGGGTTTCAAGTCCTCTATAAGCAGCCTGCCCAGTGCTGGCAGCCCGTAGCCCCCTGTTGCCACCACCAAAAGCCCAGTGGTTCCCTGGTTGTGCCAAGCCCGGAGCCTGCTGAGCTTCCAGCCATGGCAGGACAATTGTTTGTGCAACTCCTGGAAGAACGGGCTCTGACCCTGCCTGCCCCTTGCCTAGTCAGCACGGCTGCCCGCCCTCCCTGCCCGCCGTCACCGAGCTGCCTTCTCTCCCTCTGCAGTCGCTGGCCCACATCTGGAAGGCCCGCCATACCCTGCTGGAGCCTGAAGTGCGCTATTACCTCAAACAAATCATCTCCGGCTTGAAATACCTTCACCTCAAGGGCATCCTGCACCGGGACCTCAAGCTGGGTGAGTGTCACGTCTGGGGACGGAGCCACGCGGGGAGCGGCGAGCCGAAGGGACGGGCGGTGACGTGTCACCATGGTCTTGCAGGCAACTTCTTCATCAACGAAAACATGGAGCTGAAAGTGGGGGACTTCGGTCTAGCTGCTTGCCAGGACGCCTCTGACCAGAAGAAAAAGTGAGTCTGAGCTTCCCTTTCTCTTCTCGTAGCAACTCCTGCCCCAGCTGCAGGCGAGGAGAGGGGGCTGGGGGCTTTGTGGCTCCCCCAGGAGCGTGCCCGCAGCCCTCGGGGAGAACAATGCGCTCGCTATGGCTATTGTGCCCGGCCGGGTGCGCAGGCTGGGACACAAAGGCTCCGTTCCCGGCTGTGTCTAGGACGAGCTCTTCCCGACGGCTTGCCACGAGCAGCTGCTGCCGCCCCCCAGGAGCTGGGGGAGGGCTCCTTGTGGATGGAGGGAGCCTGTGGGGCTCAAATTAGGGGAGGGGAATCAGCTGCAGGGTGAATTACGGGTGGGGAGCGGTGTGGGATGCAAAGCAGGCTCTGAGCTGGCCGTCTGCCCCGCAGGACGATTTGTGGGACCCCCAACTACCTGGCCCCCGAAGTGCTGCTGCGGCAGGGCCACGGCCCGGAGTCAGACGTGTGGTCACTGGGCTGTGTCATGTAAGTGCACGGGGTGGGGGCTGTGGGGAGCCCTGTGGGGAAGTCCCATTGCGCTTTGTGTCCCTGCTATGCTGAAGGGCAGGGGAGAGGGGCTGTGAGTGGACGAATCCTGCTGAGAGGTGCCTCTGGGCACCCTGGGGTGCTGCAAGCAGCAGGCCCTGGTGTCACACCGAGCTCTGCTTCAAAGCTCAGCCACCCCACCAGCGAGATAAACAATGGAAAATATCGGTGGCTGGCGGCTTGTTTGCACGGGGAGCGATCGCTGCACCGCCTCGGTGACTCGAGCCCTTGCCGGTCGCTGCCGCAAGCTTCCTGCTGTGGTTTTCTGCTGTGGGGCAGGGCCGTGGGGCAGGGCCATGGGGCTGCTGCCTCCTGCCAGCCCTGTCCCGGTCCCTGGGGCTCCTCGCTTGCTGCTGTCGGCAGTCGCGAGGAGGAAGCGTGGCCGGATGTGTGCGCAGCCTGGCGGGCTGGAAGCGGTGCTCCCGGCCAGGTGTGGCCGGCCCAACGCCACCAGCTTCCTCGCTCCAAGTGCTGCTGAGTCACAGACCCGGCGGGGATGTGACCGTGGCACGTGCCTCGCCTCCCAGGTACACCCTGCTGTGTGGGAACCCTCCCTTCGAGACCTCGGACCTCAAGGAGACCTACAGGTGCATCAAGCAGGTGGAGTACACCCTGCCTGCCTTCCTCTCCCTGCCCGCCAAGCACCTCATCGCCGGCATCCTCAGGCGCAACCCCCAGGACCGCCTCACGCTCGAGGAGATCTTGGACCATGAGTTCTTCAAGGTGAGCGGGCTGGAGTCCTGCCTCCACCCTTAACAGGGTGGGATGAGGCTTTTGGGGTCACGCAGGGCCTGTGGAGGGACCGAGGGATCCGGTGTGCTCCCTGCTGCCCTGACCCCACAGCAGGGGCTGCTTCCCGTGCCGCTGATCCCCAAATACCCAAATGCCAGGCCCGGAGCCAAGGGCTGACGGAAACGCAAGCTGGCTGTCAGGAGGGCTGCGAGTGACTGCGGTCAGCCCGGGGCAGCTCTGCATGAAGCACGTGGGCGGTGGAAACCAAACCTCTGCCTTCACCCCTGCGCAGGGCTACACGCCGGAGAAGCTCCCTCCCAGCAGCTGCGTGATGGCTCCGGAGCTCAGCCCCCCCAACCCAGCAAAAAGTCTCTTTGCTAAAGTCACCAAGACGCTCTTCGGGAAGAAGAAACCCAAGGGTGAGTCCACGTGCTCGCACGGGAACCTCCTGGTGACCCTTTCTTTGGGGAGAAGTGGGTTCTGGAGAGCACTGCTGGGGGGTCCCCTGCTTGGGGACAGCGCTCGCTGCCTTTGTCCCCTTGTCCCTGCCCTTCCGCTGCTTGGTGGCAGGCATGGGCGTGCGCCTGGGGAGCGGATGCTGCCCTGTAACCCATGGGGACAGTTCCTCCTGGAAACCCTCTGCTGCTGCCTGAGAACTGGGAAGTGAAAGTGGGAGGCAGCCACTTGCCACCCCGAGCTGAGTCTGCTGGGGGAGGGGGGGTGGCCCCCGTGTCCCCGTCCCCTGTGCTCACGGCTCCCTGCCTCCCCAGCCAAGAAGGGCCCTTCGGAGGACAAGGACGACATCTCCAAGCTGGTCACCGGGCTGATGAAGACCTCGATCTGCCGGCAGATAAGCTACAAGACGGTGGAAGGGAATGAGGTGAGAGCAGCCCCGAGTCCGTGCGCACCCCTCCCAGGGACAGCACATGGGATGGTGCTGACATCGTGTCCCCCCCAGGCCACCCCCGGGTCCTGCCGCAGCACCGGCTCCAGCCCCGTGGAGACGCTGGTGGAGGAGACCTCTCACAAATCCGTGTCCCCGTCCATCCGGGGGACGATGGCCAGCAGCTGTGAAGGTGAGCAACGCCTGTCCCGGCCACCCCACCTGCCCTGAGCTTCCTGCCCTGCCCCGGCTGATAGCGGGGCCGGCTGACTCAGGGGCTGTCATCTTCCCTCCGCAGCCTTTGAAGACTGCATCACCGCCTCTGCCATCATCGAGTCGGCCGTCCGGCTCCTGCGGACCTGCCTCTCCTGCATGCCCCCAGGTAAACCAGCCGGGAGAGGGCGTAGAGGCACGGGTGCCGCTTTGGGAACCCCAAATGGAACGCCAAATACCGCCTGACCCCGCAGCGGGGAGCCGAGCGGGGGGTGCCTGCTCTGCTCACCCCTTTCCCTTCCCCACCAGCGAACAGAAACCCGGCTTCCCTGGCCCGGCACGAGCAGTTTGTCTGGGTGAGCAAGTGGGTGGACTACTCCAACAAGTACGGCTTCGGCTACCAGCTCTCCAACCGCAGCATCGGGGTGCTCTTCAACAACGGCACGCACATGGCGCTCTCCCCCAACCACAAGTGAGCGCCGGGGAAGGGGCTGCAGTCCTTGGGGGTGGGAAAAGGGGCGAGGGGAGGTTGTGCAGGGGGTGGCTAATGCTGTGCCCCCCGCCAGGACGGTGCATTACAACCAGACCAACAGCAAGCACTTCGCCTTCCCCGCCTCCGCTGTCCCCGAGCAGCTGCAGGGGCAGATGAGCGTGCTGCGCTACTTCGCGTCCTACATGGAGCAGCACCTGATGAAGGTAGGTGCTGGGACAACATTTGGGCTGTGGTTTGGCCCTGTCACCTGGGTGGCACTCCCTGGTTGGAGTCTGTGGCCGGGTGGAGCCCCTGGGGCTGTGTCCTGCTAGCAGGGCAATGCCCACGGGTATGGGACCGGGGGTTTACACGGACCTTTCTCCCCAAGGGAGGTGACTTGCCGAGCATAGATGACCTTGGGCAGCCAGCCCTGCTCCTCCTGCAGTGGGTGAAGACGGACCAGGCCTTGCTGATGCTCTTCAGCAGCGGCACCCTGCAGGTATGTGTAGGGTGCTGTGGGGGTGCTGCTTTGGGGAAGCCACCGTGGGACTCGTGACCCGGGTTAGTCCTTGCCCACCACGACCCAAATGCAAAGGCCAGCTGTGGGTGCAGGGAGCTGCTCTGGTGCCCCAGCTGCTGGTGGCAGGCACCTCGGCGGATCGGTGCGTTCCTGCCGTGGGGCAGGTTGGGGAGGAGGAACGGGTTGAGGCAGGAAGCCTGGCTCCATCCCCGCTGCTGCTGCGCTGCGGGAGGCCAAGCCAAGCCCCACCTGTCTCCTAGGTGAACTTCTACAATGACCACACCAAGGTGATCATCAGCAAGCCTGACCACTCCTGCCTTGTCACCTACATCAACCGGGAGCGCAACTCCTACACCTACAAGCTGGGCAGCATCCAGGAGCTGGGCTGCTCGCCGGAGCTCCAGCAGCGCCTCCGATACATCCTCAAGCTCCTCCAGGAGCGGGCCGATGCCTAGCGCGGTGCTTTGGAGAGACCCTCTCTGGACGTAGAGGTCTCCTCCTGCCTTCCCGTGGGACGGGGGGCGCGTAGTGGTGCTCAGCTGGACTCCGGACCTCAGCGGCCACCCGCTGAACACATGTGGCTGTGATCACGGCAGCAGGTCTGCACACCCGTGCTGCTCCCTGGCTGTGGGCAGTCGCTGCCTTTTCCCCCTCTGCATGGCCGTGAGCTCGAGGCTTGGTGCTGTGGGGTGGAGAAGACCCCCCCCCAGGGGACGGACAGGGGTGTGGGGCGCTGTGTGGGGTGGCTCGTGCCTCTCCACATCTGCTACACTAAGGGGGGGCTGAGCTGGACCCCAGCTGCTCCCGAATTGGGACTTGTCTGGTACAACTCAAGGTTTGGTAGAGGGCAGGGGAAAGGGATCCGTGGGCTTTTTTGCCTGGAAAAGCCCCTGTGTGGCTGTGACCTAGGGCAGGTTTCTTGTTTCGCGGCAGTCTCTGCCAGGTTGGGACTATTTATGCATCTTATTTATATGGAATTATTTATTTTCTCTGTCTGTCCATGTGCAGCTCCCCTGTCCCTGACTTACCTCAATAAAACTTTATTTGTGTAAGGGCAAGCGGTCTCTGCTGCGTTTGGAGCTGGGGCTGGGGTCACGGAGTGGGGCAGAGCAATCCCAATCTTCATCCCTGCTCTGGGGCTGCTCCTGGTGATGTTTGGGGTCACGAAATAGGAGAGGGAGTTGGTGGGGGACCTGGGTGCCTTATGCAGACCCTAAGGACCAGAGCCAGGATGGGTGTAAGGACCTCATCTCTTACCTCCTGTGCCCCTGGGGCTGGCAGGAGGAGCAGGATTTGCATCCTGCTGCTAGCTGCAGAGCCCTGGAGCTGCCTCAGCCTCTCCTCCCCCTTCAACCCCATCCCCTGGTGTCAGCCCCAGCTGCTCCAGGGCTGGTGCTGGGGGAAACAGGGGCTGTGGCTCCTGCCCCAGGGACAGGGCTGTGGGGTGCCCTGCGCTGCCTGGTGTCACGGGATGTGAGCTGGGCACGGAGCCAGCCACGAGGAGGGACTTAATGGGCTTCATCCTGCTCTGCAGGCTCCCTTGGAACAAGATCCCTCACCTCCTGCCCTGCCTGGGAGCAGCCTGGGTTGTGGGAAAAGGGCTGGACTGCTCCGTGTCCTCCAGGGTATGGCCCTCAACTGCTGCCTGCTCCCAGCCTCGGGGGAAATGCAGCTTTTTGGGTTGGATTTCCTGCAGCTTGGGACTTTTTGCAAGCCACTAAAGTATGTGCATCAACCAGGGGCACCGTGGGCCATCCCCTTGGCTCCCCACATGCACCACAGCTCATCCACCCAGGGCTGGCACAAATCCTTTTATTTCCACCTGCTCTCCCCCTGCCAGACCGTCCGAAGGGAGGCAGCCCCTACTCAAAATAGACCCCGTGCACTGTGGCCACAGCAAAGAGGGAGGCGTTGGAGAAGGTAGCCGAGGCGAAGTTGTCACTTTGGGGGTCCCAGAGCGCCCGGCTGGCCACCAGCAGGCTCTGCTGGCTGTGCTGGCCCAGCAGCACGTGGCACACCAGTTTGTAGCGGGGCGGCACCACCTCCTTCGCCCGGCCCTGCAGCAGCTCGGCCAGGCTGTGCACCAGCGGGGCGCTGCCCTGGGGGCTGTAGGACGTGCCCCCCAGAACCCCCGCCAGGACCCTCTCCAGCACCCGCTGCACCCGCCCCGCGTTGAACCCGCAGCCTTCGTCTGGCCCCATCCTGTAGGTGTTTTCCAGGCGGATCTCAGGGATGGGCTGGAAAAGGGGGAGCCCCGAGAAGCTCACGCGGCTGTGGAGCATCCAGGGGCCGATGGAGGGGCGCTTGCCCCCCGGGGCTGCCCCCAGCGAGCTGCGGCGGCTGGCCAGGGGTGCCGGGAGGGTGCTGAGGATGGAGCTGCGGCGGGACAGCAGCTGAGGTGCTCTGCCCTCCTCCGTGCTCCGTGCTGGGGCTGTGGGATTGGAGCCTCGGCGGGCGGTCCGGGGCTGAGGGGCTTCGGTGCCATCCACGGCCATCACCTGGGTGGACGGGGCCAGCTCTGGGGCTGGCTGCTCGGCCATATGGGCAGGCTGGAGGGGAGAGGTGGCTCTGAGTTCTTCCATGGGACCCCAATCCAGCTGGGGCTGACCCGCTGCACCTACACACGGTGCCATATCCCTGCACCCCATCCCACCCGTGCCCCCAGCCCCGCTCCCTGCGTGACCCAGCTCCAGCCACCGTGGCTGCCCAGCACCGACCTCTTCCCCTCGGTCCCCTGGGTCCAAGCTCGGGGAGCTCCTGGAGCGTGAAGTGTTGCTACGTGACACTGCAACTCCCCATCCACAGCTCCGTAACTCCTTGCTTCCCGGTCCCTGCACAGCCCCGTTGTCCTCTTTTGCCCCCGGCTCCCTGAGAGCCGTACCAGCTGCAGCCTGGGCCACAGCCAGCTTGGGGACAGCAGCTCCGGGCATGTCCCCTATGTCCTCAGCATCTCCTGGCAGCCCCAAAAATGCTTTGTGGGTGTCAAAAGTGAAGGAAAAGCTTGCAACCCAGCTTGCACCCCCCCAAAAAAAAATAAAATCACATCCTTTGGGTACCTATCCCTCTATAATGCCTTTCCCTATGGGATGGTGGGCACCCAAGGGTGGGCAGCACCCACGGAGCACAGCCTGGTGCTGGGGAATTGAGCCCCACAACGTGCCGGGGGTCCCTGCTGCTGTGATGCTCCAAATTGGGGCAGGTCTGGCCGGGACCCCCACCCCGAGCGGGGTTTTCTCCCTGCTGCCGGAGCCCAGCCCAGCTGGTACATCGCGGCCGCCCCATCAATGCGCCTTTGTCTGGCCGTGCTGCGATCTATTTGGGGAAAGCGGGGCCGGCCTTTGTGTTCCTATCTGCCGCCGAGGTATTTATAGCCTGCTGCCGGCTCGCGCTGCCAAGCACGCTGGCAGCCGGACCCCGCTCCCTGGGGTGCTGGCGAGGAAAGCTGGGCCCCTCCGGGGGCACCCCACCGCGTCCCTCACCCCCGGGACTTAGCAGGAAGGGGAATGAGCACCCCCCTCACGTCACTTCTGGGTTCGGGCAAGGCAGGGAGTGCTTTCACCCCTCTGCTATCCTAAAACCCAAAGGACATAGGGCTGAGGGTGGGCTCCCCCTCTCACCACCCCTGTTCCCCCTTTGCTCACCCCGCGGCCCCCCTAAACCATGCTCCCTCCTGCCAGCTTTCCCTGGCGCTGGGCCGTGCTGTGGCGGCCTCCTCCCCGTGCTGGCCAGCCTCCCTCCGTCCCTCCCTCCTTCCCTCCTTCCCTCCCTCAGCCGCCTTCCTCCTCCGCCTGCCCCCATGGCCCGCTCCTGCTCGGCGCGGCTGCAGGGCGAGGCGGCCGCCTTCACCGCGGCCCTGCGCACCCTGGTCAACAACCCCCAGTTCAGGTGAGGGGCCGCCGCCTCCCCACACCCTCCCTGCCCGCCAGGCCGGGCTCCTCGCAGGCCCTCAGCCCCTCTCTTTGGGCTCCAGGGGCCTAAATCTGCGCTCTGGCAGCCCTTCTCCCACATCCTTTACCCTGCGAGCTCCATCCCACAGCCCACAACGTGCACCCTGCAGCCTCCATCCTGCCCCCTGTGCCTCACGTTCCGCACCCCGCATCCTACAGCCTTCAGCCTCAACCTCTCTCCCCTCTTCTTGCCCCACTGACCACGGCCACGGAGCCATTTATTTGGTTATTTATGTATAACTTTGCTGTTAACATGGCAGAGGGCCCTGCTTTCACCCCACACACCCCTCTGGTCCCCACAAGCGCTGGGCCGTGCCTTAATGCACCTCCCCTAAATCACCACCCCGCTGGGATGGGGGCTCCCGCTCGTCACCCTCTCCCTTTCCCAGGACAAAGATGGGGCTGGGGGGGCCACCCTGTGCCCCGTCCCAGCCCCTGGGGGTCCCACTTTGTTCCCCTCTCCTCGGCAGCGACGTGACCTTCGTGGTGGGCCGGGAGCAGCAGCGGGTGTTCGCGCACCGCTGCGTGCTGGCGTGCCGCTGCCAGGCTTTTCGGGGGATGCTGGGGGGCTGTGGCGAGGACCCCCCCAGCAGCGTCCCCCCCCAGGGCCCCTTCGTGCTGGGCAACGTGCAGCCCGACGTCTTCCTGGCCGTCATCGAGTTCCTCTACACCAACAGCGTCAGCCTCAACAGCCACATCGTGAGTGGGGAAGGGGGCGGAAGGATTTGGGGTGGGTTGATTTTTTTTTTTTTGGGTGGTGCTGCATGGAGAAAGGGAGAGGATTTGGGCTCGATGGGCCTCGTGGGTGCCTTCCAGCTCGGGATTTTCTGTTTCTGTAGGCACTGGAGGTGCTGACCTCATCGGTGGAGTACGGCCTGCAGGACCTGTGCAAGGTATGGCCCTGCTGCACCCGGGGTGCCGTGTCCCCCCCCTGTGCCCCTATGCTGGGGGGCACCCAAGGATGACCCTAAAGATGATCCGAGGTGGCCCTGAGGACGGCACCACCCATGTGCACAGGCTCAGCCCTGTTCCCCAACCCCAGATGTGTCCCTAAGGGAATTGGTCCCCACAGGGTTCAGCAGCAGCCCCCATGGGGGTTCAGGTGGGAGCCCCCCACCCCCGGCGCTGGGGAATCCCTCCGGCATGTCCCACTGCACAAAGGGCAGCAGGAAAGCCCCAACGCCATCCCCCACGGTGCCTCCGGCCGTGTCAGGAGGCTGCTGTTGGGAAATCCCCGGTCTGGGGAGCAGGGAGCGAAAGGGAGCGGTGGGAGCACGCCACCAGGACGGACAGACGGACAGACAGACAGACAGACAGGGAGTGGGCCAGGGTGAGGAAGAGGAGGGAGCTGAAGCGTCCCCATGGGGACACGTCACCAGACCCATTCCCGAGTTACGGCTGGGCACGTGGCGTGACCCTGCACTTCCCCTCCCTCCACACCGCGCCGTGCCACGAACCGAGCTGCCCCGTGTCCCTTGGGGGGAGCTGTAATGACTGGGGGGGGGGGGCATCAAGTGGCCAAGTGGCAGCCGGGGAAGCCCGTGGTTCTGTCCCCAGCTGCAGGGTGACTTCATCTCCCTGTCCCCGCTGGTGACTCAGGGCCCTTCTGCTCCAGCTGGCGGCTCCTCCCCGCACATCACGTCATTTTGGGTTTCCCAGGGACCCTGACCCTGGCTCAGCCCCCGCGTCCCCCCCCCCCTCACCACGGCTCAGGTCCCCTTTGTGTGGGAGGCAGCTGGGGTGGGCAGCGGGGAGCCCGTCTGGCTGCATCCCACCTGCTTTTGGGGCTGCAGCCCATTTGTTTGTCCCCTCCGAGCAGGCGCGGGCAGAGCTGGGGTCACCCGGCAGCTGCTGCTGTCACCAGGGCTGTGACCATGGCTGAGTGACCTGCCCCGGGGTATGAGCTTGGTGGCGTTTGGTCACCCCAGGCTCGCTCCCCAGCTGAATCACTGCCCACACGCCGTGCTGCAAGCCCTCATCCCCCAGCCCAGCCCTGCCTTACGAAACCCTGCAGGGCTGGAGGCACCTCCGCCCCATGTCCCATGTCCCTTTGTCCCTTTGTCCCTTTGTCCCATGTCCTGGGGGCTCAGGGGGTGCTGAGCATCACGGAGGGGGGTGCTGGGTCCCCGCTGCGCCCTCCCAGCCTCTCCTTTCTGCTTCCAGCTCTGCGTGGAGTTCATCAAGGACACGCTGAGCGTGGAGCAGGTCTGCGAGGCACTGCAGGTGAGCGGTCCTGGGCACCTGGTGTCAGGGGGAGGACGGTGCCTGGGTCCCTCATGTGGGCAACGGGGCATATTTGGGGGCGGGGGGGGGGACACCAGTCTGGGGAAAACCCAGTGACAGCTTCCCAAGCAGCGTCACGGAGGGTAAAAATAACCTTGTCTATTTTGGGGCATGAGCTGGGTTGGCCCCTCTGCCCTTGGCTGCGTGCTGGGGCTGGGTTTCCCTCCCCTGCCAGCCCAGCAGCCCTCCTGTCCCCTGGGGATGTCCCTTTGGGGCTGCAAGGGCCATCAGAGCAAGGCAGGGCAGTGTCCCCAGGACATCATCCCCCTACACAGGGTCAGCCAGAGCTCCCCAGCACAGGGATATTGCCACTGTTTGTGTGAAACTGGGAGGCACTGGGATTTTGGAAATCCACAAGGTTTTCAGGGCCAGTTCCCAGAACCCTGCTGAGATATGGAGAAATGCTCCCAGGACCGGCCCCACGCTCGTGATCCTGCAGATCCTTGCCACCTCCCGAGGCCCGAAGCGATGCCCCTGGGGCGAGACGCTGGCCCTGGCGTGCAGAAGCTCTCGGCGCACGTGGTACCTGACCACCGTGGCGTAAACAGAGCTAAAACGGGCTCGGAGGAAACAAACAGAAAACCCCAAAACCCCAGAACAAAACAAACCTGAAGAAAACAACACGCTCTGCCCACCCCCAGCTTGCGTCAGCGCTGGTCCCAACTGCAGCAGCGGGGCTGGCGATGCTGCACAGCACCCAAATACCCCACACACGTGGGCGGACACCATGGGGGGGGACAAGGACATGTCCTGGTGCCCCGAGAAGGACACAGCAGCGGGCAGAGCCAGCCCAGGGAGGAGCTTTGTTCCTGGGGGAGGAGAAGAGCACCCCAAATTCCTGCTGCAGTGGGGAATAGAGATATGGGGAAGGCTCTGGGGTGGCACCAGGGCGTTGGTGCACATTGGGGTGCTCTGTGCCAACCCTGTGCCCCAGTGGGGAAAGCTGGGGACAGGCAGCCCCATATCCACATGCCCACGTGCTGGTACTCATACACGGGGTTGCTTCCCTTACCTGGGTGCCTGAGAACACCTCAGGGCTGGCGGCATACGGGGATTCTCTGTAGGGTGTTTTTTTTTTTTGGGGGGGTGTCTCCTTCCTGCCCTGGACCCCCTTGCAGGTGCCCGTGTTGTCCCACAGGCTGCGGTGACCTACGGGCAGGCGGACCTCCAGCAGCACTGCCTGGCCTTCATCGAGAGCTGCACCGCGGTACGGCCACGGGGGGGACCCGAAATGGGGGCACCGCAGGGCATGGGGAGCAAACAGGGACACGGCACGGGGGAGTAGGGCCGTGAGGATGGGGCGGCCGGGGGAGAAAAGGGACCAAATGGTGTTTGGGAGGGGGATGCTGAGAGACGAGCAGGGGATGGTGGAAGGGATTGGGGTGCTGGGGTGCGGGATGGTGTGAAGGAGGGGGTCGGGGTGGCTGCTGGTGCCAGAACGATCCTGGTGCTGGTGCCAGAAGTGATCTTGCAGGCGGTGGTGAGGACGCGGGGCTTCCACGAGCTCTCTGACACGGTGCTGGCGCGGGTGCTGCGCAGCGACCGGCTGGCCGTGGACGAGCTGGACCTGGTGCAAGCCGTGCGGGAGTGGGCGCACGTCAGCTCGGTGAGTGCAGCACAGCGGGGTCGGGGGGGTTCCCAAAACACCCCCCCGGTGCCCGATGCACAGCTGGGTGTCCTACAGGCCGTCCTGGGGCGCCCGGTGCCCGAGGTGGCCGCCCTGCCCGTGCAGGGAGCTGCGCCTGCCCCTGCTGGCACCCAGCGAGCTGGCGACGCTGGAGAGCCACAACCAGCGGGACCTGCTCATCCCGGTGAGCTGCTTGGATTTTGGGGGGGCTGGATTTGGGATCTGGGGGGAAGTTGGAGCCACACTCATGTCCCCATCGCAGGTGGAGAGCATTCGCGGCAGCCTGGAGGTCCCACGCACTGCGGCGTAGGCAGCGGGGTGCCCCCCCAGCTCTGCCGGCCCCGGCGCGGCACGCGGCCCCGCGACCACCACCGGCACCTGGACCCGCACGCCAAATAGGGGCTGTGCCCCCCCCAGCCCCACCGGGGGGCTCGGGGAGAGGCTGCGCCCCCCCAGCTGGGTGCTCTGCGGTGGGGCAGGCTGTGGGGTGTGGGGCTGGGCGTCAATAAAGCGCTTTTTTCCCCACTTCACAGCTTTGGGATCGGGCAGGATACGGGGTCACCCCACAGTGGGGGCCGTGGGGCAGCTTCAAAAAGCAATGTGGGCTCTGTGGGGTTGAAGCTGGGTTACGGGGTGGGTGTACGGATGCCGGGGCACCCACACAGGGTGTGTGGTGACCCCAAGGGCTGCAGGGTGACCCTTTATTATCCCAGCCACCCTGCCAGGTCCCATCCTTCCCGGGGCCGTGCTGCCCTCCCCCGGCAGTGGGGCTGCGCTGCAGCAAGCAGGCGCGCAATGGCACCAGGACCAACCCCCCCCCCCCCGTGGTGTTCAGGATGCCAGAAATCCCCTGGGCTGCAAAATTCCCTCCCCCAAATGCTGTTGCACCCCCCCACCCCTTTGCCCAAGCAGCTGTGTCTACCCCAATCCCCTCCCCCTCTCCAGCTGCGCCCCCCCCCAAGACAGAGGGTCAGACCCGGCAGGTAATTTATATATAATATATATATTTACTCTTTAAAAATAAACCTTCGGTTCCCCACTACCGCCTGTACAAACTACAAAAATAAACCTTTGCTCTCTTTGATATAAATAACTTAGATGGCATTGGGGGGGGGGGATAAAAGGAAGGGGGTTGGGGGCTGCCCGCCGTGCCCACGCCTGGCACGGGGACGGGGACCCCGGGGCCACCCCAGCTCAGCGGCAGTGTCCGGGGGGGGCCAGGGCGGTGGGCACGGCGAACACCGCTGGAGTTAAAGTGCTGGGTGACGGCGCGGACAGGTGCCCGGGATGGGGACAAGGATGGGATTTTTTTTTTGGGGGGGGGGTGGCAGGAAGGGGTGGCCCCGTTTGCATGGGAACGGGGCGAGAAATTAGGTTTCCCAGCTGGATGTGCCCGGTGGCAGTGTGGGTGCCCTTTGAGGGGGCAGAGCACATGGGACCATGGCCGTGGGACATCCTGGGGGCTTGGCACAGCAAGGACCCCCCCCCAAAAAAAAAATAACCCTGCCTGTGCGGTGGCAGCAACAGCCCCCCCGGCACATCCCTGTCTCCATCTCTCCCGTGCTCAACAGTGGGGAAACTGAGGCACGGAGGGGGCGACGTGGCCGCTCAGCACCCTGCAGAGGGGGGGGGGGGGGGCACGACCCAGGTCTGCGCCCTTTGCCCTGGGGGGGGGGGGGGCAGCCCTGCACTGGCAAAGGGTCTGCCCCCTCCGGGCAGCCAGGCGAGGCCGTCGGCTGAGAAATAAATCTTTTAAAATAAGCTTAAAAATATATATCTCTCTATAGATAAGTTTCCCTTTGCAATAAATAAAGGTGGGGGGGTGCCCACCCTGGGCTCTGGGGCTGCCCCCCCCTTATCGGGGCAGGGCACCCTGGCTGGGGGTCCCAGGAGGTGAGGGGGGGGGGGCAGGCAGTGACCCCCGCGCAGGGGAGGGTGGCAGGGCAGAGGGCTGGGCGCTGAGCCCGCCGTGCCAGCAGCTCCAGAAACAGAGGGGGGGTTAGTGCTTCCATTTCTGGGGGGGGGCACAGGGTGACCCCAAGCCCTGGAGGTGTGTTGGGGGGGGGACACACAGCGTTGTCGGCGCAGCCCCTGGGCAGGGGATGGGTGGCAGGGCACGGCCTGCACACAGCTTGCATAGAAATGCCAGCCTGCCCTGCCAAGCCCATTTTCGGGGTGGGGGGAGCCGCGGGGGGGGGGCCGGTCCTCCTCGGCCGAGACCGGGGCATCGCCGCTGGGGCGATTAGCAGCACGATGCGGGCGACCCCGCTCTGCACCCTCTGTGCCCCTCCGGGCGCTGGGAGACGCCAGCAGCCCACGAGCCGGTGCCATCCACGGGACCGGTGACCTGCGGAGAGACAGCGAGGGCTCCGTTAGGTCCCCAAAAACACACCCTGTGCCCCCAACCCCCCCATTCAGGGTCCCCAATTGGTCCCCAGTTCAGGGGACGGAGGGGACAGGGGTGTCCCCAGCTCACCTAGCGCCGGGCGCCCGCCCCGTGGCCTCCCAGACTCTGCATCTCGAAGGCTTCGGGCACGGCGCTGGGCACGCCGGGCTCCTCCAGGCTGTCACCCTCCGTGCCAAAAACCGGGTAGGAGCCGGGCAGCGTGGGGTGCAGGGCCACCGTCACCGAGGCGGTGGCCGTGACGGTGGTGTAGCTGCCGGCGGGGCCCTGCAGGTGGGTGCTGTAGGAGGGCAGGGTGCCCCGCGGGGCCGGCCGGGTGTGGGGTGAGCAGGGCTGGCCCGGCCGTGGGGGTGCCGTGGGGCGCGGGTAGTCTCTGGGTGGCGCGGGGCACGGCTCCCCGAAAGGCAGAGGAGGTGCGGGTTGGGGTGGCTCCTTCTTCCCCTGGAGCTCCGGGCTGTCCTTGTAGGGCTTCAGCACCTGGGGAGGAGAGGAGCAGGGTGTGTAGGGGGGCTGAGCATCCCCAGAGACCCCCCAGCACCACCCTGCCACCCCACAGTGTCCTCGTTCCCCCCTCCAAGCAGCTGCCAGCCCCCCGCTGGATTCACTCACGGTGATGCGGGGGAAGCTGGGGTCCTTGCCGGCCTCCAGCAGGATGTGTGCCGGGGCGGGGGGCACGATGAAGGGTCCCCGGGGGCTGCCCGGCCCCAGGCCGTCCCCGTAGCCCTCCGTGTCCGAGGTGTCGGTGAAGGCAGCGGGCCAGGCTGGGGCACGGCGGATGTACAGCCCCCCGGGGCCGAGGCACGGGGACACCGGCTCCGGAGGGGGCAGGCGGGGGCCGTTGTCCAGGGGGGATGCCTGGGGGGAGAGGGGACGGTCAGAGGGGACACACAAGATGGAAGGATGGGGTAAGAGATTTGTGGGGTGAAGCAGGCACGGAGAGATGGGATGAAACTGGGATGGGGGGCAAATGGGGATGGGGTAATTGGGTATGGGGCAAAGAAGGGGGGGGCAAAGCACGGGTGATGGCAAAGAGTGAGGGATGGGGACAAGGGGCGTGTGGGGTGGATTTAGGACCGGGCAAGGTGGAGGGTGAAGGTAAGGTGTGGGGCAATGAGGGGGAAGAGAAAAGATGGGGGTCTCCTACCTCGGGGGGTGGCCCGATGACGGAGAGCAGGACGGGCAGCAGCACCAGCCCATTGAGCAGCCCCAGCAGCGTCAGGATGGTGAGCACCGCAAAGAAGTACCTGGGGGGGTGGGCAGGGGGCTGAGCGAGCAGTACCCCAACCCCAAAACACTGCACACCCCAAAACACTGCACACCCCAACCCCAAAACACTGCACACCCCAACCCCGTGTTCCCCATTCCCATGTCCTCCCCACCAGCCCCATGTCCCCACCACCACCAGCTGGAGGGGGGAGGCTGCCACGCTCCCCAGCCCCCATTGCCACAGCTTTTTTGGGGGGGCAGCAAGCGGCCGTCCCCGCACCCAACGGGGCACCTGGAGCTCACCTCATGATGAAGTCAAACTCGGAGCCGGCCAACATGAGGACGCCCAGGAGGGTGGAGACGGCGCCGTCCATCACGGGGGCGAAGGTGTGCTCCAGCGCCGCGGCCGAGCGCACGTTCCTGCTCCCCGCCGCCGTCAGGAAGCCCTGCAGAGGGTGGGAGGGGGTCACGGGGGGCTCGTCCCCATGTGCTTATGGGGCAAGGGAGGGACAGAAAGCCTTGGGGTGGGAATTGGGGTGCCCCGTAAGCAGGCTGGGGTCTGCTGCCACTCACCAAGGCCACGTGGACGGTGAACTCCACGCCGATGCCCACCGAGGCGATGAGGATGACCACAGGGATGGCGCTCAGCTTGATGCCCATCAGCCCCATGATGCCAAACAGCTCCACTGCCATCATGGCCAGGATGGAGACCTGGGGGGGGCGGCGGGGTCAGTGGGGGGTGGCTCTGACCTGTACGTGGCGTGCCCAACCCTACAGCCTCTATATAGGGCGTCCTCACCTGGGGGTTCCTCTCTGTCTTATCTACTGGGGGAAGCCCTCACCCTTGAGTGCAGGGCTGTCCCCAAACCCCTGCTCCACCCACCCCCTGTCCCCGATTCCTCCTGAGGGGTGTCCCCAACCCCACCCCGGCACCACCTCCGCGCGGCGGGGCGCACACTCACGATGATGCCGGCCGTCCAGGGGTTGAGCAGCAGCAGGGCGCAGACGAGGAAGGTGCAGGCCAGCAGGATGCTGATGGCCAGCAGGAACCAGTGGCGCAGGCCGATGTACTGCTCCCAGAAGAGGAAGGGGTAGCCGCTGGGGTAGCTCAGCACCCCGTGGCGCTGGGCGGCCTCCCGGCAGATGGCCCGCACGCTCTCGATCGCCTCCACGAAATCGGCCGTGCGACGCAGCCCGCTCAGGTAGAAGGGGAACTGGGCGAATTCCAGGGGCTGGGCTGCTGGGACTGGGGAGGGAGGAGAGCACGGGGTGGGCATGGGCAGCACGGCAGCCCCAAGAGGCCCAGGGTGCAGCCAGGATGCGTGCCTGGGCACCATGGGGTTGGGGAGCCCTTGAGGAGGAGCAGGAGATGCTCAGGGTGTAGGGGGTGAGCAGGGAGCAAAAGGGGATGTGTCCCTATCAGGGGATGCTCGTGGGATGAGGGGAGGAGCAGGGAAGGTGCCCCATGTTTCTCGTGGGGCAGGAGAGGTGCAGGGATTGGGCTCTTCTGCTTGGGGAGGACTCTGGGGGCCGCAGGGATGCCGCCGGGCGCTCACTCACTTCGCAGGTTCTCGCCCGTGGTGTCGTACTTGTCATGGATCCACTCGGGGGGTGGCGGGTAGAAGTTGGCCTGCGAGGCAGCGAAGCCCAGGGGGTCGTTGCTGGCCCACACCGTCAGGCAGATGTAGAAGGTGTCCGGGGGGATGATGCCGTTTTCGTCCACCAGCCGCCGCGTGGTCAGCTACAGGGGGGCGAGCAGGACAGGCTGTGAGCAGGGCATGGGCACAGGACATGGCACAGCCCCGTGGCTCTGTCCCCAGCCCCATGGCTCTGTCCCCAGCCCCATGGCTCCGTCCCCAGCCCTGTGGCCACCCACCTGGTTGAAGTTGAAGGGTTCCTTCTTGTTGCCCGTCTGGATGAGGAGCTTGTACGCCAGCGCCCCGTCCTCGGAGCCGTTGCGGTAGCTGTCGTGGGTGATGCGCCCGGCTTGCCAGTCCCTGTCGAAGGTGGCCTGGAGCCCTGGGGACACAGCGTGGGGTGTGAGCATCCCCTCGGGGCATGCCTGGCATTGCTGGGCACCCAGGAAGGTGCGCAGGCCGGAGAGGGGGTCCTTGGGCAGGGGAGGGCACGGGGAGGAGGGCGAGGGATGCCCCTCACCTCGCAGCCAGTCCTGGAAGTAGTGGAGCCACATTTTGGGCAGGTCGTGGTTGCCCTCGCGCACCACGTACTTGACGGTGCTGAAAGCCTGGTGCAGGCTGAGCAGGGCGGCCTGGGCGCCCGGGTAGTGGAAGCCGCCCTTGGTGACGATGAACATGTTGTAGAAGGAGAAGTACTTGAACTGCGCCGAGATGAAGGCGTGCGCCTTGGTGTCCCGCGGCACGATGTCCGTCAGGTAGAGCCCGTCGTGCACCATGGTGGTGCCGTAGAGGCTCAGCCCCAGCAGCGCCAGGAAGAGGACCACCACCACCGCCTGCGGGGACAGCGGGGTCAAAACAACGTCCCCCAACACCCGTGTCCCCATCCCGGGGTGGCTGTCCCGTCCCCGCCTCACCTTGGTCTGGGTGCGCAGCAGGAGCGGGGCGTACTTCTCGCGGGCGAAGTCGGAGAGGCTCCAGCGGCAGAAGGGCAGGGGCACGCACTCACGCCCACCCTTGGCCTCGTCCAGCTGGGCCAGGAGGTCCCGCGTGGAGCTGGAGGGGGTGAAGACCTGCGAGCCCAGCGGGTCGGCGGGCGGCAGGAGCACGGCGGGCGAGGTGCACACCTGGGAGGTGGGCGGCAGGACGGTGACGATGTGGTGGCCCGAGGGGTCGCACTGGGTGAAGGCCTGCACGGTGGTGGTGATCTGGGTGCTGGTGGCCACGCCAGGGTGCCCGTAGGGGGACGGGTGGGAGGCGTGGTTGTCGTTGGCGTCCGCGAACTCCTGGGGTTGGATCTGGATGACCCGTGAGGAGCAAGGGCTGCGGGGAAGAGAGAAGGGGATGGTGATGGCAGGGCTGCCCACGTAACCACTGTGGGGGGGACACGAGGCCAGCCCCATCCTCTGTGGTGCCAGCAGAGGCGGTACCTGTAGAAGCAGCAGAGGATGTCGAGCCGGCGCTTCTCCCGCCGGTGCAGGTCCATGCTCAGGATGGCGGGGAAGATGAACAGCACCATGGCGAAGTTGAACACCACGACCACCGCCGCCTGCGGGCAGAGGGGACACGTCAGAGCCGGGCCCTTCCCACCCCACAGACGGGGTCACCGCTCCCCCCAGGCGGGCGCCGGGGCCGTACCTGGATGGAGAAGGCGCGCAGGGCAGGGATGGGCACCAGGGCTGCCATGAAGAAGGCGATCATGTTGCTGACGGAGGTGAGAGCCACGCTGGTCCCCGTGCGCCTCAGGCACTCGCCCGTCCGCTCCTGCGGGGCACAGAGGGACACGGTGACGAGGGAGCATGGGGAGCAGCTGGGGAGCCCCAAGGAGCAGGGCTCGGCGCTCACCTTGAAGGGGACGTGCTGGCTGGTCTCGGTGAAGGCGTGAGCCAGGAGGAACATGTCGTCCACGCCGATGCCAAGGGCCAGGAAGGGCAGGACCTGTCAGAGAGCAGTGTCAGCAAGGGGACGTTGTCAGCACGGGGACAGTGGCCACCACCTGGGAGGAGGGGACCCAGGGCTCTTCCCCCAGCACCTACCTGCGTGGTGGCCGCGTTGAAGGAGATGCCGAGCAGCGAGCAAAGCCCCAGGCCGGAGGCCACGGAGAGGGCCACCAGCAGGACCCCGGCCAGGCCCACGGCGCCCTGGGACTTGGAGCAGTCCCACCGCAGCATGGTGACACAGGCGTAGGCCAGCTGGAGGAGCACAGAGGGTTAGCAGGGACAGAGAGGGGAAGGAGGGACAGGGCTGGCAGGGGATGGAGAGAGGGGGACGTACGCACCATGAGGAGGTAACCCCCGGCCACCCGGATGGCGCTGACATCGGAGAAGGACTTCATGATGTCGTTGAGGGTGGTGGTGGAGAAAGCATGGACGCTCTGCGTGGCGTTGGGCGGGATGGAGTCCTGCGCCAGCTGCAGGGCATGCCCCCCGTTAGACAAGACCCACGTCCCCCCAAAAGAGGGCCCAGGGGCTGAGCATCGCCTCCGAGGGCGCTGGGGACCCGCAGGACCATGACAGCACGGTGCCAGGACCCACAGCCACGTGAAACCCAGGCAGAGGGGGAAATGCTGTGCCACACAGGGGCTGGGGGCTGTGCCCAGTACCCACCTCCACAAATTTCCTCTGCCAGGCCTCCAGGATGGCACCCGCCTTCTCCTCGCTCCAGCTGATGTCGTGGATCTCGTAGTCGTCCTTGAAGTGCTCGAACAGCTGCCGGGGGCTCATGAGGAGGAACATGGTCTGCAGGGCCTCGGCGCTGGGGGACACACACACATCCCGCTGGGACCGGCTGTGGCACCCCATGTCATGGGGGTGGGTCCCCCCCAGCCCCACAGGGACACCGGGACCCTGTCCCCTTTGTCCCCAGCCTTGCTCCAAAGCACTGCCCCCCTCACCAGACATGCTCCCAGACAACCCCTCTTATACTGGGTTCCCTTAGGTGCTGGATGAGGCCACCGTGCCCCAAACCATCCCATGGGCACCACGGCAGAGACCCCGCACCGTGCCCGGGGACCCGCGTGCCGTGAGAGCTCGTACCTCAGCAGCTTGCCCTGGGAGTCTTTGGTTGTGCCACCTAAGATCAGCTCCTCCTGCCAGCGCATGAATTTCCTGGAGAAGCCGTGGCAGCCCCCCGAGAGCTCTGCAGGGATGTCGGGGCTCTGCCAGCAGAGGGAAGGTGGCGTCAGAGGTGTGGGACAGGCAGGAGAGCAGCAAGCCCCCTGCCCCCATGGGACGTCACCTACCTGCTGGCTCTGCTTGTTGGGGGCGCTGGGGGGGCACTGGGGGTCCCGGGGGTCCAGGCAGGGCCGCTCCATGTAAGCCTGCCCCACCTCTGCCTTGTCCAGCAGCTCCTTGAAGCCTTCCAAGGACGTGAACTGCCCCAGCTCCTCCATCAGCTGCAGAGGGTCCAGGTTGCTCCACTGGATGTCGGGGCGGCCCCTGCGGAGAGAGCAGCACGGGGGATGCTGAAACCCCCACCCCGAGACCCCCATCCCACGCGTGGAGCGGGGCTGGCACCCCAAAATCCCTGCGGGGCGCCCCAAAGGCAGAGGGAAAGGATGTCAGGAGGCCTGCCCGTGGCGTCCCCGCGCCCCAGCGCAGCGGGCCGTGCCCCGAGTCAAGTAGCGTGCCTGATCCTGTTAGGCTGGGACAAAGGGGGGCAGCCGGCCCCGCGCGCCCCGCTCCCTGCGAGCAGTCAGGGCGATTACTGCCCGCGGGCTAACGTCTTGATAGCAGGGAGGGGATGCTGCAGCCCGGCCGGCCCTAAAGCTGCTGGCTTTGGGGCTTTGCTGAGCGGGGCGGGATGGAGAGCAAGGCTGTGCCGGGTGCTTGGGTACCCACAAAAAGGTTTTTTTTTTTCCAGATGCTCTGCTCCAGACCCGCTCTGTCCCAGCTCCAGTGGCCACGCTGCCCAGGGCCGGCTCCCTGCCTCACCCCGCTTCTCTCTGAGACAGAAAGGCCACCGAAAAAAAAAAAAAAAAGCCAACAAACCCAGCCCAGCACTGCGAAGAGGGGAGGAAAAAGCCCCAAGCGAGTGTGGGCTCTGGGGAGAAATGCAGCCTAATAATTCATGAAGGCTGGCTGGGCCGGAGCCGGGCGCTCGAGATTCCCACATACCAACCCGAGCTGCTGCCGCTTCCAAAGAGAGCCCCTTTTATCTGCTTTCGCTTGCTTCACTGAGCCAGGGCAAATCCTTTTGTCTTTCCATAGATTGCCGCTCTTTGTTCTCCCAGCTCCCGCCCCGCTCACCCCTTGGAGCCTTAAAAAGGGGGAAGAGTCCCCGGGGCTGCCCGGCCGGGTACCGCTGCGGGGAGAGGTGGCTCCTGCCCCTCCGAGGTGCCACCCTACAGCCGGGCACCCGAGCATGGGGACGTGCTGCAGACCCTGATGGATGAAACCAGCAAAACCCCACTCGCTCCTGGTGCGCTTCGCTCCCCACTCCGGCAGGGCTGGGGTGGAGATGAAGGGTCTGGGGGGGGGTGAGGGGACAGCCGGTGTCCCCCCCCCCCAAAGAGCTGGCTGGGCACGCTGAGGCCCCTTTCCCCTCCTCCCGTCCCGCAGCAGGCTGAATAAGGCCACTATTTCATCTGTTTGGCAACGGGCAGCTTTCAGAGCAGCATTAGCATGAGAAAGCGCGGGGCTGCGTTTGCTGACAATGCACAAGTCTGCCCGGGCTCTCCCGGACAAACACGCCTGTAAACAGAAGGAATGCAGCCCCCCCTGGACCCCCCCCCACCCTCCTGGGCTTGGAGGGGGGGACCTGAGCACAGAGGGAGCAGCCCCAGGCACCTGCGTGTGGTGCCCGCACCCCTCCTGTCCCCACGTCCCCATCCCCGGTGGGGTGGCAGCGCCCGCTGCGGGGACGCACCGAGGACTGTCCCCGGTGTCACAGCCCCGTGGTGGCCCCCCCAGGCCCCCCGCACACTCACGGGAGGTAGGCTGAGCCTCCCTGCAGCTTGGCCCCTTCCCAGAAGCAGTCCAGCGGCGTCAGGATCACGCAGGGGAACAGCTTCTCAATCATCTGCGGGAGGGAGAGAGGCGTCAGGGGTCGGCGGGGACGCCTCGTGCCCCCCGCTACCTCCCCAAATCCACGTGGAGCTGGAGGTTTGGGGGTCTGTTTGCAGCATCTGGAGCTGGAAACCCCCCTGTGGCTTCGGTTCTCGGGGGGGGTTTACCACGGTGCAACCCCACCGATGAGCCGCGGGGTGCCCGGTGCCACGCGCGGCCAGGACTCACCCTCTCGATCATGCCGTTCTCGATGATGGGGACGCCCGACTTGTAGCAGATCTTGTTCAAATCCCATGATCTGCAAAGGCAGGGGGAGGCCGTGAGGACGGGCTCCAGCCCACGGGAGGCCGAGGGGGCACGGCAAGGTTGTAGGGGGGGGATATGGGGGCACGGCAGGGGGGTCCCCATCCCTGTCCGGAGCCGGACTCACTTTCCGTACAGCGAGACTTGCACTTTGCTGGCAGCCAGGGCCGCCTCGAGGTGGAGCTGCAGGGCCTCCTGCGTCAGGATGTTCTCCCCTTCCCGCTTCGGGGTCTGGATCAGCATCTGGGACGTGTAGACGGACTCCTCGCCCAGCTTCTCCTTCGTGTAGCGGAGCTCCTGGCTGACGCGGCTGCCCGCTGCAGGGAGAACCAGGGGCGCCCCGTCAGCACCGAGGCCACCCCAAAGCCCTGTCCCCACCCCAACACCCTGCCCATAAGGGATGCCCGGGGAAGCGAGCTGGCCCCACAGCGTTAATTAGGAGGTGCCACCAAAACCCAGGGGGCTTCTTGCTGTGGGGGTCCCCAATGTCTCCACCCTCTGTGCGCCTGCACCCTAGGGACCCCAGGGCTGGTGGCACCCAGCACCCACGCAGATGCTTCCAGCTGGGTTGGCTTTGCTCTCCCCAAAAACCCCCACACAGCTGGAGAGGCAGACACCACGCATCCATCCCGTCCACTCTAGATGCCCCAAACCACCAGGCCCTGCAGGGGTAGGGCTGCTCTGGGAGCACCTGGGGACAGAAAGGCGCTCGGGGGGGCTCCCCAGCCCTTTGGCACCTCCAGCACAAGGGACCCCAGCACCCCAGGACTCCCACCACCCACCAGGACCCTGCAAGCAGTGGGGTCGACGTTCCCCCAGAAGGCACATTTGCAGTCACACACATTTATTTACAGCACCACCAGCACCCGGCCACCCTGCTCCCAGCACCCTCCGTCAGGGGGAGGGCTCTGGATGAAGCCCCCACCCCGCTGCCACCCACGGAGGACACCCCACGTGCCCCCGGGCACATCCCGGGGTGGCTCCGCTCGCAGGGGGGGCCGGATCCTGCCCAGCACCGGGGCAGGATTCGTCCTCGCTGGGACGCTCCCTCGGCAAGAGGCCGGGGCCCCGGAGGGCCTGGCCCCCCGCCAGCACCGAGGAGGCCAGAGCAAGACCGCAAATAAGCAGCAGAATCTTCCCTTTTAATGACTTATTATATGGGTTGGTGGTTTCTTTTTTTTTTTTATATTATTATTATTATTTATTTTTGATTTTTTTTTCTTCTTCTTTTTTTTTTTTTTTTTAATATATTTTCCTCTGCTTTTTGGGCGGCGGGGTGGGGTGGGGTTGGGGGGGGGGGGGGGACGCCTTTATTGTTCCTGGCTGGGCTGGGGAGCAGCTGGTGTCCATCAGATGCCAGTTGCGATGGAGGTCGTGCCAGGGCTGGGGAGTAAGGCGGGGGGGGGGGGGGGGGGACACGGACACGGCCTTTGTGTGCGTGTGACAGAGGGGACGGCGGCGCCCGGGGGGCTGGGGACAGGAGGAGGGTGGGTGCTGGGGGGGGGGACCGTCCCCTTCCTTTTCCCTTCCCTTCCCAGCAGGCTGGGAGGTCGGGCGGGAGGTGCACCGAGCTGCTCTGATCTCGGCCGTGCCACCCACGCCGAAGCCGCACGGATGGGTGGGGGGGCTTGGGGCTAAGGGAGAGGAGAAGGGGGGGGGGGGAACCCGGCCCCACGGCCGCATCCTGGGGGCCGCATCCTGCTGCGCCCCGCGGGCAGCGCCGCACATCTGCGACCCCCCCCTCCAAGTAAAAAAAAAATAAAAAAAATTAAGAAAGAGAGAGAGAGAGAGAGAGAGAAAATAAAAAGCCGTCCCTTGTAATTAGTGTTAATTTGGAACAGGGCACTGCGAGCCGTCAGCAAGCTTCAAAGGCAGTGAGGAAGCCTCAAATTCCAACACCCTAATTAACCAAAGAGCAACATGAAAAGACAAGGCAGCGCGCGCGGGGCTGCCAAGGACACTTCAAACGGGCGCGCGCCCGCCGGACGGCACGGCCGGGCCCGGGGCTGGGAACGGGGCGAGACACCCCACACGGCACCGAGAGGGCCTGTGAGCCCCCCCCATGCATCAGGGGGGCTTGGGGAGGGGGCCGGGGAGCGCCCCGATAGCGCCAACGAGCACGTTAATGAGGAACTGTATGCAAATTGCAAAATAAAAAATGAAAAACCAAAAAAATCTCCAATTAACAAAGGGAGCCCTCGGGTTTTTCATGCAAAGGGCGCTCTGGTTCCAATCAGAGGCCCGGTCCTGCTTGTTCACAGCACCCCCTGCACCCACGGGGGGCCATAAGCCCCCCCACTCCCCAAACCGATGTTCCCCAGCCTCCCACGAGCATCCCCATGGGGTGGAGGTGCAGGGTGCCACGTAGCTCACCCCGGGGGGGCGATGGAGGTTGGCTGCACCCCAAAAACCCCCAGGGTGTGTGTGGGGGACACCCATGGTGCCCAAGCTGGTGCCAGGAAGGGGACGGGGTCCTGGCAGCATGGGAGGCCTTGGGCACTGCATCCTCCCACCCATGTGGGAGCCCACCCCGTAATTGGGAGCCCACCCCGTAATTACAGCGTCCGCTGCAAAATTACAGAGCGGGGCCCCCTGCCCGGCCACCCTGCCTGTGCTGCCTGCCCCCACAGCACCTTCCTTCAGCCCCCCACTTTTTGGGGACAGGGTGCTCAGCCCCACTACGAGCACCCCAGGGACACAGCATGGAGGGTTTGGGGTCAGAGGGCCCCAGCTCATGGCCTGGTGTGGGCACCGGGCCTAGCACATCAGTGTGGGGGGACAGTGGGATGGGGCAGGCCGCCCACCCCACAGTGAGCTGTCCCCACTGGGCACAGCCAAAAGGGATGGAGGCGAGGAAGATGAGCCATGGAAAGGCTCAGAAAGCAGGGAGATGTCCCGCTGGGAGGGCCACTGTGTCCCCCAGGGGCAGGGTGGAGGCTCGGTCACAGCAGTGCCACCACGCTGGGGATGGGCCCTGGGCACTGCCAGCTGCTGTCACCGCTCAGGAGAGCCGGGACCTGAGCACGTCCTGTGCTCGGCCTCCAAAAGAAGTCAGGCCCTGCCCGGTGTAACGGGTGGTGGGACACAGCAAGCAGCGGGGACAGCCCCAAATGGGGCCTAGTCCTGCTCCTGTCACCATCCCAGTGCCACCGCCCCAGCAAAGGGGGAGGAGAGGGTTCCATGGGGGCAAGATCCAGGATGCCAGCCTTCAAAAGCCCATGGATGGTGGGAGAGGCCACACCGAGCCCCTCCTGAAAGTGACACCCCTATGGGGACACCCCCTGACCCCCCCAGCACCCATGTGGCCACCTGGCCACAACAAGGGGCACCCACGGGTGCTGACACCAGAGCACAAAGCACAACCAAAACTCCTCACCCGCAGGGATCCACGCACCCCCAACAAGATTACACCCCCATGGGGACACCCACTGGGGCCAGCACCACCCCACAGCCCGGGGTGGGGGTCCTGAGGCACTGGGGGGGGACGGACAGGGATGCCCCGCCACCGGCTGCTTCCCCGTGCCGACCGGCGTGCAAGCCGGAGGCCACCTTCAAAGTGTTGTGGGGCGGATTAGCTGGATTAGGGAGCCTGTGAAAGGACCCATGCTGCTCTGGAGGAAGTCTCGCTGAGGGCGTGCTGAAAGAGCCATTTTTACCTGTCCCAGCCTCCCGAAAAGCCCCGCGGCCCCGTCCTGTCAAAACACGGCCGTGCACCGCACCGGGGCCGTCCCCGTCCCCGTGGGGTGGCAGTGGGGTGTCCCCGGGCACGGGGACCAAGGGGGGCTAGTGGCTCTGCTCCCAGCCCCACAAAAGCTCTCCCAACGCTTCCCTAAATAAATATGGCAAAAAAAAAAGGGCTCTGCCTTCAAAAAGCCAGCGGAGGGGGACCAAATAATAATAATAAATAAATAAACGGCCCATTTGGGGCCAGCTCCCCATCCGCCGGCCCCGGCCAGCCTTTGTTTATGGCCGGAGCTAAATTAATGTCTTTATTACCCCAAATCACTGCGTGGCCGTTCCCAGCGAGGCTGAGGGGGGGGGGCGAGGAGCCGGCAGCGGCGCGGCCGGGACCGAGGGGACAGCGCGACCCCCGAAAAAGGGGGAGAGGGGATTCAGTTGGGAACCATTCACCGCTAAGACTCCTGTCAGCATTGACATAAATTTCCACTGGTGTTGGCATTTAGGCATTTGCCATTTCCATATGTATAGGGCTGCCTGTACTAATTATGCTAATCACCCCCTCTGTTGGCTGCTGTGAAAAATGGCCACATTAGGCACTCCACTGCTTGCTAATGTCACTTAATGTGTGGTTGAAACATACATTCATCCCACTCTGAATGGTGAAATTTTTCCACATTGCTGGCTTCATTCAGGCAAGAAATGAATTTTTTGAACTCAGACCACTTTTCCAGGCCCGAGGGAGAGGCAGATAATAAAACCCTCTTCTCAGTCCCTCGCGCTGCCCCCTCCCAGCCGCCCAACAACACTTAAAACGCAGGGAGAGCCCCCTCCCTAAAGCCGGGGATATGTCTAAGTTTAAAGGGAAGGAAAAGAAAAAAAAACAAAAAAAAAAAACAACCCCCCCCCCAAAAAAAAACTTCCTAGGAAAAACAAAAATGTATAAGTTGAAAAGCAAAGCAAAATGGATACGCGCAGATAAGCCACAGCCATCTGAAAAGAGTCTCCCAGACTTTTTTTTGGTTAATTAGCAAAATTTTCCAGCCCGAAAAGCTGACCGAGCTGTCAAGGAAGGGAAAAAGCAAGAGATTTCTCGGTGGCCTCCCAAAGATAAATAAGCGGAGGCAGCCCCCGCCTGCGCCCCGTCTTCGGGCCAGTCCCCGGAACGGTGCTTGTGGGGCCGGCGGGGCTGCGGGAGGGGGTCTTCAGAGCAAGTGTCAGAGCCCAGCAAGCCAACAAAACCCACTTTTATGTTTTTAGGATAATGGGGTGCAGGCACCCCGGCACCCCACAGCAGCAGCACAGCACTGCCCCTTGCTGCCCTGAGCCCCAAGTCCCAAGGATGCCCCCAGGCTGTGCCCAAGCCCGCAACCAGGAGGGGCCGCAGAATCCCAAAGCCAGGCCAGGAGGGGCCCTGTGGCAGCACCGGGGACCCCTTCCCACCCCCGTGGGGTGACACCAGTGCCACCACACGCACAGAGGAGCAGGGGGACCCTGTCCCCACCGCACACCGCCTGGGGACAGAGCAGGGATGTGGCAGCCGGGGCTTGGGGCCGAGCCACCCCACAGCCCCCCACGCAGCCAGCTCCTGCCCCACGCCGCCGTCTCGCCCCTCCAAACCCACCCGCTGCTGGCGGCCAGACCACCCACCTCTCCGTGTGCCCACCCAGAAAGGGCCAGGGCACCCCCTCCCCGCACAGCTGCCGCCCCACACACATCCCCCCCCTTTCCTCCGGGGGTCCCACGCGCGGTGGGGAGCAGCGTGGGAAGGGGGACACGGGGACAGCCTCCCCCACGGCAGAAAATGGGGTGGGGAGGGTGCTTAATCCCACCCTCAGCTCTTGCTGGGGGATTTCTGCTCCCCGGTGCCCCTCTCGCTGCAGGGACACACGGAGCCAGCCCCCTCCATGCATCCCATCTCCCGTCAGCCCCCACTACAGGGCACCCCCCGGGCTGCACCCCGGCTGTGCGCAGGGTGCCAGGAAGTGGGTGTGCGGGGGGGGGACACCCCGTGCCAAGCCCCGTGGCAGAGGTCAGGGAAGGATAAAAGCCAGCAGGGAGAAATCCCAGCTTCATGCCCCAAGCTGGGAACGGGGAGGAAAACCCCCTCGCCCCCACGCCGTGCGCCCATCTCCATCCCTCGCCCCCACGCCCCGGCACATTCGGGGTACCCCTGACCCCTCCGGGAGAGGGACGGGGGCTTCTCTGGGGGGATTCGGCAGCTCTTTGAGAGCACCAGGGCTGCGCGGGGCGCTCGGCTGTTCCGGTTAGGAATTAACCCGGCCTTCCTTTGAACCAGCCCTCGGCGCTATAAATCAGGCAGGGCCATTCACCACCCAGGGCTCTGCCTCCCCGGAGCTCGCCGCCCCGGCCCCTTGGCCCTACAAACGCCCTGGGAGAGCCAGGGGAACAGCTGCCAGGTGTCTCGAGGTAACTCAACACTCGCCGCGAGCCGGGGTTTCAAAGCCTGCGAGTGGCTAATTGCTTCGGAGGAGCCTAATTGAACATTTCCACAGTCGGGTCCAATTTATGGGGTGACACCGCCTCCCTCCCATCTCCCAGGCCAGGGCCGTGGGGCAGGCGGTGACCCCAGGGCATCGCCAGCACCCCCCAGCCAGACCCCATCCATCCCACGGGGGCTGGAGGAGGCTCATAGGGCTGGGGACCCCCCTCCTGGAGCCGGAAACAGGGGACCCCACAATTTCCCTCATTGGCCACGGTTGAGAAATGCCCCTATGGGGTGGAGGGGGGGCTGCCCATCCTATTCCCCCAGGTGGGGACAGCAACCCCGTGCCCCTACCACCAGGATCCCACAGCCTCTGCTCTGCCCATGGAGGGGCCAGCCCAAAACGGGGTTGATCCCTCTCCTGGGTGAGGTGGTTTGGGATGGAGCAGCACGGAGCTGCACCCCGCAGCCTGTCCATAAACAGGTGAGCAGGGAGGGACCAGAGGCTTCCCTCCAGCCTCCGCCAGCCCACTGCCTGCGAGCAGGGCCATGGGATGGGACCGGGACTGCCTGCCCCTTCAGCACCGCCTCGGGGCTGGGAGGGACCACGTTCCTACAAACATCTCCCCACCCGGACAGGGCAGGAGCCTCGGGGGGCTCCCAAGGCTTTGGGGACCCCCAGGTTTCGCCAGCCCCGAGCTGCCTCCACCCGGCACCGGCCTCACACGCACCAACAACCCCGCTGCACCCCGGGGATGGGAGGAAAATCCACAGGATTTTCACATCCTAAAACACTCAGGATCCAAACACCCGGCCCGGGAAACCAGTCCTGCTGCCCCCCATAACGCACACCCCACACCAGCGGGATGGGGAGCGGGGCTCAGGGAGGGCTGGGGACAGCCGAGGACAGCGGGGACGCTTTGATCTCGCCAGAGCACGCAGAGGGAGGCCAGGAAGAGGCGAGCACCCGCGGGATGGATCCGGGGCAGGGAGGCAGCCGCAGGGCTGACACGCGAAGCTGAGGGAGAGCAGCAGCACGTCTGTCCTTCCATCCGTCCGTCCGTGCCTCGAAACCACCCCGGCTGCTCCATCCCGAGCCAGCACCACCCCGCAGAGCACCACCGGCACCCCCCTGCTCGGCAGCGTTTGAGCACAGGGGGGAAAAATCCTACTGAAAACACCGGGAGGATGCCCTGGCCGGGAGCCCCCTCGCCGTCCCCACACCAGCAGGGTGCATGTGCCAGCAAGGACAACTTTGGGGACACCTCCAGCCGTCCCCACACGCAGCCTTGTCCCCTTCCACATGCCCCCTCTCCACCCCGACACGCCACGAGCCCTGCTCCCTCCGCAGCAGGCGCAGCCACCTCCCCGGCTCCGGTTGCAGGCGCACCAAACGCTCACCCCAAAAAAGCACAGTAAAACCCCACAGAGCCCGAGCCACGACCCAGAGCGAGGAAACCACTTTAGGAACACGTCCCCAGCTCCAGCAGCCCCCACCCGGACCGGGAGGCACTGCCGGGCTCCTCTGCTACGTGGTGCGGGGGAACGGGGCGATGGGAACTGGGAACGGGGCCAAGCACCCCACGGGAGTGGGGAGCAGGTGGGGGGGCCGCAGGGTGCGAGAGCCCTTTTTTTTTTTAAAATATATATATTAAAAAAAAAAAAAAAGGGGTGGGAGAGCAAAGTTGCTTCTATTGTTGAACCAAATCCAAGAGTAGCTGAGGACCACACAGGGAGCGGGGCGTGGGGGAGGAGGCAGCGCTCCCGCACAAAGATGGCTGACACCCCTCGGCTCGGCAACATCTGCCCCGGCACGGCACCCGGCACCCTACACGGCACCCGGCACCCATGGGTCACCCCCCGGGCCACCCGCCGGCCACCCCTGGGCCACCCACCCCGGCCGGTGGGCGAGCGGCCAGGCAGGGTGCCGGAGGGAACGGGGATGGGGGGGGGGGCGAGAAAAATCTGTGCTCGCGCTTATTAATAACAAAGGGCCGGGTTTTAGGCAGGGTTTCCCCTCGGAAATGGGGATTTGCTCCCGGCCTGACCCTAACCCCGCTCCCCGCTCCCCTCCTGGATGCGCTCCTGGGAGCCGCGGTCGGGATCGGCCCCGGGGGATGCTCCCCGGCGGGCACCGGGCGCAGAGCTGGGAGAAGGGGATGTGTGGATGGGGATAACGGGGGGGAAAAACACGCGTGGGGGGGAAAACACGCGTGGGGGGACCCCCGTGGGCAGCCCCGGTGCGCACAGCACCGCTGGTGGCACCCCACGTGCGGGGACCCCATGGAGCAGCCGGGGAGCATCACCCCGTGGGTGTCCCGCGTGGCCGTGGGGACAAACCCAGGAGGGATTGGGGACAGCAGGAGCCACGGGGACATTGGCGAGCCTTGGGGTCACGCTTACCTTCCACCCAGAGGTGCTCGATGTCGGTCTCGACGGAGGCCACCCGCAGCCCTACAGCCAGCGCCCCGAAGAGCAGCAGCCCCACGAAGAGCACCTTCCCGCAGTGCCGCTGGATCCGGCAGCCCAGGGCGAAGAGCAGCGCCTGCAAGCGGGCCCGCAGCCACAGCGGGGCCCTCCGGCCCCCCACCCTGCCCTGCGGAGGGGAGCGGGGGGGGGGCACCGTGAGGATTTGGGGAGGGGGCCCAGGAGGGCTCAGCATCCCCAAAAAGCAAAGGGGGGGGGGGGGGTTAGAGGGCAGGGGGTGAGGATGCTCGGTGAGGGTAATCACACCCCCAAAGGGGAAAAATAATGAGAAAATTGAAAAATTGTGGTGTGATCAGGAGTGATTTGGGATTGTTAAGATGTAGAAGGTTATAAAAATGTAAAGAGTTGTAGAAATATCGAAAATTATAGGGAACGTAAGGAGTCATAAAAATATATGAAAAAATAAAAATATGAAGGATTATAAAAAGATAAAATGTTATAAAAATATAAAAACTATGAAAGCATGAAGGATGATAAAAAACACGAAGAATTACAAAATTACAAAGAATTAGCCAAATTATAAAAAAATATTAAAGAATTGTATAAAATCCGCACAACGCTTCCAAATGCCTCAAAACGCTTCAAAACGCCTCAAAACGCCTGAAACCCATTTGGGACGGCGGGGATGCTGTCGGCTCGGCTGGGTGCCGCCGGGGTTAGAGGGGGGGGGGGCAGCTCCAGCGCCTTACCTCGGGGGCCGGCTTGCGGCGGGCGGCTCGGAGCGGTGCCGGTGGCGGTGGCGGTGCCGGGGCGGGGGGCGGCTGCGGCGGCGGCTGCATGGCGGGGGGCTCGCGGCCGGGCGGGCGGGCGGGGGGCGACCCCCGGCGCCTTAAGTGGGGCCGAGCGCGGCCCCCATGGAGCTCGGCGGCGGCCGCTGAGCGGGGCCGGGGCCGGGGCGCGGGGCTCTGCGCCGCCCGCCGCCCGCCGCGCCTCTAAAGGGGGAGGCGGGGGCGGGGGGCGCCGGGGCCGCGCCGCCGCCGCCGCTCCCATTGGCCGCCGCCGCCGCGGCAGCGCCCAGCGCCCCCGCTGCCAGGCAACGCTGCGCCCGCCGCCGCCGGCCACACACGGCGGGGCCCCCCCCCCGGCACACACACACACACACACACACACACACACACGGGCCCTGCCCCCCCCCCGCACACACACACACATATACACAGCCCCGGGGGGGGGTGGAGCATCCCTGCCCTTCTTTTTTGGTTTTTGTTTTTTTGCTTTTTTTTTTTTTTTTTTTTTTTATGGGGGGGGGTGCATCCCTTTTTTCTTTTTCTTTTTTTTTTTTTTCCATTTTATTTTGGAAGGGGAGCAGCCCTGCCCTTCCTTTTTTAGCGGGGGGAGCATCCCTGCCCTTTATTTTTTTTGGGGGGGAGCATCCCTTCCTTTAATTTTTTTTGGGGGGAGCATCCCTTCCCTCTATTTTTTGGGGGGGAACATCCCTCCCCTTTAATTTTCAGACGGGGAGCATCCCCTTTTTATTTTTTTTACAGGGGGAGCATCCCTTCCCCTTTTTACTTTGGAAGGGGAGCATCCCTTCCCTTTTATTTTTTTGGGGGGAAGCATCCCTATTTTCATTTTTTTAGAGGGGGAGCATCCCTTCCCTTTAATTTTTTTGGGGAGCATCCCTTCCCTTCCCTTTTGGCAGGGGGAGCACCTCCTCCCTTTCGATTATGCAGGGGGAGCGCCCCTCCCCTCCCCTTCTTTTTCTGGGGGGCTGGGAGCATCCCTTTTTTATTTTTTTTAGAGGGGGAGCACTCCCTCCCCTGTTTATTTCAGAGGGGGAGCATCCCTTCCCTTCATTTCCCAAAGGGGGAGCACCCCTTCCCTTTAATTTTCGGAGGGGCAGCACCCCTTCCCTTCGTTTTTTGGAGGGGGAGCCCCCCTTCCCCTTTATTTTCAGAGTGGGACCATCCCTTCCCTATATTATTTTGGAACACAGCATCCCTTCCCCATACATGCCCCCCACTCCAAGGGTGAGGACTTACCCCACAGGTCCCTCCCCACAAATAATGGGCAGCCCCCAAATGCTACCCCAAATGTACCCCCCCGTTTCTCCCTTCCCCCACCCCATAAGGCCAACCATCTTCCCATAACCAGTCCCCATAACCAGGTGCCCCCCCCCCACCCCATACCCACCCACCATACCCACAGGGTGTCCCTCCTGAGGGCTGGGTGCCCCCACTGCACCCTCCCCACCCCCAAGAGGTGTGCATCCCCTCCTTCCACCCCATAAACTTCCCCAGGGGTTTGGGGGGGGCACAGGGACCAGCCCCACTTTTTGGGGTGCCCACATCCCCTGCCACGAGCAGCCAAGCGGGGGGGACACGGACACACGGGCACCCCATATCCACGGGGCAGGGGGCAAAGGGTAAACAGCAGCACTAATTTGTGGGGTAATTAGGATTTCGCCCCAGCTTTATGGGACCTCTCCTCATCCCACACCCTCCTCGGGTCTTTGCTGGGCAGACCCAGTGCTGCTCCCACCCATCACCCCCCAACCCTCCTTGGGGTGGCTGGTAACAGCGGGGCTCACCCCGCCATCCCCTAAAATAGGGTGAAACCCCTCAAAAAAATAACCTGAAGGGTTTCTCCCCCATCCCACAACAGGCCCAGAGCATCTGGCATCACCCCAAATCCAGAAGGGAAGCGGCCATTCAGCACTTCTGGGGCCTGATTGCTGTCAGCAGCCCCCCCATGCCCCGTCCTACTGCCGGGCAGCTGCTGCACCCCATAAACCTCGTCTGAAACAGCTCCTCCGGCCCCATGGCACCGCCGCGTCCCCCCGAGCTCCGCTCCCTGCCACCCTCCTGGTTGGGGACCCTCGGGACGCCCACCGAGCCCCCCAGGATGCTGTCCCAACCCCATCCCGGCTCACCCGTGCCAACGCCAGGCTCCCCTGCCTGGCCCCCAGCCCCTGAGCGTCACGGTGTGGGGCCGGTGTGGGCACCCCAAACGTCCCCAGGACTGGGGACGCCAACCCCAAGCACAAAGCCACCAGCGGGATTGAAAACGCCCATGGGTGGGATAGCGCCGAGCCGTGCCGAGCTCCTGGGCAGCCCCGGGACTCCGGGGTCCCCCTCGTGTCCCCCAGGGCCACCCTGGGAGGGGATTTGGGGCCGGGCACAGAGCCCCCATGGGACAGCGGCCCCGGGGGAGCGGGAGGGCGCGCGGGGAAAGGCTTGGGGAGGCTTCGCCTGCCGCTCGGTGCTGACCGGCTGTTTTATATCAAGGCGGGAGGGGGGATTTGCTGTTCTAGATGGTATTTTAATGGGCAGCCAGGCAGCTGGAGCCTGGGAGAAGCCTGCTTTACATTGTTTGGGGTTGTAACAAATAAATTCAATTAAAGGCAAATGGCTCCGCGCAGCCCCCACCCTGCGCGGTGGCTCCGCGGCACCGGCGGCTGGGGGAGCCCCAACCCGGGGTGGGGGCCCAGGGCTTCGTCCCCCCCGCTTTGGGGACACCCCCCAGGCCTGCCCCAGGGATGCATCGGGAGCTTTTTGGGGTGCAGGGATGGGATTGGGGGCACCACGCCACCCAGCCAGCACCCAGAGAGGAGGAAACGGGTTGGGGACCCCACGCGGCCCCCATATTGCGCATCCCACCCCAACACGCAGACGGGATGGGAAAAGCCCCGAGGGCACTCCGGGGATGGGCAGCCCCGGCTCAACAACGGGGCCCTGGGGGGAGCGGAGGTCGGGCAGGGGCAGGGGCGCGGAGCCGGGGCTTTGCAGGGCCGTGCAGCTGGGGGAAAAGCCGAAGGGGACTCAGCGGGGCCGTGCCAGAGCCTCGGCACGCTGTAAACAGCCGCGGCAGCAGCAGCAGCAGCAAGTCCTCTGCCGGGAGCCAGCGCCGGGCGTTTGTTAGTTGGAAACCAGATGGTGCTCGGAGAACCGCCGGCACAGCCCGCCTGGCCGCTGGCCCCAGCCGGGAGCAGGGTCCCGGGGGCCCCGGGGCTTTGCTGCTCTTGGGTAGGGTGGCCGGGGGGTGGAGGAGGTGTTGGGGAGACCCTGGAGCGCTCCACGTGGCACCCGGTACCATGATGGGGTGTCCCCAAGGGATGGTGTGTCCCAAAAGGGTGCCGTGTTCCCAAAGGGATGTTGTATTCCCAAAGAGATGCCATGTCCCAAAAGGATCCCATGTTCCCAAAGGGATGCCATATCCCCAAAGGGATGCCACGTCCCAAAAGGATCCCATGTTCCCAATGGGATGCCTTGTCCCCAAGGGATGCCATGTTCCCAAAGAGATGCCATGTTCCCAAGGGATGCCATGTCCCCAAAGAGATGCCATATCCCAAAAGGGGATGCAGAAGGAACAGTGGGGTTAGAGGCGGGACACTCATAGCCCCTAAACCCCCGGGCACCTCTGTGTGCCACGCCGTGCCTTGGTTTCCCCCAGGCAGCATTGGTGGGGGACCCCAGTGCAAAGAGGAGGGGGACAGAGGTGGGTCCTCAAGTCAGAGCCCCCCAGGTCCCCACAAACAGAGCTGTGGTGTCAGTGGGGAGGGGATGGAGCCCCATCCTCAAGGGAAAGCCCCGGGGTGGGAGCGAGGGGGTCCCTGCCACATGCCTCTCCACGGCACGCGGTGACGGGGACAGGGACAGCGCAGCCAGCGGGACCCGAGCCTTTCCCAAATCCCCGCTGTCCCAGGGGCAGGTGCACCTCACCCCAAGGTTTTGGGGGACCACAGCAAGCGGGCAGGCGGCCCCAACCGGGGAGGGGACAGGCAGGGGGACACACGGCATCCCCGGCACCCCCGGGGGGGTCCCGCGATGTTTACAGAGCTTAACCCCCCCCGCAGCCCCGTGAGGCCACGGCGCACAATAGCGTGTGGACGTGGTGACACCGGCCGTCCCCACACCACCTTGGAAGACAGAGGGCCCTGCCACCCACCGCCAGCACCGGGATTAATTATGATAATGTAGTTCTTTCCCCCTTTGTCACCCTAATGAATGGGCCCCTTTAGGATTTTAAGGCCTTTGTTTGGTGCCTCTTTACTGCGGTATTGTAGGATGGGGACTAGCAGGTGGCAGGTCCCCAAACAGCCCCTTTTGTCTCCTTTGGGGGCTGTTTTGTGCTGGGGTTGGGGAGGGGGTGCGAGGATGCGGGGCTGGGAAAGGATGGGGGGGGGGGGGGGGGCTGCAAGGGGGCTCCCGGCCGGGGCCGCAGCGCTCGCCCCATCGGGTCCCCGCGCCCCAACGCCTGCGCCCGGCCCCGCGCGGCGGGCAGATGCCGGGAGCCACCGCCTGAGCGCCGGCCTTGATCTTTTACTGCCTGGGCAAATCAATTACCCGGCAGAAAAGTCCCTAAATCCCACCATAAAACCCGTTTAGCAGCCGACGTGGCGCGGCGGCCGCTGGTAGCGCTGCCTGGGCCCTGGGCGAGCCTCGAGCCCCGCTGCCGGCACCAAGTCCCCTGGGCTGATCGCTGCGGGGAGGGCAACTGGGGGAGGCTGGGGGCTACTGGAGGTGACTGGGAGCTGCTGGGAGCCACTGGGGCCTGCTGGGGGCGGCTGGAGAGGATTGGGCATGAAGCGCAGCTCCTGCATGCTCCTGGGCCATTAAAGGGGGGCTCCCAGGGGCCCCAGGACCCCCAGGTCACCCTCCCCTCTCCACCAGCCCTCCCTCACCCCTGGGGTGCAGGCAGGAATGTTCCAGTGCCAGCGGTGGCACCAGGGACCTGGGGAGGGCACAGAGGGACAGGGAGAGGGGACAGGGACGGACACGGAGGTGCCTGGAGGGTGAGGGGCCGTGCACCCTACAGCCATGTCAGGGTGAGGACACGGCTGTGCCTGCTCAGCCCTGGGGGAGCGAGCCCAAAGCCCCTGCATGCCCCTGGGGGGGATTTTGGGACCCTGCTGCTTTCCAGGCAGCCACACAGGAGCATCCCTAATGCCACAGGGACACCAGGGTGGGGACCGAGAGGTGACATGGCCCCAGTCGCAGGCTGGGCTGGGAAATGCCTCCAGGGCACCTCTGCTTGGGGACACCACCAGGTGCCAGGCACCATGGATCCTTGTGCCCTGTGACACCTCCCCGTGGCACAGGGGACCCCGGCTGTCCCCGTGTCCCCACACAGGGGGCAGAGAGATGCTGCGGGGTGGGGGTGGGGGGGCAGATCCTGGCCGGGCACCGCCGGGGGCTGCGAACCGGTGAGCAGCGGGGTGGTAAAACGGTGACAAGTAATTGGTGTCCCGGCCGGTCCTTTCATGCCGACGCCGTTTTATGGGTGAGGAAATTGCTTGTGAGTCAGGAACACAGGAGACAAATTTAGGAAGTGCTCTCTGAATGTGCCGGGGTCAGGCGCCGAGGCCGAGCGCTTGAAACCTGGGTGGCCTCGGCGCTCGCCCCGCGCTCCCCCCCCCCCCCCAACCCCCCCGGGCTCCTCGGCATGGGAACGCAGACCTTTTATCTTATCACTGCTCTTCCGCCCACCCCGGCCTCCCCCCGGCCCCCTCCCGGCACAGCCGCTCGCGCTGCAGACACAATGCGAGCCCTGCGCCCTCCGGCAGCGCCTCGACCCACCCCTGTGCCAGCCCCGGGCGTCGCGGGGTCCCCAGCATCCACCCCAATGAGCCGCAGTGGGGCAGGGGATGTGGGGATCCCCCTTGGGGACCTGCCTGGGGCAAGTGTGGGTGCACGGCTCCGGCCCCGTGGAGGTGGTGATGGGGAAAATCTGGTGGAAGGCGCTGGGACGTGGGCGCACCGTGGATGAGCCCGTCCTAACGCAGCCCAGGCAGGAGCCATTTGGTCCCAAACCCCACCAGCAAAGGCAGCGGGGTTGGGGCGAGCAGCCCCCGGCCTTCCCCGCATCCCCCTGCACGCCGGGGAGCAGGTTCTCCCTTTTTGTTTGTTTGCTATGGTTTTAACTGGGAGGAAAGGCCGCGGCCCCATTAAAGCGCGCCCGAAAGCGGCTGAGGGCTACCTTGAGAGCGCAGCCCCCTTCCCCGGCCACCTCCGAACGCCCCGAACCAGGCAGGTTTTGATGTATTTTTCTTGATCGCTGGCCAAGCGCTCTCTCCTGCAAAGCAGCATGTTTCTCATTTTCTGTAGGTTTAACTCCAAATTAATTTGTAAGTGATCTCGGTTTCTTGTTCCCCGAAAGATACCTAATAGCGCGGGGGAGTTCCTGCCAACCGAAACGTCGCAGCGGGGGCGAAGGGGAAAAAAAAAAGCAGGAAAAAGAAACCCAGGAACTGTGACCCCTGGTGGGTATTTAACAAGGTGTCAGCTCCAGGCATTTTCGGAGCCCTCTAAGTGGATGTGACACCGGCCCCGCGCCCCGGGCTGGGGCGCAGGAGGGTCGGGCAGTGGGGATGCGCCCACGGCCGCCAGGTCTCGTCCTGCCCCAGCTGGAAAGGGGCCGGGGACCCCCCGTGAGCGGTGCCAGCCACCGGCTGTGGGGTCCCGCAGCAGCGGGGAGGACGGGGCAGGGGTCCCAGGGCCGTCCAGCCTGCCCGGCGCCCCCGCCGCATGGGAAGCGGGCACGGTTTAATAGGGCGGGCGGCCGCCCGGCGGGGCCGGCTGCTGGCAGGAGGACACAAGAGCTTTTGTCTCCGCTCCCGGCACCGGCTGGGGCTGGCAGGGCCCGGGGAGGTTCAGCCACCGAGAGCCGAGCTCGCCACCGGGGCGAGCGGCCAAACCCACCCTGGTTTCTCGGGGTTTAGCGGGCGCTCGGTGCATGCGAGGAAGCGCCCAGGTGGTTGGAGAGGCCGGGTAGGGGTTGGGGAACGGAGCAGTCCCTGTTCGGAGCCCCACGGCCCTGCCTCTGCCCCCTTTTTGCCAGTGGGGCCAGCAGCAGCAGCAGGAGAGACCCTGCCCTTCCCCAGCTTGGGTACCGGGGCAGCAGGGATGTGAAAGCAGTCGGGTTTCTGCTAGCTGAAAAAAAATCAGCCACCGCTTTTGGGTCCCTGCTCCTCTCGCTCCCCTTGTTCTGCCATCCCCAGGTGATGGGGAGCTGTCCTGATTGTCCCGTCCAGGGACACGTCCCAAACTGCAGCTCGGCCCCTCGAAGCCCCCCGTGGCTGCAGAGGCAGCCGGCTGCCCTCCTGCAGGCCCCGGCACCGAAGGGCCGCAGCGGGGAGGAGATGCTGCTGCTCTTGCTCAATTACCCCGCGAGGGCCCAGGCCCTGGCTCCGTCCCATCGCCACCAGCAGCGGCTGCGTGACACAGCCGGGCAGTGTCACCGCGCTGGGGACATCCCGGGGGCAGCACAGCCTGGATGGATTCAGCTCCCCAGGTCCCCCCCGATAAACCATTTGGGGACACCCTGGCGTGAAAACAAGGCACGAGGGAGGAACAGCCGGGGTTTTTGCAAGGCGTGTGGCCACGTTTCACCAGCCGGCCACCCCAAAAGTGCCCTTCCCTGTGCAGCAGCACCGCTGCCCCCTCCGTCCCCTCCGTCCCCTTGGTGCCCGAGGTCTCCGCACCCCGGCCCCGTGCAGGTGCCACCACCGGCCCCACTGGGACCACGGCGCTCGCCTCGGTTCCTGCCCCCCGGCCCCCCAGGTCCCGCCGCAGGGTGAAACTCCCCGAGGAAAGGCCGGAGGAAGATAGGAAAAACAATCACAAGAATTTGTTTCATGCTGCCTGGATCCCTCCCCGCACGCAGCAGTGTTTTTGGACGGCCAATTTATAATCAGCAGTGTGGAATGTTGTAAATTAAATATTTTTAAACAACTTTGCTCTCTCTCTGGTTAAACATTTCAGAGATCGCTCTTTCTTGTCTGTCTCTTGCTGGGTGGTCCCCCCATTCGCCCGTACATCTTCCTCAAACACAATTAACCATTTAGATGGTGCACAAAGGAATAGCTTATGCATACAACACCAGTCGCTCGCTGCTCCGGCGGTGGGGGAGGGAGGCAAATAAGAAGGCAGCTTCTTTTTATTTTCCACTAAAAACAAAAACAAGAAAATCCCTTTTTCCTCCCCAAACTATCCCATTTTCCTTGAATTGTAAAGGCGCCGATCCAAGCCCATCAGCTGTCTCGGTGCTCGGTCCAACAACCCCCTTGCTTTCCATCCCCCCCCCCCCAGCTCCCCTGAAATTCAACATTAGCATTTTAAAAGCCTTAAACATACAAGTTTATTTAGACTCGAGCTCTCCCATACCCTCGCTTTCCCTATTTATATACAGGCGCATTTTAAGGTATATAAAATGTCTGTCCATAGGGGAAGTTCCCGTCTGCCGGCCCCGTCTGGGCGGCACGGCTGCGGCTGCGGCCCTTGGCTCCCGGGGGACGCAGTGAAAATGGACGGGACCCAGTGAGCCTCGGCCACGGCACGGCTCCTGGGGTGCTTGGTGTGGGCTGGAGCCTCGGGGAACTTCCACACCCCTGAATTAACCCCCCTGAGAACGGCCCCGCTTGGTACCCAGGGGGTTTCGCCCTCGGGTGAGGAGCCAGCAGAGCCCCTGGTGCTGTGCTCGGTACCCAGCAGCGGGTCACCAAACCCCGCTGAGAGGGAGCAAAAGCTCTGCACAGCCAGGCTGGGAAGGAGGGGATGAAACCCTCGGCCACGACAGCCAGGGACAGAAACCTCCCCGCACAGAGGACAGGCAGGGACCGGAGCCAGCCACCAGCCCTCGCTGCAGGTGTGGGCTCCGAGGCTGCAGGGCTCCTCCCGAAAATCCTGATGTTTGCAGGACCTGCAGGATTTTATATGGAAATTTGTGGCCTCCCGGGATGAGGAGGTCCCACCGGGAAAATCGGAGGGGTGGTGATGTACCCCAGCCGTCCGTCTGCCAGGGAGCTTTCAGGACCATCTTTTTGGGATGCAGGAGCTGCAGCCTTCTCCTGGTGGGGTTTGGCAGAGCAGCGGGGCGAGGAGATGAAGGATCCTCCAGGCTGGTGGACAGCTAGCACAGCCAGAGCTTCAGGAAGCCCTGTGTGATTTCGGACTACATCATGTCCTCAGCTACCCGGGAACAGACAGGGATTTCCGAGATCACCCCAAATCCCCGTGGGTTTGTAGGGCTTCCCGGCCCATCCCCTGCTCACCTGAGGATGGCAGCGGCCCGGAGCCCGGCGGAGGTGAGGAAGGGTTAACCCAGTGCCCGCCTTGGGATTCCTGAAGGCCCTATTATCCCGAATTATTTTTTCATAATTACTGCCACACACGTAGACTACATCAAGAGTGAATCTTCACTTTGATAATTTGTGCTGTGAAATCTCACTTTGGGATCTACTTTTATCTCACACCAAACACCTGCAGGTCGTAAAAGGCAAAAAGGAAAAGAAAACGCCTCAAATCCCGGCCAGGTTTTCAAGTGTCAGGGAACACTAAATTAATGCTAAATTCTAACCGACAGAGAGAAGAGCCCCCCGCCCTCCTCCTAAATGAGCTGAACAAAAGGACCGAGGCGAGATGTTAACTCGTAATTAAGGCACAAGGAGGTAAAGCTGTAGCTGTTATGGGATGCCGACTTCCCAGAAGTTAGGATGGGTCTTTAAAAAGAAAAAGGGTTGTGTGTAAGCAAAGGGATCAGGAGTCAAAGCACCTGTGTGCTGCTCCTGCTGGCTTGGCCACCAGATAAATGCTGAGCGAGGTGACCGAGCTGCACCCTGCTCTGTCCCTACACAGCCGGGATGGATGCTGTGCTCCCTTCCCTTGCAGAGACACGACAACCTTTGTAAGGCCTCCGCGATCCTTGGATGAAAAAGGGTTTGTAGCTGAGGAACATGTTTGCACACATACGCGAGGTAAAACCTTTAGCACAAAGCCTGAGCTGAACTGCGTGGCTCTTTTTTTTTTTTTCCTGCAGCTTGTAAAAGGCCTCGAAGCCAGCAGCTCATCCCCAGCCACGCTTTCCATTCCAATCTGGTCCTTTAAAGCAGGGCTTTTTGTTTATGAAACGCCAGGAACGTCTGGATTATAATCTCTCTTCTGTCAAATTAGCTAGGAAACTGTAATTTTCCTCCGGGGACAGCGGTGCCCACGAAGCACACGTTTAAAATTTATCACTGCAGTTAATGAAATCTCATTCCAGCCAGTTGCTGTAAGCACCTCTGGATGTCAAGCTGCCAGCCTCAGATAAATGTCCCGTTGAATCCTACCAGGTTCCAATAAACAGCTTTTAGGTAGGAACTCGTGTCCAATTCCTAAACGTTCAAGAACAGCTTGTGTTTCAATCCCATCCAGGTGCTTTACAATCCTGGCACAACCCCTGACCACAGGGCTGTGCGTTTCGCATTAGTGCTCTCGACTCATCTCACACATGCCCAGCCATCCCCAAATCATCCAGACATGGGAACACACCTCCTGGGGTCCCAAAACCACCGGGATAACGCAGATGGCACCCACTGCTCCTGCCCTGCTCCCCGCTCCTCCATCCCTCCGACCCCCTCGCAATGCTTTTGGGCAGGATTTCCAGCTCAGCCCCGGAGGAAACGAGTGCCAAACTCCTCAGCTGCATCACCGACGGGGCTTAAGCATCTCTGAGCTTTGGGCTGTGAGAGAGGAGGAGGAGGAGGAGGCCAGTGAAGCCGCGATACCCTGTGCCGGAGAGGAGCAGGAGCAGCATCCCCAGTGTGGCATCGGGGACGTTGTGGGGCCGTGGGGACTCGGTGTGGGCATGGGCTGTGTGGTCCCCGCTCGCCCTTCTGCAGGGAAAGCACAGGGCGTCCGCGGGGCCCGAGCGGACCCGGCACAAACCCGCGTGCATCTCAATGAGGGGGGAGGGCCGGGCGCACACACGGCTCTGTAAATACTTCTTTATTAAGACATAAATACAAAGCCCAACGGGGAAGGAGCAGCGCCGGGGCGAGCCGTGCCAGCAGGGATCCGTACGGATGATCTTACGATGCTGAACATCTGGTTCTGCTGCTCGCTTCCATAAAAATCATCTTTAAAACCTACTTGGGTTATATCTCCATCAGCTGCTCGGTGCCCACAATGACTTCATTAACATGTTTGGCTGAAAAGAGAGAGGGAGGAAAAGAAGAGGAATTGAGTTTTAGAGCAGCGCTTCAGACTCCGCATTTTTCAAATCTGCATCTTGAAAACAAATGAGAAAAGCAGATTCTAGGGAACTCGAACACAGATTTGCTGCCCTTTTTTGGTCTCCGGCGTCTCGCAGACACGATCCCACACACATGGCAGAAGCCTAAACAACTGACTAAACATCAGGAGGTTTCTCTGATGAGACTTTCCGCGTGTGTGTGTCACCACCGAGCAGCAGAGGCCCGACAGAAGTCCCAGCTGCCGCTGACAGGTGTACCTCCAGGTCCAAGCACAGAGCCATCCAGCACGGAGACCTGACACAGAATTAAAGACCAGCAATCCTCCCCGGCCCTAAAGAGTGCGGTGTGCCCCCAAACTGCCCCGGGGCTGGAAGGAGAGGGGCTGCTCAGCATCAGAGGGGCCACCACCGGGATGGGACAAAACCCTCTCTCAGCAATCCCAACGTAAATTTAATTTTAACTTGATTTCTCCCTCTTGGATTCCAAAAATCCGGATGGACCCTCTCCCTAAGTGCTGAGATGAAGCAAGGTCTCCGAGCACCGCTGTCACCTCAGGCTCCCATGGAGCACATTTGGTGGCGGGGCAGCTTGGACAAGGTCACTCCTGCCTGTTCCCAGGAGCTCGGCACAGGCTCGGAGGACACATTAACGTGCCAGTCCCTGCCCCAGCGCTGTTAATGCCCTGTACTGAAAGAGCCTCCCGTTTAAAATGCAAAAGCAGCTTGTCAGGGAAGGACTGCGAATAAGGGATCTCAAGCCAAAATAATAAAAACACAAAACTCAAAGCCCAGTGCCTAAAAAACCAAGTATGTGGCCTCAGCGCCTGACACAATGCCTGAGTGCTCCAAGTGGGTGTCCTCGGGGCACCGCCCCTGAGGGGGGAATCCAAATGGCTCTGGGTTGGCCACCGATTCAGGAGGAGTTCAGGTGGTTTGAACCGTGCCCCGAGGCTCTCCTCACACCCTTTTTTCTCCTCTTTCTCCCCAGGAATAACAACAGGCTCACATATCCGGGGTGCCTGGCATAACCCACCGGGCGTGCGAGGCGCTCGAAGGAGGCTGTGCTGTCTCCAGCATCCTCCACGGCAGCAGGGGGGGGAGGCAGCCAAGGGTGATGGAAAGAACTGGTTGTGTTTTATTTACCCACCTAAAAACTCCTCCCCTCGGGGGAGCAGATTTTGCAAGACGGCTGCAAAACAACAGCCATGCTACCCTCGGCTGCATAAAGAAATTCCTGGCAATCCCCGAAGTGGCCGAGCCAACGCGAGGCTTCTCCTGGTTTTAAGGCATTACCTTTGCACCACGCAAACCATCACTCCAGAAGAAGTCTGATTAAACGCTGCTCTGTCAGCTTCAAGGTGCATTTGGACTGTGGCAAGGTAATTCCTGCTCCAGCCCTGGCCCCACAACCATGCGGATCCTCCTCAGCCTGGAGGATGGAGCAGGGCGAGCTGCGTCACCGCCCTTCAGAGACCCTTCGTGGAGGCAGAAAGTAAGAACGAGGAGCTGCTCCTCACTGCCAGCATCAGGTGGAGTCATTTATTCCCTGCTCAGGGGTATTTAGCGACAACTGACAGCCCTGCAGCCTCAAGTAAACGTCTCGGAGCTCGAGGCTGGAGCTTGGAGCCCCATCTCCAGCCCTTGGAGCAGGACGAGCAGAGGTGGATGCAGGGCGCAGGGGAACGAGGGACTGAGTGCGTGTGCCAGGTGCAAGCGTGATGTAGGTAGCACCACACAGCATCTCCAGCACAGCCCTGCCAATAGCCCCAAGTCCAGCCTTCAGCTCCTCTCTCCTCCCGTCCTGGACCTCACACAGCTTTGCCAAGGTACCTCCAATCCAACCTGCAGCGCTTCTTGCCGTAACATTCCTCACCCCCAACAACTTTCCCAATATATCTCCAACAGGCCCTGTAGCAACTCCTGTGACTCCATTCCTGAACCTCCTCCAAGCAGACTACCTATCGTGTTGATTTCTGTGATGTGAATAAGCCTCTGGCCAGCATCCAGCGGGAGTAATTACGTGATGCCTCCGCAGATGAAACATGCCTTCAGCTGGGCCTGTGAAGCAGCCGTGTGGATTTACGGTTCTATATATAGGTGATCTGTAGCAATACCTTTTAACAAGGAGCTCCTCGCTTCGCATCAGCATCCTGCCCCGTGCGGGGCTGGGCCGGGCCCTGTCACATTCTTTGTTGCAGAGCGGGTACGAACTATTTGTATTTTGCACTGACACGCTTGCAGCCTCCTTCCGATATCTGGTGTTTTCCATCTGATTAGCTAAAAATGCTTTTCAAGAGCGGGTGAGTAAGAGCACTCCCGTTTTCCAGGCGGGGAAACTGAGGCAGCAAGGAGCTTCGAGAGTTTACGCAGCCTGCCAAAGCCCCAGGGGAAAGCAGAGCCTGTGCTCCCTGATGTCCCATCCCATCCCATCCATCCCATCCCATCCCATCCCATCCCATCCCATCCCATCCCATCCCATCCATCCTGCCTTGATCCTCGCCGCCAGCACACGCAGCACGCCCGGCGTGTCGCTGCTGCCTGGCAGAACGAAATCCCCAAACTCCCTTCTCCTCGTAGGGGCCGCAAGGAAACGCATGAATGTGCCTGCCTCGAATCCACAAGAAAGGTGTTTTTTTTGTTTTTTTTTTTTAAGCGATAAAGGGAATGGTTTTTGCTAGAAACAAAGCCTGATTCCGCAGCCCAGGGGGATGCGATGGGGAGATAAGGATTCACCCCGCTTCCCTCTTCCCTTCCCGAAGCCCTCCTCGCAGAGGGAAGGGAGTTCAGACTCCGCCGGGTGTGCCAAAGGGAGCCGGGCTGCGGGGAGCGTTTCATTATCGGCCGTGGCTGCCAGTTGCCGGTGGCTCTGGCTGGTAGCAGCAAGCTCAGTTCATGCAGAAACTCTGCCTGAAACTCCGGGGGGAGGAGGGAGAAGCACCTCACATGCTTCGCCGTTCGGCTCCCTTCTCCTTCCCCAGCTCCCCATTAGGGATTTCTTACCAGGCTGCCTTTTATCTGACACTGGCAGGGTTACAGATGCATTCAGCCCGCGGAGAAAGAAGAGGGATTAGAGAAAGGACTTTGAGAAAGCCTCCGAGTTGGACCCGGCAACCTTAAATCATGTTCAACGAGATCTTCTCAGATTGGGAGCATCTGGTGCTAAGCGAATCCAGAGCTGATCAACACATCCAGCCTCCTGATTAGCACTTTGATTCAACTTGCTGACGCAGCCCGGCCCCAAGTCAGCCCGGGTGCTTGAACCGAGCGGCCGCGGAGCTTTTCCTGAGCGTAAATCAAAAAAGCTGTCAGGGGTTGTGTGCTCGTCCCTGCTCGGGAGGCCGTGTGTTTACACAAACCGTCCGCGAGCCCCTCCAGAGCCCTGCGCAGGGCCGCGGGGAGAGCCGGGGAGCAGCGGCAGAGCCCTCGGTGCTTTCGGCTAAACCCAAAATTGCAAGGCAAATAAACAGCGGGGCGGAAATGACTGCAGAGCCCAAGCGCAAAGCCCAGCACCAGGCCTGGGGGGGCTGCGGGCCCTCCCCGGCCCGGCTGGCAGGTTCCTGCCAGGCCGCTCGCAGCGAGGGGATGCCGGAGCCTTCCTTGAAAAGCCCCCTGAAAGCATCTCCTTGTTGTTTGCTCAATTAGCCCCAGACAGATCGCTGCTGCTGCTGCTGCTGCTGGTGGCAACGCCGGGTTGTAAAGGAGGAGGGGAAGGAGGGGAAAGGGAGGGAAAAAAAAAAAGGAAAAAAAAAAAAAAGAAAAGGTTAGGGCCTAGGCCCAGGACCACCACGAAGTTCCAGCCCTCAGGGGCTCCAGAAAACGTTCAGTTTACTCACTCAATTACATACACTGTTTTATAAACCCTTTAAAATAAAATAGAAAACAGTCCCTGGCACAGAATTACTGCTCTATTATACAGCAGTGATGAAAGCCACTGCTGTGTATTTGCTCTCTTTAAAGCAAGAGATAGTTTAACTTAAAAAACGGGGTGGGGGGGGGGGCGGGGTGGCTGCACAAACGCATGCACGAAAACACGCCGTGGGTGGCTCCTACCACACTCACCCAGGACAGAAAGGATCAGAGAAGTGGGAGAGAAGAGCAACTTGTCTCTGCAGTGATGCTCGGCCCGGGAAAAGCGGCCAGGTTGCGGGGGGAGAGGAACTGGAGGGGCTTCAGGGGGTGGGAAGCAGCTGAAGCTCGGCTCTGGGAGGCTGGAAGGTGTTTTAAATTACACGTAGAGATAAGGAAGGGAAGCAGGTGGTGGGGGCCGAGCTGTTGGTGTTTAGGGAGCACTGGGGCTTTCCTGTCAAGGCCTGCTCTCTCCCCAGCCACGCTGAACTGAGGGGATCGCCAGGGATTGGGGTGCCCAATGGCAGGGTCCCAGCAGCCCTTTAAGAAGGGGCCTGGGTTATGGTGATGGACGTGCTCCCCCGGGATCTCAGCAATGTCACTCTGACAGACTCCATCCACACTTTACCCCAGGACAGCAGCAATTTCGTTATCTGCCTGGAGACTGCTGCCCGCCGTGCAGGACACCAGTCGAGGTCCCCTTCCTTTCTCGGGCACCCATTGGGGTGCTCTTCCTGGCTCTTTCACGTGGCCGGGCTCTAGCAGAACGCAAGCGGTTATTTTCTCGGCGTGGAGCATGTACAAATATTTCCACGAGGTTACGAACTGCTGCCTTCTGGGGAGGCCTCGCAGCGTGT